ACCCAGCTTTTGCTGAGGCTTCTGAGGAAGAGCGCAGACAAGAAGCATGTCGTATCAGCTCTACCAGAGCTCTATCCACGCTGCAGTACATCCGAACACCTGTCAATGTAGCGATTGCTAGATCCTTTGCTAAGAAGAATTGGATTACCGAAGAACAACTCCGTGCCTTCCTCCCTCAGACCCAGCCAAAGTCTGCATTACATGAACAAGACCAAACAGACAATGATGCTCCAGCATTTATTTTCTCTCGCCCAACACCTGAGAAGATAACTGACGACTCAGAAATGCAAATTGATCAAACAAGTAGTTCTAAACCTCTCGCTGAAAGTGAAGCGAATTTGCAACAATAAATATATCGATTTCAAGCACAACCCAATCTCGTAAGTTCCCCTCACATTCATTTACTGACCTTTCTATATGTTCCCTTAATTGCCAAAGTTTAACAAAACCATCACAACCAGAAGTTAGCAGCAGCTTTATTCGATACTTGAAAACTAAACAACTAGACATCCTATGCCTCCAAAAAACACATGCCAGCAACATTACTATGCAACAACAACTCGACTTCCTTTTCAAACCGACTTTCTCAATATGGACTCAGCACTGTGGGGTAATTAGCAACAATCCTAATATCCAAATCACACCATACTTGATTACCATAGACCAAAGGGTCATCATATGTAATATTACACACGCTTCTAACTTTTTCCCTCCATTCCTTTTAGCCAACATTTATGCTCCAGCGACAAAACGCCTAAGACAGTTCTTTTACAACGATCTGATGACTATGCAACCATTCTCAGATTTCTTTGATCCCCTCTCCAGTCCTTTACCATCAGAGGATGACGATACATCCACACCTTCCCTCATCATTGTAGGCGACTTCAACTACGACTTTCATTCATATTCTACCCGCAACCTTCCTGCCAAAGAGTCTCCTGTCAATTCATCCAGCGTTCTTTCTCAATGGAAATGGCACTTTTTGCTATCCACCTACTTTACAGAATGCACTCATGCGCTTCAACATGATCAACGAATCCCACCTTTCGTCGTGGAGAGTCGAATACATCCACCATTGATTACATATTTGCTTCACCTTCCTTTGCTGACAACATTCTTTCTCATGACATTGAGTTTCTCTCTCCAAGATGGACCGATCATGCTCTTCTCTCAACTACTTTCCGCTTTGCACAAAACAAACAAGGTCGAGGTCTGTGGCGTGCTCACCCTAGTCTGGCCAAGAACTCTTACTTCATCAAAGCCTTGAATTCTGCATTGGATGATTATCATTCACTGATAGAAACCTTTTCCGAAGAGTCATGCCCCACAATACAACAACAATGGGATGTGATCAAACAGATCACAAAAACTATTGCAAAAAAGATTGGCAGACAACAAGCAGCATGGAGAGTTCGTCTGATGAAGCGTCTTCAACGCAAGCGCAACAAGTATTTCAAAGAATACGGTACAGCTCGCATTCCTCATCCACTCCTTTCAAACGTTGAAAAGAAAATTGCAATGGTACAAGAGGACTATGTCAACAATCTTGCTCTTCGTGCTGGTCGACACTGGAGAGAAAATGGTGAAACTTCAGCAGGTTACCTCAAGAGAACTATTGAATCCAAATCAGCTAAGGAATCCATGCCGCCACTCATTCAACCCATCATTGGCAACCTCTGTCGATCGACCGAAGAAATGGAAGATGCAGTCCCAACTTTTTACGGTCAGCTTTACTGCCCTGACCAGGTAAGTATGAAACATATTGCAGATCTCACTAGCACAATTCCTTCCAGTGACAGCATTCCAGATGTAATGCATAATCGATTATGTGCTCCCATCACCCTACAAGGACTTCAAGAAGGTGCGGCTAGAACCCCAAGTCAAAGCAGTCCTGGTATAGATGGGTTACCGTACGAACTACTTTCCATTTTATTGCAGCATCCACTTACTGGCGCTTTGGCCGTAAAGGTATACAATGATGCACTCACCTCCTCTAGATTTCCAAAGTCCTGGTTACAAACTTGTATGATTCTACTACCAAAAAAGGGCAATCTCTCTTCGCTAACAAACTGGCGACCCATTTCACTCATTAACGCAGATGCCAAAACTTTCACTCGATTAATCAATGCTCGACTTATGCCTTACCTCAACAAATATATTTCATCACACCAACTCGGATTTATGCCTGGTAGATTCATCGCAGAAAATGGTAAGATCCTACAATTGATACAAGCTATTGCACACCATGTTAATTCCAACTCTATTGCCCTTCTTCTTGACCAAGAGAAAGCTTATGATAGGGTCCATCCTACTTATCTGACTCAAGTTATGCATGCATTTAGCATACCCCATACTTTCATTGAATCCATCACATCTCTTTTCTTCTCTACTGACATTAGTTTCAATATCAATGGTCATATCTCTTCCACAACAGTCCAACAACATAGAGGTCTCCGACAAGGAGATCCACTCAGTCCTTTATTATTCAACATTGCTTTCGACCCATTCCTTCGTTCTATTCAACAAAATCCTAATATTCAAGGGTCTAACTTTCAACTAGAAACCAAAAACCATCATCCGCCATCCTCCGTATCACCAAATGACCTCTCACTTTCCTTTCAACAACTACAACTAGACAATCCCTTATATCCACCCTTCTCAGCACCACCTGTCAAAGTTCTCGCCTATGCCGATGATACACTCGCTTTACTTCATAATCACCAAGACCTTCTATGCCTTCAACAATTAATTCACAATTACATGTTAACCTCCAATGCTAAACTCAACTTCAACAAAACTGCAGCCATTTCGCTGTCAGGTAAACCTAATCCAAGATGGAAGTACTTTTTAGCTTCACAGAACATTACAACTTGGCATGACAACACCTCGCCTGAAGCAGTTAGTTATCTTGGTTATCCAATTTACTCCAGTCCCCATCAACGAAACTCACATATCGACAAATTATTCCGAACCATCCAGCAAGCATGTCTCATACACAGCACTAAAAATTTATCTATTAGAGGCAGAGCTACTGTCCTCAATTCACTCATTCTATCACGACTATGACATGTACTTCGCCTGCTTCCTCTCAAAGAAAACACAACAAAACACATTGCAACGCCTCATCACTTCCTTCATCAACAGTCGCCGCTTTGGTACCATTCCTTTCTCAACACTCATTTTACCTCGTTCTCAAGGTGGACTTAGCGTCATTGATCCTCATCTACAACAGAGAGCTCTTCAATGGCGATGGGTCTACCCTTTATTAGCTCCTCACTCTTTTGCTATTTCTTTACCTTCGCTTCCTTATCTCCAATTTACCCTCTCTTTCTTCCTTTGTTCCCCACAATACCCTACTTACCACTGGCCTTTGTTATTCCCCTTTATACGAAAAAAACTTTCTATTGACATTCCTTACTTCAACCGTATTTTCTTAGCTATAGATTATCTACCCCACAACTTCTCCAATTGTCATGTCCCCCTTCACGTTTGCCTTCGCCTTCCACTTCCTGAACTTCTACATTCTATCTATCCTTCTCCACCTCCATCCAACCTTCCTATTTCTAAAAATGAATACTTCAAACACAATCCCAGTATGCTAGCCTTAACAGGTAATCACATTTTTGTTTTTGATTCTTCTAGTGAATGCCTTCGGTTTCGCTCTCGGCAAGAAGTCCCTCGTTTTGAATCGGCCACCTACCGCGCTTTACTACACTTTCGTCAAAAAAAGCTCTTCCTCAATTCCTTTTTCCTGTCTCCCTTACAAAAAAAAAGTTTTAAGTCTTGTTCTTGTGACGCATACTTTTCTCATTCACTTTTTATCCGATGCCTTAATCTGCATACTGCGCTTAGCCAACTCAAAACTTTCTCCAACCCTTTGTCCCACACGTTAAACTGACTCCTTATAGAGCTAGCCAAGAATACCTGCTCTGTATCCTATTAGGGTACCAAATGAGCCTCTATTGATTCCATCATAATCCAAATCTCTCTACACAACATGCTACCACAAAAACTCTGCTCCTTCCAACAACCAATCAGCTGTTTCTCTCCTTTGTTTTGCTACAGACATGCATTCACCAGCATAATTAAATCAACGCTTCTTCTTCTACGCATTCCTCATCCTTGTTCCCTTCAGTAGAGCTTAAGTCTAGTTTAGATTAGTTATTTTTTTTTATGAATTGATCAAATTCGAGTAATTTAGACAAAATCAAGCCGTATGCTCAAAATTGCTTTTTATATAATATTAATAATTTTTCTTGAGAAAAAAATTATGTACATACATAAGCATACCATTTGTATTGCCAAAAAGAATACTTCTAAAAAAAATTACCGTCAAGTGAAAATCAATTAAAAAGTTTTTTTTTTTTTTTTTAATTGATAGAATGACATCAAATGAAAATATAAAGAAAAAAAAACAGAGAAACAGAGAAGAATCACTGTGCTTGTCTTACTATCCAGTTTGTTGCACGTTGGAAAGGATGTACAGCTTTCTCCTTTTCAAGCCCAACAATCACCTCTGCAATGCATTGGTGTAATATTCACCTCTTTCATTATGTAGATGCCTTCATTCACTAGTCTTATCTCGTATATGATCATGGCATCGCCATGTAGAAGCGCACGAAATGAGAGGGCATGAGAGAGAGGGCAGCCACACGACACAGTTTTATCTACCGTGATTTTCATAGTGTTCGAAAACTTTAAAAAATTAAGATCTCCCTTGTGTGCTTCGGGCGTCTTTGCCTCCATGCTATAAATCTCAAGTTGTTCGCCAGATCCAGAGAGGACCGAAACCAAATAATCTGGCTTTAGAACACAGCTGCTCATATGCTTGTCTTGCAAAAACAAAAAATGACGTTACGTATTACCACATCAAATAATATACCAAAGAGAGCTTACATATCAATCTTGAAGATATTAGCATTCAACATTTCGAATGTGTGTCTTGCAGTTGGAGAAAAGAACAGCGTGATAAACATGATTTTGGTCATTTTCTCATGACATCATCGCTTATGAGAAGCGACGCTAGTAACAAGAGTTAGTATCGTATCAAAACTCATGTGTAAACAAAACTGACGTACACTTCATTCAGAATGCTGGCATATGATATCAAGATATCATCTTCAAGTTTGCTTGCTTGACTCATATACGAAAGAGTCTTTCTTCTCAACAACTTGGTAATGCGATCTTCGAAGCTTATATCATTCTCAACGAAGTCAAAGTTAATCTATAAATAAGGCGTTGGTCCAATAAAAAAATGTACTTGTATGTATATAACTTACGCTCTTGAGCTCTTCGGTCCAACTCTTAGCAACATTGGGCACAGCAGGCAAAGCATTCTTGTTAAGATTATTGAGGAAAAGATACAGCTGCTGCGGAAGGAATTTACTGATTGACTTTTGCTCTCTATCAGAGACAAAGTATATGTGGTTAAGCATCCTAAAAGGAAGCAAATAACTAACAACATTTACAATATACAAGACAGTGATACTTGCAACTTTTGTGATGCATTCAGCTTGCAGTCTTGTCCTTCCATTGTTACTGCTTTTCTTCTTAATTCAGTCAGTTTTACTGTCATATTGTAACCATTATGCACCCACTATAGCAAATATAGATTTAGTATTAAATGAAATACAAGGTACATTTGCCTTACATTAGTATTTGTTGAAATGCTTGCTACAGAACTAGACGTCAATGTCAAAGCTGCAGAAAGAGTAGTAGGGCTATTAGAGTTATCACTGGCAGTAGCATCAATGATAGCAGCAGCATCAGGAGCATCAGTAGTAATAGCATTAGTAGCATTATCTTCTCTTCTTCTCTTCTTCTATGAGTTTCTGAAGATTTCCAGATCCAGATTGCCATAATCCTCTTTCTCAAATTCTGGACGATACTTTTCGAGGTGGCTTAAGTGTTTGGTAACTAATAGCCTTTGAAGCGCTTCTGTTTGTTCATTCATTTGCTTCAGCTGCTTGATGTACTTATAAACGAAGAACATCAAGAAAGGTTTTTCTTCAGTTGGGGGCCACCCCCTATCGAACATGTTAAAATCCAAATTCGCAGAGTACTGGGTAGAGAGGGGATGGCTAGAGAACACTCCATTGCTCACTCTAAGAAGCAACCACTTTTGTATTAATATGCAATCGTTTAACGAAGAGGAAGTAACTGTAGTCATTTTATAAGTAAAAAGAAAAAAGAAAAAAATAATAATTTCTCAAACTTATTTTAACAGATCATTTTGTAATAATAGACAGATTTTGATTGTTTATCACACAAAGAAACCAGTAATTTATCAAATTGAAGATAAATGATTTATTTGTGCGAAAAAAGAGTATTACATAATAAAATTAAAATAATAAAAAACTAATAGCAGCTAGTTTGTCAAAATGCTTCTATTTAGAGGGGGCAAAATGTTCGCCATTAGAGAAATAGAAATACATTTATGTATTTTATATATATATTTTTTTTGGGCCGACACAGTGATATAAACCACCCTTCTTTATCCGGTGCTCTGCGAATTTCGGTTTGAACATGCCAGATAGGTAGGTGGTCCCCAAGAAAAAAAGGAGGTGATTTATAAGAAACCTGTAAAATTTTTATGCTCTACTTTTACTACAATGAGTTGTTAACTATTTCATTTTTCACTCAAAGCTCATGGAGCTAACTTGCAGTTTGGTATATTTGAAAATATATAAGTGAAAGATGATGATTTATTTGTTTGTTTTGACTTTCAATTTTTTTAGAAAAAAAAAAAAGATATGAGAAATACCAATCAATCAGAAGCATTGATTAAATAGACGAGAGGGACTAAAAATGAACATTGCGATGGAAACGGATCAAGATAGATTGTAAAGAATAAGGTTCAAAATGCTTATTTTCATACATACGAAAAATTATTTCTTTCTGATCTATAACAAAAGCTTCAAGCTGTTTAAGGATGCTTGATCACATAATTGCTAAAACAAGTACAAATTGCTAAAAGTGTTATGATACTAACATCAACCCGAAATATGAGGGATAATGGATATCCTTTTTTTTTTTTTTTTTTTTTTTGAAAAAAAATGAAGATGATAAGTTGTGCTAAAAAGGAAATTTATGGGTGACATTTAATGAGTCTCTTATTTTGTTCCAATCGCTTATTTGGCCATGATAAGGTCCCACTCTATCTTTTTTAAAAATGTTTTAAGCAATAGTACACATGCATGATTATGTCTAAGTTAATATATACTAAGTTTTTAGATGGGCAAAAAGATGACAAAAACGGTGTATTTGTTCGAGGAAAAGAATGTTACGTTTAAATGGAACTAACTACGTTCAAGATAATAGCTGAGATAAACAATAATCTCGGTCAGTTAAACCATCAACGTTTTGATCTGTTGTGTTAGTCGATAGTAAAAAAGAGACTGGTTGAGAAGGCACAGTAAAAAAAAAGAAACTAGTTGTGCCAGTGTTTATTCTAAAGACTTCTATGGTTTGGAATATAAAGAGATTACTCCTAAAAAGTACAGTCAGATAGATATCACATACGTCACTTCTTTAAAATAAATATGTTTATTTTAAAATGAACAAATATGTGAGCATAAACATATATAACATTCATGAATATCCCTTGTTTTCTTGAGCAATAGAAACATCTCTTTTATGTCATGAACACAGACATTTGTTTATTTTGCGAAAATCAGCTAACTTCTCCTACAAGCGTAAATGTGAACAGAAAAAACATAGAGATCGGTACTGATATGACTTATAGTTAAAAAACAGCTTTTGCTCTCCATTATGTCGAGCCATGGAAGCCAAAAGTCATTTTTCATTAGCAAATAAGACAAACACTGTATCCAACCATTCTTCCATCGTCTTAGCAAAAGATAAATCCAAGTTCTTACAATTTAATCCCGAGCATTCCTCTTTGACCCCGTCCATCATCACTTTAGATAACCCACATCGTCCATTATCTGATGTCTTTAAAGATCATGAAAAAGTAACCTATCTATAATAAAGCCCAATTTTCCGATGAAATATGTTCATCGGATTATGTCCCTATCAATGAACGCTAAAGCTATGCGAAAACAAGGGTTGTTGAAGTGAAAATATTAAGGATATCTCCAGCATAATCCCGCACTTTGTTACACTGTTATACCGTGTAAATAATAGGCGTGTGTGCAATGACAGCTTATCTCTCTTTTCTAATTTATAATGCACATGAAAATCCAACCATTTGTATCCGAGGATACATCAACAAGCGTAATACAAAGAAAAAGAGATGTATATCGTTCTTATCTGTAAATCGTACAAGCAATAAACAAGTTAAAGAAAGAAGAAGGCTTGGTTACTAAGAAATGAAAAAAAACGAGAAAGAGAATCAAGGAAGAAAAAAAAGGTAAAAACTAATTTTCATATGTTAAAGTGCGTTTCCCCATTTTTATCCAGATTTGGTAGCTCGTAGTACAGACATATGAAAAAGATGAATAACTAGGTGCGTCTATCATGATGAGTGTCACTTTGTAAATAAAAAGAGAGACGGGGGTAAACGTATACCATCTGCTTTTTTTAAAAAAAAAAGTGGAATGATATCTGTTTCTTTGCTTACTTTTTGCCTGGTTAAAAGAAAAAAAAAGAATAGCCTATACTTTGTTCAACGTTGTAAATTAACTGCGTAACATGTGTAATTTATAGAATGATCTAATAGGATGTTTCATAAACATTTGTAATTATACTTGTATAAAAGGATTGAACCAGGATAAAGGAAAAAGAAACAACTCTTTCTCTCTTTTTTTTTTTCCAAAGAGACCAAAATTTTTTTTTTCTTACGCAATTATGAATTCTGTCAGCAGCATTAAAAATTATTCAAGCCAAAATCAAGAAGACAGCAAAAATTGTCTTATTTGTGGCTCTTTCGTTCATATGACAAGAGTAAGTCATTCAAGATAATTTAAACATGTCTATTAACAGATCATTAGAACTGTCCAGTTTCGCCTTAACGCTTTCTTTCTCTCTCTCTTTCTCTCTCTCCGCTTTCTGTGTCTCTCCTTTTTCTCTCTTTTATTCTTGATTACTTAAGCAAACACGGTTCCTTTTTATGAAATAGAGCTTTGATAGATAAACAAACTGGATCATGCATTTCATTTTTAGATAGAAATACGCCCACACACATTTCATATACACTCATCCCACTCTTATGCATATGTACATTTTTTCTCTCTTTCTTCAATAAAAACCTAATTTAAGCTTTTTTAAGTGAAGCACGGACGATTAGAGAGCATATTGGATCACATAAGCCCTTTTGCTTTTGTAGTTACACATAATGGTTAGCGTGGTAAAACAAGCAAATGCCATGATTGGTTGAAAAAGAGATCGTTCAGTAGAATCATACGTTTATTTAAAACACGCAGGGCACAAGACATGCTCGGCGAGGAACAGAACCAAATTTCTGAAGATACCATTGCTTTGTGTTATAGGCCCTTACGACTAAATATCCGGCAGATCCGATTTGTAATAATAAGATCAAGACATGTTGCGTTACCAGTACCAAGCCAATAAATGAGACAATTTCACATGTCTATTCAATTCAGTTCATTCATCACCACAGAAGAAAAAACTTACGTAATGCGGACACCAGATATAATCAAACAAAGCGCCATTGGGTATCTATGACAAGTGTGAGCTGATATCACAATAGCAATATTTACTTTATAGTCTTTCTGTCCAGGTTTTCGAAGGTGACGTAGAATAAGATGATGGTACAGGTTCATACTCTCTCCTACTATAAACAACAAGATACCAAGCCATGAAAGAGTCTGATGGGTAGTGGGCACCTGAGCGGTAAAGACATATAGAAAACAAGCAAACAAAGCATAAGATATAGAAATCACATAATTATCCATCAATTTTGCATGTCCTGAATAACGGTGTACAAACAAGACCTCCTATATAGTATGAGATACAACATGGTCTTGGTCATTGACTTACCAGGACTCTTTTGGCATAATGTACAAAAGATAGACATGAAATCAACTTTAGTCTAGAACCAGTTTTGAATGAGACGAGTACAAAAACGCCAGTGATCATAAGAGAAGGTACATAAGCCAACAGCATGCCAAACTGGGAAGAAATCTGATACACACGTATAAACAAGGCGCCATTCATCCTATTGACTTACGGTAGACTCTTTTCTGTATAGTTTAGTCGAAAATTTAGAGTATCTTAGTCGAGTGTTTGGAAAGAGTTCTCGGACGATCAATAAAGCACTGCCTACAGTGATTGCTAGAGCAGTACATGTGTTGAACAGAGTCCAGTCGGGAATATACATCATAAAAAGATACAGAAATAGCTTTTCATCTCTTGATATTTATACAACCAAAGAAATTGAGGAGCAAGTGATTTCAATTTCATTCTTCTATTGATTTACTTGTCAAAAGAACAATGAATACTGCATGAGGATCTCCTTAATCCCATACGCAGTTTGAACCCCGTCAGTTAAAGTGACGTGGCTTTTTAGACTTTATGCGCGTCTGAATTGATCAATCTCTTTTTTGTTGAACATGGAAAACAACGATAGACCTTTATCTGAATCTGACCAAGTGAGTCAGGGACTCTCTCTTTCAGATAAACTCCTAACGCGTGTACTTTCTTTCTTTTAGATACGTCTTAAACGACTAGCAAAACTTCAACAACAAGAACAGCAACAAGAACTACCAAAGCCTGTTGAACAAAAACCAACAAGTTCAGCTAAAGTTGCTCTTCCTACTCTGGACGAGTTTGTGCCCCTGAAAAAACCAACACAAAATAAGACGCCTGTATCAAATATCACCGAGGTATATATATATATATATATATATATATATAAAAGAGCATCAAATCCAATTTCTAAATTTTAAATAGGAAAAGAAGCCTGTTGTAAACAAACTAGTTCAGCCTACTACTACTACTACTACTACTACTACTACTACTACTACTACTACTACTGTCAAACCAGCTAAAAGCTTTGAGGATTGGCAAGATGATGTTCTCTCTCGTATTCTTCAAGTGACATTGAATGTAAGTTATCGAGTTTAATTCCTACTGACTTTTGCTTAGCCTAATAATATGTACAAACAAGGAAAATGTGTCTATTTATCTGGACTCGTCAATGAGCTAATGGAAGAACAAGGCAAGCTAATAGTTAATTGTGCTACAGCTATTTATATTCTTATTAGAACTTCATCCAAATAAGCTGTCTCAACATATATTGGATCGTATTATTGTAGCAAGGCTCTCTTTAGATCCTACAGAATCGCATGATGATCTCCCTCAAGATATTGCAGTCACCTTAAGAGCACCTCATTTTGACTATCTTTTGAATTGTTGGAAGACAGTGCATGATATTAGAAGAAATACATTGCTAAGAAGCAAGAATTTAGAGAAATCAGTCCTTGATCAACGATTGAATGTGTTGGATAATGTCAAGGCTCTCATTGTTTCTTATTCTGGCCTTGTCCTTCAAATGCCTGACATGTTTCCTCAGTTGCAAATGTAAGCATAATCACTTTACATTAGGTGTTGATCCCCCCCCTTTTTTAGTGGTCTATTGGGTCCTCTTCAGCTTGTGTCTCGACTTACATCTCAACCTGATACAAGTGAAGGACTGCCTTCAGAATACTTGGTTGAACTTGTGAATCGCTTCCATGATGATGGCTTAGATAATGTAAGCATACAATTTTATTGATAATGGCTTATTCTTTTATAGATTCTTGGTCCTGCCATGGTTGCCATTTCAAGCCAAGTTCGTACGCAAGACATCTTGGGCGAATACAAGACAGCTATTCAATCATTCACTTATTTATCTGAAAACAAATCTATTGCAGCTATGGTAATTGATTTCGTAAATACACAGTGGATGACTTACTCGAAAAAGCTTGCAACATTAGATGAATTCAATCCTACAAACGCTTCAGCCAAGAATATAGAAGATGTATCATTGCTTGGTCCTTTCTTTAAGCTCAGTGCTTATCCTGATAGTTCTGTAAGTCAGGTGCATTCTATCGATACGTATTGACACTTGTGTTTATAGTCCAAAGTGATTGATTCTTACTTTCAAAATTCAGAAAATAGAAATTTAGGTGATTTGAATTCATGCAAAAATGGTCTTCGAGGCAGTGTTCAAAATATTCAGGTAAGGAGAAAAGAGATAGATACAAAAAGAAAAAAAAATAACTAAGGCCATGTATAGAGAGCCATGTTTGGTATTTGTAACTCGATTGTCAGAGCAGACGCAGGCTCAAGAAATCAACTATTGTCCTATTTTGGACACATTATCAAGCTGAATGAAAAGAGAGCACAAATGCAAGTTGATACTCAGACAGTATCTTCTGATGGATTTATGCAAAATATTGCAGCAGTTCTCTTGACTTTCTGTGATCCATTTTTGGATGTACGTGCATCCAAGATTGACAAGATCGATCCTACTTTCTTCCGTACTAGCAAGCGATTGGATGTATCGGAAGATACCAAAATCAATGCCACAAAAGAACAATCAGATGCTTATTATAGCCAAGTACAAGAACTCAAGAGTAAGTAGGTGTTTCTGGAAGTATATGCTTATTGTATTAGATCATAACTTTATTACCGAGACATTTTTCATGACATTGGCATTTATGCACTATGGTCCTATTCGTGCCTTTGTCAATTTCAATGAATTCATTCGTGAATATACTGAAACGAGAAAGCAAACTGAAAGAGCCCAACAAGATGCTATCCGTACAGCCAATGTAAGCCAACTTCTCATTGTGTTGTACTCATTTTTTCTGATAGACTCCTCAAGGTGTCATGAGTGATTTTGTTGCTAAACGAATGAAGGCTAAATTGGACCAAATGGCATCTTTCCGTTTAGCTTATGAAACGATGCTATTAGATCCTGTCTTTTTAACAGAAGCCTTGCGATTTTATGATCTAGTCATGGCTTGGTTAGTTCGTATTGTAGATCCCATGCACCAACATCCTTGGAAAAAGGTCCAATTGCCTATACCTAAACAAGTTCCTGACGTGTTTGCGATGTTGCCTGAATGGATCATTGAAGATATCGTAGAAATCTTTATTTTTATTGGAAAGTGAGTAACATTGTACCGTATGATGTGTAGCTCACAGTCAATAATAGGTATGGTTATGAAACAAATGTGATGAGAGAACATCCTCATGATGAACTTGTCACTTTTATCATTACTTTCTTGAGAAATGCAAATTATGTCAAGAATCCTTATTTAAAGGCTAAACTAGTAGAAATCTTGTTCTTCTTTACTTATCCTATTGCAAGGGGTGTACCTGGTGAATTAGAGAATATTCTCAACTCGCATCCTTTGGCATTACAACATTTGGTGCCTTCTTTAATGAACTTTTATGTTGGTAAGTATAACAAAAAAAAAAAAGAAAGGGAATTCGGTCATTAACCATAAACAGAGGTTGAACAAACGGGTGCTAGTTCTCAGTTCTATGACAAGTTCAACATTCGTTATAACATCAGTCACATCATGAAGACAATTTGGAGTCATCCTGCTCATCGAGCCAAATTAAGAGAAGAAAGCCAGTAAGTATCCTAGCTTATCAAGAATGACAAATAACCACCTATAGGAATTCTGGCAATTTTACTCGTTTTGTCAACATGTTGATGAGTGATGTGACTTACCTTATGGACGAGAGTCTAAGCAAACTTACTGAAATCCATCAAATCCAATTAGAAATGAGTGATCAAGCAACATGGGAAGCTCAGACACCTGTAAGAAACATAAAGTATCAGTCTATCCTTAAACTCACATCTGAATAGCAACATCGTCAAGAACGAGAAGGAAGTTTACCTTCACTTGAAAGACAAGCACAATCGTATGTTGCCCTTGGGAATGAAACAGTCCATATGCTCAAGTACATGTCATCCGAAGTTGTTCAACCTTTCTTGGTCAATGAAATTGTAGATCGTTTAGCTGCCATGTTGGATTACAACCTTGTTCAACTGGTTGGACCCAAATGCACAGAACTCAAAGTGTCCCATCCCGAGAAATATCATTTCCAACCACGAAAACTCTTGTCAGAAATCATTGACATTTATCTCAACTTGAATTCAGATGTCTTTGTTCAGGCTGTGGCTCGAGATGGTCGATCTTACCGTAAAGAATATTTTTCTAAGGCAGCTTCTATTTTGCAGAAACACAACATCAAATCTGTGGATGACATTCATGCACTTGAAAAGTTTGTCCATCGTGTCGAATTGGCTATTCAAAGCGGAGTTGAAGAAGAAGAGGAATTGGGTGAAGTGCCTGATGAATTCTTAGGTAAGTGCTACTTGGTATATTGTTTGTTGCTTATCCTCTCCATAGATCCAATCTTCTTTACATTGATGGAAGATCCTGTTCTTTTGCCTACGTCCAGTGTCATTGTTGATCGTAGTACGATTACTGCTCATTTGCTGGGTGACACACGAGATCCATTTAATCGCAAACCATTGTCTATGGATATGGTTCAACCTGCTACTGAATTGAAACAGAAAATTGCTGACTGGAAAGCAGATCAAAAGAGTAAAAAAACGTTGCAAGCTATGGATATATCCCCATAAATAAATAAAAAGCATTACTATACACAGTTCTTTTTTTTTATTATTTCTAATGGTTTGTCTTTTTGGGTAAAATGGGTGTCTTGCGAGAAACATAAGGTCCAAGCTAAAAGAGAAATAAGTTTCAACTGTATAACAAGAATGACTTACAGAAAAGTTTTCGAGATCAGGAACAACAAAGGTTCTGACCTTATTCCAGTCAACCAAGTAACCGCCGTTCTTGGTGTGTCTACCCATAGCACCAGAACCAGTACCTAACATGGTATGAATATCAATCAAACATAATAGCCAACTATATACCTTTATAATAGTTGTGTCCTTTCTTTGCTGTTAATTGTAAGCGACTAGCACCTCTTGGCATAGACTTGATAACACCAAACATACTGATAGAAGAATGAAAAAAGAAAAAGAAAAAAAAAAAGTGACAGGGTAGCTGATATTGAACCGTCGTGACGGTGCTTTTATTTTTTTCTTTTTTAAGCATGAAAAAGCTAAACCAAGGTGCATTCCTCCTTTATCCATGACAGTCAAGCCAAGCACGCTCAAAGACGAATTCAATCGACTTTTTCAAAAACACCATGCCTTAGAAACTGACCCTGGATTTATAAGCAAAAAACAAAAATTAAAGCAATTGAAGTAAGTAAAACCAACCAAGAATATGCATGACTGATTGACTATAGATTAAAGCCACGGCACGATCTCAACACACTCTCCGAGATCTTTCAAGATCCTGAACTTGTCTCTCGCATATCTCAAGAAGCACATGAGATACTGCGTCTCAGTAGCACACGCGCTCCTCGTATTCGTCAAGAACAGGATATCATTATTCATAGAAAACCTCAAGCAAAAGATGTCTATCGGCGCACAGTGATTGATGATGAAGTGGCCAATATGTACAATACAGTCGAGAACAGCATTCGACAAGAAGACGAATATATCAACCCAATTGCACCTAAACAAAGAAAATACCTTGCGCATGAAAAAGAATGGCAATTGACACCGACGGAAGAGACAATTGTACCATCAACATCGCCTGTTGAACCTGCAATGAATACCATGCATGAATCATTTCCTATAGCGTTACCATCGATACCAGCAGCTACTATTGATTTAGATACGAATGCGTCAATAGAACACAATGCTGAACTTAACAACATGTTTGATACAGTAGCACAACAAATGAGTCAAAGTCCACTAAAGACAGTGGGACCCAAACACCTTTATACTTATTTACCGAGACAATGTGATTCTTTTGCTTATAATTATGTTAAAGAAGATGTAAGTCTGTACAGGAAAGGTATGTGCATTCACACTGTATAGTTTACTCCAGCAGAAAAGCATAATCAAGTGAATACACCATTTGAAGATACATTGATTACAATCATTGTCCATAAATCACAAAGGCCTTCAGTCAAATATCAAGAGATTGAAATACTAGGAAGACAGCCATTGACAGACATACGAGATGCTGTCTTTTGTCTCTCTGATTTTACAAATAACCGAGACAAAAGCAGCGCAAAACCGGATGGTGAGATACTCAACACACCTCAAAAAAAGACAAGTCCATGCATGATTTATATGGACCATGTTTTCTATATCGATACCCGCTATACAGGTCATCCCTTAGATCTTTACCCAACATGGATTGAGTCATGGCTTACGAAAAAAAAAGTCAATCGACAGCAATTTGAGTATACAACACAACCCATGCAGGATACGACACTTGGCAATATGTCTCTTATACTCAACAAGCCTATTGCTTTCATCCATCAAGGTGATTGTGAGCACATGATCTTGATTCCTGATGTGCGTCTATTAGCACCTAATGAATACAAATCTATCACTGAGTTTCCTCGAACAACGCATAATTTCACTTATATTCGCTACAAATGTTCCATGTGCTCTGTTTATCCTGCCACAAAAATCACAATGAATGATATTGTCAGTGGATTCTCACCTTGTTATTTCTGTGATGACTGCTTTGCATCTTTTCATCCAAATGATGGTGTAGTTGCTATTGAATATAAAGGACATCCTGGTGGAGATCATTATCGATATCAACAGCAAATGGCTAAAAAGAAACAATAAATTGTGACTATTTCTGTCTTATTTTTATTTCTTTTTTCGTTTTTTTTTTTTATTTATTTTTAGAAAAAATATGATTGACAAGACAAAAGGAACAGGTAAAGACAACTTGGTTGACTTTATTTAATGCATGGATTAGTTGTGCATGACAAAAAATACGAGAAATTCATGACTTGGCTTCATGAGAATCACTTTCCTGAGACAAAACTAGCTTTAGCCAATTTTGCGAGTAAGCTTCAATGCCATCAAATGATATGCCTATCTCATTCTGTTTCTTGTTAGATACGGGTCGAGGTATGATGGCTACCGAGGATATTGCAGCTGGTCAAGTGATCGTATCAGTTCCTCGTCGCTTTTTGATCACAAACGATAGTCTGTCCAAGATCTATGGCGCTACTAACGCTCTTAGTTCGCATGAACTTTTAGCACTTCACCTTGTTTTGTTACGTCAAGAAAAGGAGTCATGGTGGAAACCTTACATTGATCTCTTGCCTATTCATTTTAATACAATGCCTGTCAAATATGCACAAGTCTTAGTGGATCATTTACCTGACGCACTTAAGCAAGACACATTACAACAAAAACAAAATATACAGCAGGATTATGTCTCTTGCGTTCAATTCCTGAGGACATTGCCTGAACCATTGGCTAGTCAGACCATTGATCCAGACGATTTTGAATGGGCTTGGCTATGTGGTAAGTGAGAGGATGTAAAATATACATACATATATACTTATAGTAGTGTCTAGTGAATACACGTTGCATTCATATGAGCACGATCAATCATACAGTCAATAAAGGCGGCAACATTGCATTAGCACCTATGCTAGATTTTCTGAATCATACAACAGAAGCCAAGGTTTGGATGTCGGTAGTCCTAGGCTATTTTCTAATGATTCGCTCTAGATCGAAAGTGGTTTCAATACACGTACACAATGCTTTGAAATCAAGACATTAACACCTTATGCTAAAGGAGAACAAGTGTTTATTAATTATGGACCTCATGACAATTTTGCTATTTTAAAGGAATATGGGTTTGTGTTGTCTCAAAATATATACAATTATGTTTCGTTGGATAACGAAGTCTGGCAATTATATTCAGAAGTCGAGTCAAATCGTGGACTAGAGATCAAGAAACACATCTTGGAAGGAGCTGGGTAAGTTCTAAAGAAGTGTGTCAAGTAAACTCATGTGTAACTAGATACTCTGGAGATTATTCCATCAAATCAGATGAAATTTCATTTCGTTTATTAACCGCTTTAAGACTGTTGGCTATTCCAGGCACAACACAATCTGGATTTGATCGTAAAGTGATGGACTGGCATGATGTTGTGATGGGACAGACAGACATGATCAGTCCAGAAAATGAACGTAAAGCCTTGTTGATGCTGCAATCCATTTGTGAGAAAGCAGGTGAAAAAGCAAACTATGAAAACACCATTTTAAATGTAAGAGTCGTGATTTTACTCTTTATAACTCATACTTTATATACGTATAGCATTTTACTGAAAAATACCCAGAAGCTGAATATCATCCATTTGCTCTTTATTTTCTACGACAAGTTTGGAAGGAATCAAGCGATATTATCAACGATACATTGATCTCTTTGAAAGAGAAGTTAGCAGCATTGTAAATACTCAGTAGAGTGCATCCTTTTTTGTGGATCAAAGGGGCGATAATATGCATAAGACATCATTTGAAAGAAGTATAAATCTCCTTGTTTATTTTAAATAAAACATCCTTTTCTTTCTCTTTTGTTCATCATGCGTTGTTTGGTTCTTGTCTCTTTTGCCATCTTTGGGCTTGTTGTCAACGCTTCTTTTGCTCTAGAAAACCATCTTGGATTAAATCAAGGGGTCTATGCTGTTAAAAGGCACGTTCGTTCTTCACCGCAATACCATCGGATGCGCCCTGAAAAATTACCACTTCGAAAAGGGCCTCGTAGGCAGTCTCCTTGTAAAAAAGTGCCACATAAAGGTAGAAAACGAAACTCAAAATGGAAAATTTAGTGTCAATCAAAGCCATTTCTAAACTGTGGATTGTATAAATTTGTTGTAAACTTTTTTATTATTATTATTATTATTATTATTATTATTATTATTATTATTATTATTATTATTATTATTATTTTACAGCAGAAAACAACTTGCTGTTCCTGAAAAAAAAGAAGAAAAAATAGGGGTTCAAAAGACACAAACACTGCTGTGTAACTTAATACCAGTTTATCGCTTTGGAGGTCTGGGTGTATCAGGACGTTGAGGAGGGAGAGACATGATGGCTAGTATGTTGGTTAAAAAGAAAGATGTGATAGTTGCTTATTTATTTCTTTCCCCCCTCAAAATGTCGTCAAAAGGAATGCTATTATTGTTTGTAATACGAACAAAAAATAAGAAACCACTTTATATCAATACAGTAGTTGAACATAAAAAAAAAAGCCTTTGTTTGAGTATATACATATTTCAACTCTTTTTTTTTCAATTTCACTACTGGTTACAAAGGGTCTCATCTTAATTATGTAGGGCTAATTCATATTTATTTGGAAAGTATTGATTTATTGATTGTAATGTTAAATAAGTACCTACCTGTGGATGAAATAAAGTGTCACATAAATTGAGTAACCTGATCTGCAATCCAGACTTGACATTTGTAACACACAGTCAGCTATTTTAGTCAATTGAGCTAATGAGTTACAACTTGAAAATATCCTATGTGTTTACACAGAAACAAAAAAAAAAAAAAAAAAAAAAAAAAAAAAAGAAAAGAAAAAAAGAAGAAGGAGTGATGTATCTCCTTGCTAATTGTATGATGCTTTAAATACTGTACCAAGTAAGTAACTTGGTTGGAACAAGAAGGTATCTTGTATTTTTATTCCAAGCCTCATACAATTAGCAAAATGTCGATGGATTGAAACTAGAGCATTATTTCTTACTAGTCATCTTATTTTGTCTTTATGTTTCGACATTACATTTGTGTCAAACATGGTCACTTTTTATGTTACCTTCACTTTAGAAAACAGCGCAGACAAATCCTTGAGAACAACAAAAAAGACTATTTATGTTAACAACTAGTAAAGATAAACAAATGCATCTTTGTGTATGTTGATCAGATTGATATCAGCCAAAAACAAGAGCAAAGATATCTGTATAATATTAATCTACACAAATGGAGTTTCTTTCTTTGCGCAGCCAAGCCTTTAATAGGCATATTTCGTCATTCTCTTTGAAACTTGAGTATCTTAGTTGGATGAACATTCAGTTCTTTTTAGTAACAAAGTTTATTTACTATATATTTTTTTTTTTTGACGGTACAAACAAGGTTTAATTGATAGTTACACATACTAAATATTTGACATTTGAAATTCTCAATCTACTTTGCTTATAGACAAAAAGTAAACATGGCTCTATGAAAAGCTCCACTTTTTCTTTTATTTTTATTTTCATTTTTATCTTTTTAACAATGGCCATCACCAGCTGATTGTTGTTTCTGGAAAAGATGACAAAGTATGGCTTGTGAGCTAAGCATTAGGTAGTTAGAAGGCATGACGATATGTGTAACAGACATACAAGAAATTACCACTTTGGAGGTCTAGGTGTATCAGGACGTGGAGGGCGTTGAGGAGGACGAGGCATGATGATAGAGTATGAAAGAACAAGATAAACCTTGGCTTATATATATATACTCTTTATCAAATGTGGTCAACAAGGAAAATGTCATTGTTATTTGTAGTACAAGAAAGAAACCATTCAGTTCTATATTTATATGTTTGACAACTCGAACACAAAGAAGCCAGTTATTCCTTTGGAATCATCAAAGTGTGCTTATTATATATGGGCTAAGACTGAATGACGATGTGTGTAACAGACGTGTTCTTTTATAAAAGCTTGTCATTGTTATTTGTAGTACAGATTCCCTGATAGACAAGCACAGATCATATTTTCTTCTCAACAGAGATTCAAAGAAGGAAGTCTGTTTATAGTTGAATAATAAGCTTTTCTTTTCTTTTTTTTTTTTTTTATTGTCTCATCAAAATTTATTTCAAAGTTGAATGTCCGTTATTTGAAGTATATTCGTCATGTTAGGATAAGTAGATAGACGAATATGTCAAATAAAAATAAAAAATCATAAGAAAAGAATGCACGTGCATACTTGACCTGATTTGACGTTCAAATGACGGTTTTATATTATCTAATGCAAAGTAACAAAATAGAAAAAGAGAAGGGTCACATGGCTTCTTTAGGAAATGGAAAGTATGTATGGAAATAAAGAATTGGGGTAAATCATACTATAAGATGCACCAGGCAATAAGAAACAATAATAATAATAATAACAATAATAATAATAATACACTATATATATATAACATTCTCTCTCTCTCTCTCTCTCTCTCTCTCTCTCTCTTTTTTTTATCTTCTTTTGATATAGTTAGGAAGTGTCATTCTTTTGGGTGGTGGGTATTTGGCTGAAAAGATATCAGAAGCTGATCTTTTTCGAAGTCGTCGATCATGGTACACATCATCTAAAAAGAATGTAAGAGAGAGTAATATAATTTCAACCACTTACCAAAAGTATGTTTATCATAAGACATCATGTCTAATTCATGAGATGATGATTCAAGCAAGTGTTGCTCTTTTTCTTCTTCTTCTTGTTCTAACATGGGCTGCAAAATGCGTCTTCTTGCATTAATAAACCAGTTACTAATCTGATTCAAATTTAAATTTGTTTCAGCTGCCAAAGCTGCTTTTTCCTCTTCGGTTGGATACGGGTGTTTCTTATGTCGTGAGAGCCAATCACGTAGGATGGCTGTCACAGCTTTTGGCAGATTCCCACGTCGGCGTTTATTTGTGGATGAGTTGGATGCGTTGGAGATAGTAGATGATGTAGAAGCTCGTTTTTCATTATTCATCTTCATCGTTGATTGATGAACATGGCTTGATGTAGTCATGTTCTTATGAGGATGATGTGTACGAAGGCGTAGGCCCTCTAAAGGTGGTGGTGGCGAATAGCTTTTGATATGAGGTGGACTAGGTGAAGAGACTAATGAAGGTACAGGCGAATGATCTAATGATTCAGGATGATCTATGCTGGATGAGTTAGCGCACAGACAAACAAAAGATAAAGTAAAATAAAATAAATTACCTCTTGTCCAAGTAATGATATCAAGCCAATATCGACCATTTGTTTCAAGCATTTCTTGAATCCTCTTCTTATGAACATCTAAATGACGTCCATAAGAAGGGTCACCATAAGGAATATGAACATGCTCCAAGTCACCTGATCCAGACTTTACATACTCATAGTCATGAAATAAGATAATAGGACTGAATGTACGTAATTTCTATTTCCCTTGTCATCAGTAATGTATGATAAACAGTTGCTTTACCTTTTTTTCAATAGTAAACGACATGATGAGCAACCGAGATGACAAGATGAAGAAAAAAAAAAGGAGATGAGGGAAAAAAAGAAAGAAAAAATGAACTTATTTTGACAAGCGGAGAGAAAGAGGAGAGAGAAAAAAAGAGAGGGGGTTATTTATAAAGAATAAAAATAAGGTTAGTCTGTGATTGGTTCCATAAAATAGATTTAATGCTTGAATTCAAAAAGTAGAGCGTGACGACAAAAGTGTACGACAACATGATTTTATCATTTCTTATTACGCTATGGCCATAATCAAATTCACTTTAGTCATTTTAGAACGTGTCTATCAGTCAGTTGACATGTAGGTAACACTATCACTTTCTTTATTCAGGGGCAGGGCATTTAAAGACCCATAACTTCTCTAAGTTGTTGCTTTCTTTGTTCAATTTCAGTCTGAACAGAGCTTGTGCTGTGCATTAATTCATCAAAAGAGGCATGGAAGGATCGACCTTCTGAACTCATCACAGCATCAACGCGAGCATCTAAATTATCAAGTGTCACAAAAGAATCTGTGGCTGCATACAATTTCAACAATTGTTTGCGTCGAATGGCACGTTGTGTCTCTTGCAATGCTACACGGTTTTCTTCACGTCTAGCATGTCTATCCAATCGACTTTGTTCTTGAGTGGCCTTTAAATCTAACATGTCAACCACTTCTTGTTCATGTTCTTGTTGTTGCTTTTTTTCTGCTTCTAAGGTCTGCTTTACTGTCTGTGCTTTTTTTTCTGCCATGGCTAATTTTTCATCAGATCGTAGTTGCTTTTGTCCCTGCTTCTCTAATAATTCATGTGCATACTTGTGGCGTGTGGATTTTAATGCTTGGCGGTATAACTTCTTGGGGCTTTCTGTCTTGATATCGCGGGATTTGCCTTCCAGGTGAGAAGTGAGTGAATGGCCAATCACTCTACGTTTCATAACCACCTTGGGTTCTTCACGAGCACCTTCTGGGGCTTCAAATCCAGGTGCATATCCCTTACGTCCAGGTACGTATTGTGTTGATACACATCGAGCAAAAGGTGTGTTGGGTAATCGAATACGAGAAATACGAAGAAGGTTAGACATAGTGATAGCAAGAGAAAAAAAAAATAAAAGGAAATCCTTGTTTCCCGACAAGGGTGAGATGGATTTTTTTTAAAAAGGTGAAAAGCAGTCCGTCTCAAGTCACACATGGAATTGAATGCAACCTTTATTATTAGATAGCAACTACTTCAACATAAAATCTGGTATCGTCTTTCAGGTATTTAGGATCACTTGCTAATTGATCATGGATCCATTGGATAGCATCCTTATAGTTTTGAATGTCTTGAGTATAAGGGTTGTTGAGACCAGATTCACCATTTCTGTGTCCACCAAACCATTTGTCAGCACCATAGAATGCCTGAGATTCTTGTCTGGCTTTAATGTCTTGAGCAAGCTTCTTGTTCAAGACAGCTCCCTTGTTATAGTCCTTGGTCTGATATTTCTTGAATTGAGAGGTAGAGGTGCGAAGCATAAACCAGTTTTGTTTAAAGATACCAAAATTAGCAGAATCAAAAGATTTGTTATCACCATAGGCATAATCAGCCTTCATATGGTCACTTTCTAACATGGCAATAGCGAGATCATAGATGCCACCACCATTTTTGAGAACCTGTTGCTTACGAGCTCCGAGACCAGGCACAGTATAACTGCCTCTTACCGTTCGTAGGAGCAGCAGAGACAACGAGAAGAAGGAAGGAAATGAAAAGCAAATAGAACCCTTTGGTTTGTATCATTGTGGTATTGATATAGACAAGAAGAAACTGATGATATATGTATATCCTTTTTGCTGCTTTTTTTTTTTGTCAGAATATCATTCTTGGTAGTACGATATAAATTATAATTTATCAAAAAAGAACGTGTTGGATGTCAGAATCAAACACAATTTAAATCATTGAAAACAACAAGGCTTGAATAGTATATGAATATCTGATCTATAGGTGTGTTTAATCAAAATGGCAATGGGCATAAATGCCAAACTTTTGATTATCAAAAAACTATTTGAATAGGAGCTTTAGGATGTTGACTTTTTCTTTAAAAATCGATGTCAAATTCACTCAAAGATAAGCTAAAATTAGGCACAAATGATTTTATCGAATACAGAAATACAGGGATTTATCTTTGTAGCAATAGCATAGTCTTGATGGATAAATCGCATACAGATTGAGGCTATCTAGTGTCAATGACATGCTACCAAGCAGCACTTTCAAAATCAGATAAATACCACTTAAACACGGTTTCAAAGGCTCATCTTTGCATCAAATTATTCCCTGGATCAAGGCCATACTTGATAGACTTTTTTCCTTCAAATGTATATATCGTCCAAATCCATTAGATACCTCGAGGATTTTGACGATTTTCAGAAAATGCCATTTTTGACCTCAAAAATGAAGACTTTTTATATGACATGTATTGTACCGAATTGCTCATAATTCTTTACTTTATCACCTAAAAGTGTTTCATTGCCTATTACATGATCAAAATATTGACTTAGTCAAAAAACGGCTATTTAAAAAAGCCAACTTTGCTCAAAAAGTTTAGTCCAAAGTTTCACTTGAAATAGTACCATTTGATGCGTCTCTTGTAATATACAAACTTTAATTAACACATCATGTACATTTGGTTAATAATTTGTTGAGCAATTCGAGATTAAAAGGTAGAAGAATAAAAAACAAACTTATTTTGAACGAAAGAAAAAAAAATGCCGGACTTTGAATAGATGCTTTCCATGCAAAAGGTGTACAAAACATTCTCAATATTTAAGTATAATTGCTTAAGGTTTAACACATCCTTTCTTTGTGTAAGGGAAAGCTGATCACGCATCAGGAAGCACAAAAAACTTTAAGCCAAATGACATTCATGAGTAAATAGAGAGTGGTCTCCTTAATTGTGCAAAAATGAAATTAAATGCACAATCACTTAAATTAGGCAAGTTTTTCCAAATTAGAATACATTCTCTAAAAAAAAAAAAAACGTGATATTTTTAATAAGTTAAAGTTTTGCTTTTGATTTCTTTTCACTCTCTTCTTTAGCAGCTGCATCACGCAACAAGCGACGCAAGATTTTTCCAGAGGGACTTTTAGGGATTTCATTAATAAACACAACACTACGTAACTGTTTGTAATAGACGACTTGATCAGCAACAAATTTCATAATGGTCTTGGCTGTTTCGTCAGTAGCAGGCACACCTGCGTTCAAGACAATATAACCGCGAGGAAGTTCAGTTGCTTGTTCATGATCATAGATACCAATAACAGCACAATCAGCCACAAGAGGTGAATTAAGCTACAAGTTACAGGTTAGCATAAAACAGATGTGTCGCGTTCAACATTACCAAAAGAGCTTCTAATTCAGCAGGTGGTACCTATCAATCATGTCAGTTTCTTTTTCTTTTCTTTTTTTTTTTCTATATACTTACTTGAAATCCTTTGTATTTAATTAACTCCTTTATACGATCCACAATAAAGAAATGCCCATTCTTGTCTTGAATAGCTACATCACCCGTATGGAAATAATTGTCTTGATCAATACAATCCGCTGTCGCTTCAGGATTATTGATATATCCCTAGACACGGGTGTATTAACACCTATGCGATTCCATCTCTTTCGCTTACCTTCATGACATTAGGCCCCTTGAGCCATAATTCACCACGTTCACCTGTAGGCACCTCGTTTCCGTCTTCATCCACAATCTTTGCTGTCATACTTGAGACCAAAATACCAATCGATCCAGGTACCACGCGATCTGTAGGTTCTGCAATAGCCACAGGTGTTGTTTCTGTTAATCCATAGCCTTGCTTGATCACTAGATTAGGCAATCGCTTCTTGACCTGTTGAGACAGATCGGCGCCTAAAGGAGCAGCGCCACAAATCACCAACTGGAGCGAACTCAAGTCGTATTGGTTAATGATGGGATGTTTGGCTAACAACAAGATGATAGGAGGCACAAGACAAGTGAACGTAATCTTTTGTTTCTGAACCGTTTCGCAGAATTGAACCAAATCAAATCGAGGCATCACATAGACGGGTATGCCTAAATAAAGAGCGACATGGATCAAGAGTGTCAGGCCAAAGATATGGAAAAAGGGCAACACGCCAATCATACGGTCCTTGTTGCCATTGACAAAGGCATGATCCAAAGCACAATACTGTAAAATGTTAGATGTCATGTTGGTATGACTAAAGAAAGAAACATGTTAGTTTTCAATAGATAGGTATGTGATCTACTTGCGTGGTCATGACGCCTTTGCTTCTACCTACGAATCATTTTAGCTTTAGGGGGGAGGATTCTTCCTATATACAACTTACCTGTGGTGCCTGATGAAAAACAAAGGTAGGCCACAGAGTCTTTGGTTTCTTCAGCTGTCAATTCAACAGGTACAGCACGACGTTTGTTTAAAAAGACTTGCGTATAGGGAAGTACACCATCCACAGCTTGCTTGTCAAACACAAAGATGTTGGATTTTGAAAGACCAACTAACTCAGCAGCAGCTAAAGCAGATTGGATGTTAGAAGCATGAGCGATAAGCACTTTGGCTTTTGTCATTTCAAGTTGATAAGCGAGTTCTTTGGGATTATAGTTGGGATTGGCAAGTGTAGTTGCACCTCCTATCATGATATGAGTTGAATGACTCATGACAAAACTTTCTTACCAGCAGCAATAGCACCGAGCAAAGGAATCGAATAATCCATCTAGGCTCATGTTAGTATATATGCAGATAATTGACATAATGGATACTTGCTTGATTAGGTGAAAAAACAGCTACAACATCGCCCTTCTTGAACTGAAATCTATCTTGCAAAGTAGCAGCAAACTGAAGTATGCGATCCTTGATTTGACCAAATGTCAAGCTTTCACCCGTAAGGGCATCAATCAGCAATGGACGATCTTCAGGTGTGTTGTTTGTGTTTTTAAATAAAAATTGAATGATACCTATTTCAGGTACTTGAATTGGAGGAAGAGTAGACTGGATCACCATGAAGAATAGAAAAGAGGATTTAGATAACAGAAAAAAAGAAAAAAGGATGAGAAAGCCATTATTTATATAAAAAAAACGGAAGAAAGAAGAAACCCGATTGATTAAATGGATGAAAATTTTAATTCATTCTCGTAATCGCATAAGCATGAAGCCTATTTGATTGGTCAGAGTTCCCCACACTTCAAGTAACACAACGCATGTAATTTTTCACATCAAAACAGTGCTTATTCAATCTTTACATTGTCCCTGTAAATAAGATGAAAAAAAGGAAATTTTGACTTGGATTCAAGGGGAGGGGGTTTTTTTTGAAGTTATTTTTTAATTTAACATAATTGAAAGTTCACTACTCACAATACTGTAAGCGTTCTTAAACTGAATATAAAAGATCATAATTTAAATACATCTTTAGTCTCTTTTCATGATACCCCGCTAGAAAAAAAAAAGCTCACATCCTCCTGTTTTTGTGAAACACTTTACGGAATGACTATTAGGCATTAATGTTTACATATTCTCTCACAAATTGATCGCTACTCGGCTAATTTTCAATGTAAGTCTAGAGTAGCAGAAATCAACAACTTTGAAAGAGAGTTTAGAGAACAAGCATCGGATTCTGAAAGATAACTTTTATGATATAATTCCTTTATTATGGCTTCCATTGATCCCATTATGGTAGATATGTTTAGGCGAGATGAAATAATTGCTTTGTATAGGTTTTGGAAAAAAAAGAAAATGTTTATGCGCTTACAAATCTTTTGAAAGCCACACCTTTGGCCAATGTCAAATAAAAAGCCAAGACAGGTCTTTGACTTTTCATAATAGGTTGTAGCACCTTGATCTCGATACTATCAATACAAATCATTCCCTCAGTTAGCCAAGCATTTGTTCAACCGTAAGAAAAAGAGCAAAGATAAGCATCTAGCATGACTTTGATGGTAGTGTCAATGACAAATATTTAAACATAGTTCTAGAAATAGAAGCTGATAACATTGTAACTTGTGTTCATTTTCTTAAGCTAGAAATTGTAAGGATCTACAACAATAGTCTTTAGACTCTTTTGAAGAAATAAAATTCTCCTAAAGAACGATATCCAAGCAAATGACAATTTCCTTGGCAACCATGAAAATTCATACATTGGCATCTTGACAAATCTATCAAAGAGTCATTGTGTAACTATTGTTGGCAACATCATAAAAACACAAGTGTCTTTGAAGACTCAAGAGAAACATTTAGTCTACTTATGACATTCAACTCAAGTCATTCTGATTGATAAACAAAAAGCTGCTTAGCAGAGTAATGTGAGACTGTCCTTTCTAAATTTAAATTTTACAAGTATGCTTGTTAATAATGCCAAGACGTGATGATTCTTGACCTTCTGTCTGTCTTTTCTTTTTCTTATGCAGCCGTTTCAAGAAACCAGATCATTAATAGTGATGGATTACTTTGGTTAAACGTGTCTGTTTATCTTGAGCAGTCAAACCCTAGGCCAAAAACAGAGTGAACTATATAGATCATTCAACATAAACCAATGCGACCAAATATCTATCAAACATGTTGACGAAAGGTAATTCGATAAGTTAATACGTCTTACTAAAAAATTAGAACAGACTTTTTCTACTAGCAGACTCAGAAAAAGAATTGGGAAATTGTCAAATGCTGAATGATAAATACTTTCTAGTCGGAATCAAACGCATTGACACTAATACAAGTCCGCCAGGAGATCAGCGCTTCTAATTGTGCTCATACATTTTCAATTCAAGCTATCCTTTAGCAATGGGTAAGGTGTTTTTCAGTCATTGCAGGAAATTGATTAAGTATGACATACGAGCTCAGAATATATTTAACAAAAAAGGTACAACATACCTTTACTCAAAACCTCAATCTGGTCATTTTAATCTAATCAATTGACCAAACTTGACTTTGCTGTTTGCCAATGCGACCCAATACATAGAAGCTTTGATATTTCAAAGCAGCTATTCCATTTGTCTATAGCTGAATTTATTATATAGAAAATTTATTGCTTCGAAATCAAGCAGTTCCCCAAAAAAAATCCCATTGGTTCAATGTTATCCTCTGTCCATTACATGTCCTCTCTTTTCAATAAACTACTTACTCATTCCTTAATGCCTGCTGGAATAAACAAGAAATAAAATGCCAAGAACTTTATCTCTTAAGCGACAAAAATAAACGTAACAATAGGCACGGCTTTATTTTTGGAGTGGCTGACTTCATTTCTGAGCACAAAAATAACAGTAACTTTAAGTTGTGTATAAATCAATCCATTTAAAAAGAGAGAAAAAAACAGAAAGAAACAGGGTCAGGAATAGCCACGTCTTGGCATTATCAACAAGCACGCTTTAGCATTCTATTTAGACGCGACTGTCTTTACGTTGTCTATAACATGATGAGCACTCTACAACGTACTTACTGTGCGTACTGGATAACGCATTAACAATGACATTTTCTTCTTTTTCTTAATTAAAAACCAGCAACACAATGCATTAATCGAAAGCGATAGACTCTAAGGTGGCTTGGCAAAATCTTAAAAAAAGTATAAATTCACAGACATCATAGCGTCATTCTCTCCTTTTTTATTCGCTCTCTTTTAATTAGTTAAAAAAATGGAATATACAAAAGACACTACAAGATATAACTGTCGTTGGGAAAACTGTAATAAAATATATACAGACCCCGAGCATCTTTATGGTCACCTTACAAATGAGCATGTTGGTAGAAAGTCTACAGGCAATTTGTGTCTGACTTGCCACTGGGACGGTTGTGAAGTGTCTGTTGTAAAACGAGACCATATTACTAGTCATCTTCGAGTTCATGTTCCCTTAAAACCTCACCACTGCAATGTAAGTCTAGTTCTGTATATCTATAGATGACTTATAATCTGATAGTCTTGCGATAAGGCCTTTAAAAGACCTCAAGACCTAAAGAAGCATGAAAGAATTCACGCTGAAGAACATGAGCAGCCTTTAAAGACCCGCCCCAGTCGTTCTAGTACAACACCAAAAAAGCCAACAAAACCAAAACAACAACAACAACAACAAGATATGCTAAAAGTACCTATTTCTCCTCCTCATAGTTCTTCTGCTTATTCTGATGGTAAGCCGGTTTTTTTTTTTTTTTTCATCACTAATACATAGGTTTAGATGGTTGGGTACAATCTTCTACTTTAAGTGCTATTTCTCCTTCTTCTGGCAACTACGATAGTTTCAATAGTCCTGTATCTCATTCAATCAAACAAGATCCTTCCCCACCTTATTCCCCACCTCATTTGATGCCTGATAATGCTATAAATAACTTGATGTTTTTTGATGATACAAACCAAATGAAGACCGAGTATAATACAGGTAAGATATCACTACGGTAACAAACATGTAGCTCACAATAATATAGACATGATCGAGAACCTTGATTTATTTCAAAATTTAGTTGACAATGGCTCTATTAGTCCAACTTCTCTCAACATGAATTCTGAAGAACAACTCAACAATTTCAACCTTTGGCTAGCCCAATTGACTGAAAATATCGATCAAAGCAATGAACTGTCGTCATATGACTATACTCCTGTACAACCTACCACCAATTATGCGGATATGCTACTCCAATTCAACTCGAATACATTACCTGTCCAGGAACAAGACTTATATCCCACCAACAATGAACAAGACACTTATGTCAGATCTTATCCCATCACCCAACCACAGCCTGTAGACTATGATAAACTCTACAGTGATATCTCCCCTACTTCTTTTGACTATAACGCTGTTCCTACCATGAATGGCCAAAGACATCATTATACCAGCACACCAGACATCATGAACAACAACTATTTCCACCCCGATCTTCGTACCGCACAAAGCTTGCTTAGTTCAAAGGACGATATTAAATACAAACCATCAAAAGAAGAAAAGACGACAGAAGTATTTAAGCCTGTCAAGACAACACTAGTTGAATCCAAAAAGAATGTGACAACCATGATGAACGTATTCACCAGTGCTGATGGCTCCAGTAAGAAGAAATCGGCGGCGACTTTAGCCGAAAATGAACGACAGTCACCTCATGCCAAGAAAATAAACAAAGATGTCTTGGACCTTTTGGTGAGCGATATCTCTGAGTTGACAATCGATAAGCAAGATAAGGAACCTATTTATCCTGTCAACCAGGAAGAAGTAGTAGATGATAAAGTGCAAAAGATAGAGAAGCATCAAAAACTATTGAAGCAATTAAGCCAATGGGTGAATGAAAACTATGCTAAACAGCAACAACAACCAACGCCATCTGCAACCAAAATACCTTCACCTGTTCAAGTCAATTAATCATGTGTGGCAAGTAAATTTAAATAAAATATATATATATATATATATATATATATTTTTAAAAGAGGCTGTATTTTCATTTAAGTCGATTGAATGGAACATGGGGAATCTTATTTATTGTTTGATTTGATTGGATTCAGCTTCTGCATCAATGACTACAGCCAAACGACGCAAGGCTTCATCCATCTCTTCTTTAGACACATTACTAAAACTAACACGAACATAACAATTCTTGTTCTTTTGAGGCATAAATGCTAAACCAGGAATGGCCAACACATTCTCTTTGAGTACCTTGTTCATGACTAGATCATAGGAATCTGTAATACCACCCAACAATTTGAGCCAAACAAACATACCAGCTGTAGGAATAGCCCATTCAGCACGACCCTTCATACGACGTTCGAGACATTCACAGAATTGATCCCGCTTTTCACGATAAAAGTCAGATACACGGCTGACATGGTCAAAAAAGCCTTCATAGCCCCACTTCTCTAAAAGACCATAGATCATAGCTTGAGGTACACCCGAAGGTTGTAAGTTGGTAACCATAGTGTGCATATTGATACGTTCAATCAATACCTTGGGACCTGTAGCCCATCCAATACGAAGACCAGAAGACAAGATCTTACTCATACTATCACAACGCAGGACACGACCATCAACATCTAAAGAAAGATAAGAGGGTGTGCGTTGTTTGTCAAACTGCAGATAGTAGTAAGGATCATCTTCTAAAATCATGATATCGTATTTGGAGCAAATGTTGTACACAGCTTGTTTACGTTCTAAGGTGGCAGTGACACCCGTAGGATTACCACCAGAGGGAATTGTGTAGAGACAATGAGGACGGGCTTGATCTTTTCTTCCGTTGGGGTTACTTTCAGGCCAATTGGCAAGCATAGTCTCGAGAGATTCAGGAACAATACCAAACTCATCTGTAGCAACGTCAGCCAAGGTACAGTCAATTGTGTCAAGGAAAGACAAGGCACCAGTATAAGTAGGGTTTTCGACCAAAAGAGCTTCTCCGGGATTAGTCATCATTTCAAGGGCCTTGACCAAAAGGTCTTGAGAGCCTGCACCAATAGTCAAATCAAAATCAACAGGAGGTTTATGTTCAAGACGCTGAAGCTCACAAAGCCATTCATTTAAGCGAGGTTGACCAGGCTAAAGATTGTCAGAATAAAAAGAGTGAGGGGTCTGAATTATACTCACAGTCATATCATAAGATAAAGCACGGCTAAAGAGAGCGTCATCAATTTGAATGGTTTCTCCTGTCTTTAAAGTGATAGACATACTGGCAAAGGGAAATGTAGCGGGATTGGGTTGACCAGCACCAAGAGAAATCTATAGAAAAAAAAATGTCAATGATCTATTTTTTTTTTTTTTTTTTTTTTTTTTTTTTTGCAGATGAAGGAAATTTACAATATCTTTGCGATTCATGTAGGGCATCAAGGCACGAACTATAGACACATAAGTCACAGGATACAATCAACTTGATACATTACTGGCTGATGGGTTTCTGGCTTTACTGAGTTCACTGATATGCTTTGAGTAATCCATGTTGACAAGAAATGGAAAGAAGAAGAAAGATTTCAGACATTTATAATGGATAATCATTCAAGATGATTCATGCTCAGTTTAAAAAAGAGGTCCGAAAGATAGGAGAAGAAAGAAAGAAAGTTTCTGTTTAACACTAAAACAAGGCAATACACAGATAAGGCTTTAATGTATCGATTCTGCTCTAGATCATACATACAGATCTATGTTTTATATAGGATCATATCAAGAAATATGTCAAGAACAAGTTCATCTATAAACAAGTATTGTGACTGTAAAGATAATCTATTGAATTTGACAGGTTTCTTCAAAATTTTCATGAAACCGCTCTCAAATGACTCATTCTTTGACACTTTGAAAGAACTTTGTTTGGCATAATAACAACCAAAGGTGATTGGTATCCCGATACAAATGACAAATCATGCGTAATTTGGCTTGTTTCCCACGAATATATCAATACTGTCTATCAAACCTGCTTCGGGAAACAAGTCACGCGCAGTAAACAAACGACAACAATGTGTTATATATTCCTGCAAAGAGTATCACGTTATTTCCTCCGATTGAAACGATATCACTTTCCCCCTTTTCGTTTTTTTTCTCTTCTTCTTTTTCTGTTCAGTATGTTTGAGTCTCTAAAGTCAAAGTCAAAAAGAGTTTTTCAAGTGGATGAGACAACACGATTGCTATCGTCTAATCTAGAACCTTTGGTAGAAGATAAATATTATCTTGTATATTGGGTAATCAAAATGACTTCAAGATAAGGACTTATTTATGATTTAGATATTTTTTATCTATGGTATTGCTATGCTGTTGCCATGGAACGGTAAGCAAAGAGAGGCAATTGATCAAGATCTAATCAGATTGCTTAGTCTTTATCACCGCCTCTGAATATTTTGCAAAGAGGTTTGCAAACACACCTTATGAAGAAACATTTCAAAGCTATTTTTCAACTTATTTCACAATTACCAATCTCATCACATTTATGCTCATTTTATGGATGCAAAACAAGGCAAGTTTATACAGTGATGTGTCATTGGATACTTATGGAAACATAGTCTACTTCCTACAATGTCAATTCTTTTATCCCCATTTTCATAAACACACTCACATTTGCTGGTTTAGCAATCACTGTTGAGACAGAAATCAGCGGCATTGGTTATTTCTGGTCTATTATGTTGCTGATGGTCTTAACAGGTGCAACCACTAGTTTCTTTCAAAATTCTGTATTTAGTGAAGCGAGCCAATTGCCGCCCATGTATATGCAAGCCGTACTTAGGTAGACTATGGTTTTGTGTGTGCGTGTGACATCTAATTTTATTTTTCTCTTAGTGGACAAGGTGAGTGGTTGTGGCTATCAAGAAAAAAAAAATAGACTAAGCAGTAAGTATTTTAGGTATTGCAGGTGTTGTTGTAGCCGTTTCAGCTATTATGAGTGCCTTTGCTGGAAGCGCAACAGACGAGTCATCAGAAGATATTAGCCGTTCTGCTTTTCTTTACTTTTTGTCGGCATTTATCATCACATTAGCTGCTCTCATGGGTCGCTTAGTTGTTGTTCGCCTTTCATTTTATCGCCATCAAATGAGTCATGTTCAGGCTGAAATGGCTGTTAATGAAGAAACAGCATTTGAGCCTTCTTCACAAGAGCCTGTGTCTCTTATCTCGACACTCTGTAAAATCAGAGGATTTGTCTTTACTGTGGGTTATATTTTCATTATCACACTGATGCTTTTCCCTACCATCACTTCTCTGATCAAATCTTTACGCCGTCATGACCCCAACCGTACTCGTTTCTTTGATGACGATGTGTTTGTTGCCTTTCACTTTTTATTGTTTAATGTGGGTGACTGGGTGGGCCGATTGATGCCACTTTCCAAGTACTTTGTGATCGTCAATGTCAATCAACTTGCATTTTTATCCGTGTTACGTACTGCTTTTATTCCTCTGTTCTTAATCTGTAACGTGATCGTGTCTGATCAACGTTACTTGCCTGTTCTTATTCAAAGCGATATTGTCTACATGGTCTTGGTATGGATATTTGCTGTTACGAATGGCTGGATTTGTAGTCTAGCCATGATGGCTGCTCCTCAACTAGACTCCATCAAGACCTCAAAGGAAAAGTCTGCAGTGGGGAGTATCCTCAGCTTTTCATTGGTGCTTGGTTTGGCTATTGGTGGATGCCTCAGTTTTCTTGCTCGGTGGATGGTTTGATATCAAACAAATAAATCGATTATTTACAACAGGACGGGCTGTTTAAATTTAAAGTTTTTGTTTTTCATTATTTTTGTCTTTTTTCTCTTCCTCCTTACTATCTCCCTCCCTTCAATGACGTCTTCTCTACAAGATGTTCCGATATTTACCAGTAGCTTGCAGATGTGGTCACCTTCACCTTCCATCTTACTTTTGAGTAATTACAGCGTAGCACCTACCACAACGTATGAATCTCGGTTTGAATATTATCATGATCCAGTCTTGTACCACACAACGGCCTGCTGCATGATCTGCGGGCTTGCTCATCATTCAATCCCCTATACAGCCATGAAAGAGGAAGACGAGAAAGAATCAACGAGTAGAAATAAACCCTTGATTACACCTGCTCCTCAATTCAATACATTAGAGCCACAACAATCTTTTCACCATCGTGATTTCGATAAATTGCCAATCAGTAGAAAACCTCTTTCTTTGCAACGTATTAAGCACTTTTTGCTCACCATGGCTACAAGGTGTGGTAATGCAATTAAGAAAAAAGCTCCTTTGTCAATCCAACGAAAGAAAAGCCTCATTTATCCTATCATTATCAAACGATACCATCGTTCTCGACTCGAGAAACACCGAGTCTGAACTCTCTTCCAAAAACTGTTTGCGTATAAAAAAAACCTGACAAATAAAAAAAATTATGGGAAAAAACCCTGATACCTACTTTTGTACACACTTCCGGGCATTATGATTTGTTATATCATTATCTAATACTATCTCAACCTGAAAAAAGGGTCCATGTTATAAAGCAGAAAGAGTCCCTTTTTTTTTTTTATTTTCTTTATGGCTTTCTCGATTTCTTTTATTCTAACTCAATGTATTCGTCATGGTTCTTTGATTCCTTCCAAAAGAAAAACTTCTTTTCATAAATCTGTTCGCTTTAATTTAAATGAATCCATGGTGTATTATACATACAGCCCTGAAGATTATGACCGAGCAGGTGTTAAGGACAGAGAACCATCTCAAGACCTGGTTGCTTTCTTGGACCGTATCTTGCTAACAGATGAAGATGAAGATGAAGGATTATCCCTAGATGATTTCAACAAACAGAGTGTTCTGCAAAAAAACACTTATCATAATCGTAAGCAATGGCTGTTTTATTTCGAGTAAAGGGAACACAAATCAACTGTAATTATCTATTCTTTTCCTTTGTACATAATATAATTCATTTCTCTAAAAGCAAAATAAACAAGTATCTCGTTTGTGTAATTAAGACAATGAAATGCGACGCTTTTTTCTAGTGTATATAGAACGAATTCATTTTCTTTTCTAAGGAGAAACTATGGATTGTGTTGTAAATAATACTAGGGCTCTCTTTTTACCAATCATAAGCGTGTAGTCTTTATATAGAAACAAAGTCGAGTCCATCATGTGAAACCAAGTGTCAGCTCACTCTCAGCGTTTTACATAATCAATAGGATATCCCAAATCAAGAAAAATAAATCTGAGTTTGGATATATTCTTTTCTTGGCGTAGAATATCTCTTTGTAAACAAAATGTATCTCTTTTGTTACAAGTTTGGCATCAACAAGGACTTTCATTGTTTTATTTTATTATTGTTTAATCGTACACATTCTTTTTGAAAATTAGAGTGTAACAAATGTGTCTTACATATCTTGAACCAAAGCTTAAGTCAATTCTATGAGAGATCGATCAGTCTAGATACTCTTTTTTTTTATATATAAATGGTTGAATTGCTTTACTTTACGAATACATTGTAAAAGATGAAATCAAATTTTATACTTAGTATTCTTGCGATCTCTTTATGCACAGTTGCTGCTCAATTGGTTGTTCCTACAGAAGATGAATTCTCTTTCATTGATGATGTATTAAACGCAGATAGTGAAATGTGTGGCTCAGAAGTACCAATACTTGATATGGTCTTTACTTTTGACTGTTTGGAAGACCACTCAAAAGGAGCTACAGGGAATGGTAAAAACATAGCTGCAGAAGCCATCAAAAACATCCTTAAAGAAGAACGCATAAAGAATAATGTTCAAGATGTGTTACAATAAATTGAACATTTCAAACAATAAAATGATCATTTGAAAAACCTTATGAGATAACATGTATAAACGACATGCCTTTGTTTTACAATGGAAAGTATTGTTCACTTGCATTAGGTTGATTTAATTTGAGCTTTTTTGATGACAGCTACTAAATGCAATTCAAAAGTATTAACTAGAGAATAAACTATTTTTCTCAAGTCTTTATCAAAAATAAGGCACTAGTCAACCTTTTTATCTCATCTAACAGAACCTTGCGTTAACATATCTTTAAAGACTTCACACGTACATCGTACTACCTTTTTATTTACACATTTAGAAGTCCGTTTGTTTTAATGCGGCCCCACTTATGGCTTTTACTCATGAATCTTTAATTGATTGAGTCCAGTCATTCCAGCTATTATAATAGATAATTTCAATAGAAAAATAGATTTTGGGAGAATTGTATTCGTTTTTATATATTTTTTAGGTTTATGGAATTTAAGTTGTAATTGTGTTCAATTAATTGCATATTCTATGGAACAGAAACGTTGTTCTACAATGCTTTTGGTCACCAAAGTGTGTTGCAGTATTGGGTCATATTATACAAGCTAACACTCAAGAAAATAATATAAATACAGTTGTTCTTGCCTTCTTCTCTGTATTCTCAATCATGCGTCTTCTTTCTCAAGTCTTGGTATTGGCTGCCTGTCAAACACTCTTTGCTACTGCTCAACCCATTGAAAAGCGAGCAACCAAATTTACTTCGCTTTTTGCCTTTGGTGACTCTTACACGGACAATAGATCACTGGATGACTTTTATCAATCAGGATCAACGCATGTTAGCAAAGAAAGGTGTGTGTATACCGTTGTAGCTGTATCTAACAACTATCTGTAGCGCTCAATTGGCTGGAGCTAGTTATGTAAGTTTCTTGATGTCATTTATATTCTTAATGTTTTTTTTTATTTAGTTGGGTCGTGCTGCAGATCGTGCTCTTTGGGTAGAAAATCTGGTGCTTGACAAATACACTGGTGCGGACCTTTATGATTTTGCCCGTGCAGGTGCAACAGCCAACAATGTAAGCTAGATAGTATGCCAAACAATAGCATAATATAACACATTCAACAGAAATTGATTTACAGAAACATCCCAGACATGGACACTCAAGTCAATACGTTTAAGAAATCGGATGTTGCAAGCAAGAGCAAGTCCAATGCTATTCATTTCTTGTGGATTGGTGTTAATGATATTAATCTTCTTTGGGGAAAATATCAAGATGATACCAGTGAAAGAAGACAAACGCTCGATGGTATTGTCAACACGATCAAAAATGATTTGGTATGTTTATTGTCTATAGATCAAACATAGTCTCATTTTTTAATTTATAGGACATCGTTAAGAATGCTGGTGCTAAAAATATTGTTCTAATGGGCCTAATTCCCTTGCAAGAGGTCCCCATGTATTACAAGAGTTATTACAATGATAGCTCTAGAGAAAAATTAAAGCAATTGATCTTGAGCTATAACAGCAAACTTAAGACACTCACTGAAGAGTTTGCTTCCAAGAACAAGGGCACAAAGATTTTGTTCTTTGACTCGTATGTACAATTCTACAAAATGTTTGACTCAAGTACAATTGCAAACAACCGATTCGTTAACTGCAACAAAGCAAAAAACTGCGACAAGTAAATATAGATTTCAATATTAGATTTTAATCCATCTTACATAGCTATATTTGGTGGGATGAGCTTCATCCAAGTGGGGCCACTCACAAAAAGATCTCTGAAACTGTTTACAACAAAATTACTGAGGCAGGCTGGTAATCTTTTGATTATGTATTTGAACTTTTGAGATAAAATGCACATACTCTTTTTATTGTGATTCTCATAAGTTCAAGAAACTTGCATTATAAAGAGAAAGATCGACACTATGTTTTTTCACAGGAATTAACTTTGAAAATTTAAGAGAATCAAATTTCTTTACAATTGTTGTCGGCTGCCTTTATATTGAACATGTGTATCTTTGTAAAGAGTATATATTCATAATCTTTGTCTGAACAAAGCAAGAGAATGAAGAACTAGAGAAAAGAAAGTTCTTTGTTTCTCTAATGTAGAGAGAACATTGAAACTTTAATCAAGCAAGGGGTCCTGTTGCATTTTCTCGGTACCACGCAGCGCAATCATTTCTCATAAAGTAACGTCAAAAAGCAGCTTGTAAAGACCTGTGAAAGTTTATATTTTACTCCGCTTGCGGTGAAAAAAATTTGGCTTGGTCCGCTTCGCCATAGAGAAGGTGTTATCATGCCAATAAATTGTTTTCAGTCTATATTCTAATACTACGTTTTCATATTATTTCTGCTAAGTGTTTTCAGGTGATCATTTCAAATAAAGGTGACTCAATGGAATATATAAGGAGAAGAAGAGTCTGATGAGAATTTATAAACTATAACAGTTGGAACGAAAGACAAAATGGTATAAGTGAAGTGAAAGGATCATATCTGAAGAACTTCCTCATATACCATGTTATTTGTGTGATGGCCTTGAATGTTCAAGGTTTTTGACTTTTCATCACCCAGTAAGAGACGACATGTTGATCAGTCCGGGTCTTCTGGACCTGAAGTAGTTTTTCTGTACTAAACATAGAAGATCCAAAGTTAACTATGTAACTAGCTGTCACCGTGGTAAGAGCAAGAATGAGGCATCTGAAGCTACAGTGTCTGTTTATCGTTATATAGTTTTTCTTTATGGTTTCATTCATCATTCATCAATAAAAACTGGTTGGAATATACAGAGACTTTGCTGCTACTTAAAACTTGCTTGTCTCTGAAATAGGTTTGCTACTAGTCTGTTAGGACTGGATCTGCTTTCACTTTATGGCTGCGTATCCATAAAGATGTCTATAACAGCGTACATATTCAATGTTTATTGCTCTTCATGATATGCAGTCCTTTGATAATATCAATATGATGATTACTATAACTATCAATGTATTTATGTAGCCAATGAAGAAATTAATTGTGACTGAGTTGTTGATGGCACATCAATTCCAAAGATATTCAAAGCATACCAAAAAGATGCACTTGAATTTTGTAAAGTAAATGACGGTAAGCTGATCATGAAGCAGCATTTAAACGAGCTTCTGTAAGTATCTGGATAAACCAATCACGTAATAATGTTTGTCAACTAAACACGACATGATTAGTTCTCTTTCTGGTGTTCTTCTGCTTGAGAAGAATAAAGCCATGTCACCTCTCATGAACAAGCACTTGAACAAAGATATCTTGAACAAGACTTATAGCGATATAATTGACAGTTTGCCCTTTGTGAAGTCTCCTATGTCTCTTGGAAAAGATATAAAAAATGTTTATTTGAACATGTGCTCTTGCGATCATATAGTGATTACCGTGTTTCTTTTTCTGTGTTCTTGCCAATCACTATTGATCAAATAGTTGCTTTGGCTACTTACCTTGACAGACTGGCATCAGTATATACCATTTATATAACTGGATGCTTTAAGCCACTTGATGGTGGCATCAAGAAGTGCTCCTCCCTTCCTTTTGATATTCTTTTGAACTCACTCCATGAGCCATTAAAGAAGAGCAAAAGTTTGTAAATGTATATTTGTATCAAAACAAAAAGCGTTTCATTTTGGATTCCTGTAAATGAAAGATAATCTCGGGTAAATCTTTGCAGCTTCTACATTTAGTAATAAATGCACCAAAAACCCTCGGATACGTGGGGATCTCGCTAAATAGGACTTAGTTTTTCTTCTTATTAAGGTAGGTTTAGAAATCTTGGGAGCATTCATTACTAAATTTAGAAGGTTACAAAATCGTACCGACTCCTTCCAACTTGAACTTGAGAACACCTCTCATAATTTTATTTTTTAACTTTCCTTTTTGTTCTTCTTTCTCTCTCACACTGCTTCTTACTGCGCATATCTATAAACTTTTTTTTGATCATGTTTAAAGATAATCAAGACGATAGATCACAAAACAGTCTTGAAGAAGACATGAAAACAGTCGAATGCAGTGAGCAAATCGAAGAAAATTATCCAGCAGTCCTAGAATCTGCACCATTTCCAGCCCTGGGTTCATTAGAAGAGATCACACAAACAATGTCTCGAGTGAGAACAAATCAAACGCAAAAAAGCATAAATGAAAAACTTGAACCTGATCAAGAAAATGAACAAATACCATTTAAACAAGTACCGTATCACACAGATGGTATCCGTAATCCAGGTTGGCTGACAGTTTTGTCTTGTTTTCTTGTCAATTTCTTTGTTTTTGGTACGACCTTTGCTTGGGGAAACTATCAAAAACTGTAAGTTATCCTCTCATCTTTTCCAGAAAACTCATTTTGTCTAGATATACCGATCAAGTCTATGCTGGTCAAACAGACTTGTTAAAAATTGCATTTGTAGGTACTTCTGCATCTGCTTTACTACTCGCATTGGGTATGTTTATCACACCTGTCATTCAGCGACTTGGGTTTCGAAAGACAATGGCTATTGGCACAATTCTAGCTCCTCTGGCTTTAATTTTAGCTAGTTTTGCTACTGAACTTTGGCATGTGTATCTTTCACAAGGTATCTTATTTGGTATTGGATCTGCTTTTGTATTTTCTCCTTCAGTCACACTTCCTTCTCAATGGTTTACTCATAAACGAGCTGTTGCAACAGGCATCGCTGTGAGTGGTTCAGGTTTTGGAGGTAAAATTATACATATTGATTCTGTTAAGTTGCATGTCCTAATCTTCACAACAAGGTGTCTGTTTGTCTCCTATGACACAAAGATTAATTGCGAATCTAGGCTATCGTAACGCACTTCGTATTCAAGGTGCCTTTGGATTCGGATTATTGTGTATTTCCACTGCTTTAGCTACCTCTCGTTACCGTCCACCAAAAAACGGCAAGAACAAATGGTACCATGTCTATGACCGTTCCTTGATCTCTCGTCGATTTTTGTTATTGTTGGCTTTTAGTTTCTTTGTCCCATTTGGGTATGTAGCACCTTTCTTTCTGGCTCCGCAGTATGTGGGACATATTGGATTGGACGCTTCTGCAGGTGCAGCTATGATCTCCGTCATGTCGGCGGCAAATGCTATTTGTCGTATTACATTAGGTTATCTTGCAGATCGTTTTGGTCGATTCAATACTATGTTTGCATGCACCTTTTTAGCAGGTAATTATCCATAGATAAGCTGCCTAGATTCATATTCAAAAAAAAATTAGGCTTTTTTACCATGGTTCTCTGGCAATTTGCTTCTAATTATGCTATATTTGCAGTATACTGTATCTTCTATGGACTCACAGCTGGTGGTTTTGTATCACTGTTACCTGTTACAACGGCTGATATTGTGGGTGTCGAGAACATTCAAAAGGGGCTTGGCATGGCCTATATGACTACCGTCATTGGTAACTTGCTAGGCACACCTATCATTGGCCTCTTATTGAAATCATATGGCTGGACTGCTGCTATACAATTTGCAGGTGCCATGTCTGTCATTTCTGCTGCTTTCATGTTGATTCTTCGATTGACTGTTTCTAGAGGTAAACTTCTGATTAAAGTATAACACTTGCATCATGCCATTATGTAATTTCAGCGGTACTTGTAATATCATACAACAAAAACATGCATTTTTTTTTATATTTATAAATTCCTTTTTTTTTTTTTTTTTCTTTTTCTTTTTCATTCTCGAAACCCTATGAGTTCAGACGCTTTTTCAAAAACTTTAGAGAGTAAGCCTCGACACTCGTATATTTCTCACTTGCAACAAGAACACAATACGACAGCTTCTTCAGTGGGAGGTTCAACAGTAAATAGACTGTCGCGCGTTTTCGAAGCCTCTGGTCATCTTGAACACCCCACCTACAAACCAAAACCAACGCCTCCTTCTAAACCTCCGTCTTTAAGACCTCCTTCTGTTATAAACTCAACAGCCACATCAGAAATAGATCAAACATCACTTGCTTTTCATGATATTCGAGCCAGATTTCAACAAGATACCGTAAGTTGATTTATTTTCTATTGTCCACTCATGCATCTTAGTCAACCTATCGACCTCCATTACCTCTTAAACCCTCCATGACAGGACCACCTTCAAAACCGGAAAAAATCATCATTGCAACAAAGACAGGACCACCTGCTTTACCCGACAAGCCCAAACTGAATCATCGATACAATCATCGCCCGTCCGTGGAGACAGAACCGTCCAAAGCACGCTACAGCTTTGCCTCTTCTTCTTCCATGTTGCCTATTCCTTCCATGATCACACGCACAGCTACTGGTAATGGTAGTGTGATGAGCAGCACTTCTACGTCTTCACAAACCTCGAATTCAACACATTCAAAACGAGGTTGGCATATTAGCAATTGGTTCTTTAACCAACAACAGCAACAACAACAACAACAACAATTGGATCATGAAAATCTTAAGAATTCAATTAAACGATCTGATTCTGTTGTCTATAGTGACACTCCATCGCTGGATAGTTCAGTTTCACCTCAAACAACAGGTCACCGTACTTCAAAGCGTACAAAAGTCATCCAGGAACTCTTAGAGACAGAAAAAGCGTATCAGAAAGACATGGCATTAGTAAAGGAAATTTATCTGGAGGGCGCTTATCAGACAGGATTTTCAAAATCAGATATTCGTTCCTTGTTTTCGAATTTGGCTGATATTGTTGAATTCGAAACAACTTTTGTTACTGTGTTAGAACAAGCATGTCAACTAGACTCTGTAGGCACTTGTTTTCGAGAGACGGTAAGATGGCACACGTCATAAACAAGCTAAGATATGGGAATTAGATGCATTCGATCGACAGTATCTATAGTGACTATTGTAAACGACATGAAGATGCCGTATTAAAGCTACAAGAATTAGAATTACAACCTGAAGTGCAAGTCTTTTTAAATGTAAAGTATCCATAAATGTCTATAGGTTCTCGGCTAATGGACTTGTTAGCATTGTAAAGAACAAATTCAAGGCAAAACAACCAGTTGGGATCTTGGCAGTTTATTGATTAAACCAGTACAGCGTGTACTTAAATACCCATTGTTACTTCGAGAGATATTGACATTGACTCCGCCTACACATGATGATCATGATGACCTATCAGCCGCTGTAAAAGAAATTCAAGAAGTAGCCGATAATATCAACGAAATCAAGCGTAGAAAAGACATTGTTGAGAAGATTGTAGGGGATAAGAAAAAGACAGAGATCAATGTTGTGTAATGTATGATAAACAAGGTGATAGACACTAACCTATAATAGTCATGGCATCAATAAGCGATTAACAAGAAGAGCACAAAAGATCAAACAGGCAACAGGATTTGCAGCCGAACCAACGCATGATTTATTGTTTGAAGCCTTGTATGAAAAGTTTGAGGAACAACAAGAACTAGTACGTCAATTAGCTCGGGATGTGCAAGGGTGGGTTCGCCATGTCAAAGTTGGATTTGAGAATCTTCAACAACTTGCCTGTAGTATGGAATCCCTGTATACTTCATGGGGCGGTGTTCGTGTCAAGAGTAGACAGGCTGTTCAGAATTTCAGTAAAATGGCAGCGTATTTATCGACCAATTTAGCCCGAGAATTGGTAAAATGAAGCATGATATGGTGTATGGACTGACCATATGCATATATAGGACAATGATGTACGTGGTTATGTCTACAGTCGCATTGATGATTTCCTCAGAGTGTTTGAAAATCCAACTCAAGTGATTAACAAGAGAGCCATGAAGATGATTGATTATGACCGTGTACGAGATATGAAACTCAAGGGAGATATACCAGATAAAGCATTACAAGAATCAGCCGATGCGTATGTCTCTATCAATGGTCAATTAGTAGACGAACTACCAAAATTCTTTGCATTGACAGCACAGTATTTTGATATTCTGATTGGAGGCATTGCTCTTGTTCAGCTCAAATTCAATGGACTCATGCACCGAGAATGGGTTAAATTAGTAGAACAGCATTTAGGCCTACAGGCTGCTACATCCTATCAAAGTATGATAGCAGCACACTTAGACCAGTTTGAAAAATTAGAAGAAATGACACACAATATCACTCTGTTGAATAGAAATCGATATTCTATGAGTAATTCATCGAGTTCTTCATTGTTATTACGGACATATTCATTGAATGATAGTGGTAAACTCAGCGGGTTACATGTCCTAATGTTAATTTATTTTTTTCTTGTTAGATTCTATGCGTACAAGCCATGCTATGATGAATGAAGAATTTGAATGTGTGTTGCTCTATGATTTTGAGGCAGATGAAGAAGATCAATTGAATGTCAAACAAGGTACTGTGCTTCGAATAAGTCAAGATCCAGACTATTTGGATCAAGATTGGTGGTATGGAACAACACTGGATGGTCAAACTAAGTCTGGTTGGGTTCCTATTACTTATTGCAAGAAATTGTGACTACCTTCCCTTGTAAAAAACTATAATAACCTGTATATACTTTACATACCATTTAATAACAGATCTTTCTAGAATAAAGCAAGTAAAAAATTTTTTTTTTTTTATCTATCCTATATTATTTCCACTTACTTGACTAGCCCATCTGTAGTATATCTATCTATCTATCTATCTATATATCATATAAGTCATATAAGTCATAAAATAGCTTTATTGATACAAATGACAGTAATCTATTTCTTTATTGTTCTCCAAGTGATTTGAACGGTGTTTAAATTTAAATTTTGATTGTTAAAATGTGTTTCCTGCACTTTCTAGCTTTTTCTCTTTATTTTTCTTTGTTGACATGCTTGAAGATCTCTACAAAGTATTGGGATTAAAGAGCTCAGCTTCTGTAGAAGAAGTAAAAAAGGTAAATGATCTACAGTTGATCAAGTGCTCATCCTATTCATAGGCTTATCGTCTTTTGGTAATATAACAAGAATCACACGAGAGACTAATAAAACTAGGCTAAAGAATACCATCCTGATAAAAACAAAGATGGTGCTGAAAAGGTAAGCAATAGACAAAATCACATAACACTCAATGACCCCCTCCCCTCATAGTTTAAAGAAATCAGTAATGCCTATAGTATCTTGGTAGATCCAGAAAGACGAAAAGAATACCTTTCAAAAAAGAGTACAGAAATGCCATCCCATCATTCAAGTTATCCTTTTCCTATGGATCCATTCGGTGCCTTTGGATTCAACTTTAGCTATACAAGAGAGACACCAAGACCACGTCCTGAGCCACCAAGTAAGTTGTGTTCAGTACAACATATCAACTCATATACACTGTAGAATCATCCTACAACATTCGCTCTTCATGCAGACTCACATTGGAAGATATATTTCAAGGATCTAAACTTTCATTCAGCTATAGAGAAACCATTGATTGTCAAACATGCCATGGGTAAGTGCCATACCTATTGATGTAGACTGATGATAAGTTAGTGATCATCAACACTTGAAACGATTCAAGACATGCGAACATTGTGGAGGTAAAGGCACAACAACCAAAGCAGCCAACCATAGTCGAAAGATACCATCTCATATCCGTTGTTCATTCTGCCTTGGTCGTGGTAGTCAGAAATACTATATCAACTGTAAAGGATGCAACAATACAAAATACGTGGATCGTAAAGTAAGCATGAAAGTCCCTAAAGGTGTTCATTCTGGACATGCCCTTCAACTTAAAAACAAGGGTAATTTGATGCCAGATGGAAAGACAAGAGGCAGTGTGATTTTCCGTGTAGAAGAACAACGTCATCCTGTCTTTGTTCGTCGAGGAGATCATCTGTATATCACTGTCAAGATTAGCTTAAAAGAAGCTTTGTTGGGATTCAAAAACAAGGTGATATGTACACATCTGGATGGTCGTACCATGACAGCTACTCAGATCATGGGAGAGACCATTAAGCCTGGCTCACAGAAGGTGATTAAAGGGGAAGGTATGCCTATCTTTGGTAGTCAAAATGAAGCCCGCGGTGATCTCTACATCAATTTCCATGTTGAGTTTCCTGATACAATTCAAATACCCAAAACAAGAGAAGCTAAAGTGGCCATTGATGACTTATTTGAGACTGAACAAGAAAGAGAAGCCAAAGAGAATGCCATTGTGATTGATGATGAAGACGAAAGACCAGGCAGTAGTGAAAATAATGTCATTTCTATAGAAGATAATGATAAACAACAGCCAGAAACAACAAATATATTAGAAAATGTTCCTGAAAAGGTAATGAACACTGTTATAGATCAGCTTCTTTATTCATCATCATGATGACATAGGCCAATCCATTAGAACAAGAAAGTGAAGATGAATTATACGATGATGCTATGCAAGGTGAAGAAGAGGAAGAAGAGGAAGAGGAAGAGGAAATATTTGGAGGCTTTGATAGACTTCCTAGCTTTTTCAACATGTTCTTTTAAGTATTTTTGCATAAGAAACGGAGTCTAAAATAAACATCGTGCAAACATAAATTACAATTCAATAAAACTTTTTTTTTTTTTTTTTTTTTACTTTTTTACTTTTTTCTTTATGGATAAAGAACTGCAACAAAAAGAAGAACTTGATAAGTCTAGTCATATTGAAGGAGAAGAGACAAGAAAAGGCTCTGCAAGTTCAGCCCATAGTAGTCACAGTGGACCTTCATTCACTCAACGTCTGATTGAACGTGGTGTTGCTGTTCCTAGTTCATTCTCAAACTGGGACAAGGTTCGTTCTCCAGAAGAACCCTCTTCTTCACCTGGTTCTTATGATTTTGATTCGTATTATGGTATGTCACCTTTTATAACCCCTTCTTTTTCAACAGCAGCACAAGCAGCCAGTGAAGCACAAGATGGACTCTATCGATCTTTACGACATCGCTATGAGCGTGAGAAGACAGTCTCTTCTACAGGTGTCAATAGTGCGCGTGTGTTCAGTGAAGATGATGAGGACCTGATGTTACAAAAGACAAACAGTGGTAGTACAGCCAGTTGGAATCCAAGTTCCGTTGATTCAGCACAGACAAAGAAATTCAACAAACGAGCTGAAGACAGTGATATTGAATTATCAGACGATGAAGATCATGCTGAGGCATCACAAGACAATCGACTCTCTGTTCTTTTGCCATTGAATCAAAGAGCATCACGTCGTTCTCGGTCACCTTTATCCTTTCCACCTACCAATGCATCCCCAACACATGTCAAAAAGAACGGCTTTTTTGATCCAAAAGCAGCTCAAGATTACCTCAGCATGTTAAGATCCCCTGATGATACGCCTAAACAACATTCAGCTCATGTTGAAAAACTCAAGCGTCTCTTGACCACTTTACCACCATCACCATCATCACCATCATCACTAACACCACCACCACCACCACTACCACTACCATCACCACCTCAACAAGAGCAGCCTAAACCACTACCGAGACCTCCTCGTCAACATTTACTTCATACCCCAGTATTTCAAGTGATCAATGCCAATACAGTCAAAGATCGCTATCTGTTCTTGTTTAGTGATCTCTTACTGATCTGTAAACCCATCATGGACGAGAACATCATTGTCAGTACATCCAAACGCAACAGCATGACGGAAAAGAACAGGTATCGATTTAGGCCGAATGAACACTCTCTTTTTCAAGTCAAGAATATTGTTCAACTTGGCCAATTGACACTCTATCTGTCAAAAGAAGATACTTCCCATAAACCTCAATCGGTAATTGAAATGGATTCAGAAGGTCGGCCCATCTTGCCTCCAGCACGCAAGATCCACCCTCTCTTGGCCTCTGCTTTACGCAAATTTGAGACAGATGCAAATCTGGGCATTCAGTATCTGATCGATAAGGGCGTCCTGACCAATGATCCGATGAGTATTGCCAATTTCTTGTTCAAGACGCCTGATCTGAATCGACGTCAACTGGGCTATTATCTGTCAGATGCGAAACACAGTGATGTCTATGATGCCTTTTTAGAGTGTTTCCGTATGGTGGGACTTCGTATGGATGAAGCATTGCGTATCTTGCTGACCACATTTCGATTACCGAGTCATTGGGAAGCACTGGAATATTTGATTGAACGGTTTGCTAAGAAATGGCATGATGCCAATCAAAATGTGATCAAGTTCCATGAAGATATGGTAGTCAAAGTTGTGGTGGCCATGCTTTTCTTGAATGCAGAGTATTGGTTTGATGCTACATCTGAAAAGGATGTGTTCTGGTATGCTCGTGAATTGAAAGAACGTCAAGATCGTCAAGCCAAAAGAAAGATGAGTGTGATTGACTATAGAAATGTACAGCCTGTCTTGACAGGCAATCCAACAGATCACCGACAAAGTGTGGCTATTGAACCATTGCATTATATCATGTCTGTCAGGGCTAAAGGAGACAGCCCTCCTAGCCTAGAAGACTTTCTAGAGCGCTGGAATTATTATGACCAGTATCATTTGGTACCACGTGAATTTATGGAGGAAATGTATAGATCGATTAAAGAAGAACGATTGGAAACAGGCTGGGATAACAAAGCCAATCGTTGTATATCCCCACCTACCATACCAGAAGATGATGAACAAGTCGTCTCTCCTTCTATTCCACAACAACATCAACAAGATGTGGTCATTACTGTCATACCACATCGATTGCCTAGTCGACTCACTAAGGGATATCCTTCTGACCCTATTACGATCTGTATTCCTGCTCCAGATAAGGGTCTTCAAATCAAGCTAAGAGGACAGGATCTTGTGTTTGAACCGAACGTGCTTGATTTCTCTCATTCTTGTATCCAGACATTTACTATCACAGGCAACACACTAGGCAGAACCTCTTTGATGTTTATCAAGACAGGAGATAATGCAGGTAACTACGTGAGTCCTACACTTCCAAGGACCAAGAGCGTGATTGTGGAAAGACCCTTCATGCGCTATACTTTTCAAGTGGGTTTTAAGCACATGGATTCCTCAAGTGCTGATAAAGAAACGGAAAAAAACAAAATGTTGATGGAAGAAGAACAAGGGATTCGAAAGAAAGAAGCAAGTACGAGTGTCAAATCAGTCAATAAATCAAGGTCTGCTACAAGAAGAGGCAGAGAAGAAAAAGAGCATCAAAATGATGATGATGAGGAAGAAGAAGAAGAGGATAGAAAACACCTTGTGAACCGTAAATATACATTTAGTGTAGAGACAGAAGAAGAACGGATTCAATGGATCGAAGCACTTAAGCAAGCCAGTGGACAAGTGAATGATCAGAGAAATGAAAAAGTCATTCAACAAATGCAAGAACAGAGCTCAGAGGCCCATGTTGCTTTACAAGTCCTTAAAGAAGTCTTGTTGGCTGATGAACTCAAGAAAGGAACACTACCTCTCCGTTCAAATGAAAATACCTCAGTAAATGAAATCACCAGTGCCACATTAAGTCAAATTGAAGACAGACATAACAGAACTATGCGATTATTATTGCCAGCAAAAAAGAAACCAATAGAAGATGACCGTAGTTCTATTATCACAACAAGCACAACAGCATCTACTAGCACAACAGCCAATGTGGTTACTAAAAGGGGTCATGAAATAGTCAAATTAGTCGTACAGAACTCAATGGTCCCTCTCGTCTTAGGGTTCCTCAAAAGTCAAATTCCATAAGGAGTAAAAAAAATTGTCATTGGTCCGGTTTCTTTTTCAGTTATGTGCGTGTGTGTGTGTGTGTGTACAAAAGTGTGTGCGTATCTATATCGAGTTAACTAAAAAAGAAAAGGAAAAATTGATAAAAGAAAATATAAATTCATTTTTTTTTATTTTTTTTCTTTCTAAATTATTATTATTATTGTTATGGAAGAAGAGTTGCAACTTGAATTAACTTATACTGAAAAGATTCAAACTTCTTCTGGCATCATTCAAGGCCTTAAGGATGAAGCCAATGAGATCGAAGTATTCTTGGGTATCCCTTATGCTGAACCACCTGTAGGTTCACTCCGTCATAAACCCACAGTAGAGATAAACACTCCTAATGAAGAACGATTGTGTGTTGAACATGCACCAGCCGCACCTCAGACACAAATGCCATTTGACACTTTAATGTGTGTTCAAATTGACCATCAAGCCGAAGATTGTCTCTATTTAAACATTTGGACACCTGATACAATTAAAGATAAGAAACGGCCTGTCATTGTCTGGATACATCCCGGTGCTTGTATGAGGTTTGTCTGTTTACTATGCTCTAGTTATATATGTGTATTTACTTTTTTATGTAGTGGAAGTTCAAGTCAACCTTTTTGGGATGGTACCAACTTGTCTAGAAACGATGCTATCATTGTCAGCTTCAATTATAGATTAGGTGCTTTAGGCTGGATGTCAATGGATCATCTCTCACCTGATCTAAAGGGCACAGCCAATTTGGGTTTATTAGATCAAATAGGTAGAGTTTAGTGTGTTCTATAGAAACGCATACTCACTGTTCTTCTAGCTGCATTTAGATGGATAAAAAAGAACATTGCCCAATTTGGTGGGGATCCTAACAATATTACTGCATTTGGTTCTTCAGCAGGAGGTAAGAAAACACCTCTATGATAAACTCACCTAACCCCTTGCTTTTCTTTTCGTAGCTGTATGTATTCTGGGTATGGTTTTAGCCCCTAATACAGGCGGTTTATTTCAACGTGCTGTATTACAATCACCACCTATGTTTATGTGCAGTTCAAAGAAATGGGCAGAAACCAAAGGTGAAATCTTTGTCCGTTCGCTGGGTTTAGATACTTCTGATTTAGCGAACGATTTAGAATCTGTCGAGATCGAGACTTATTTGGAAACACAAACCTTCATGACCACTTGGCCTAATTTCCTGGAAGGATTGGCTCCTGTGGGTCTAAGTGAAGATGGCCACATCTTACCCACTACGCTCATTGAACACTTCTTCAACCACCCATTACCTAAAGGACACGAACATCTCGAGATCATGGTTGGCTATACCCGTGACGAATTTAACTTTTTTTTCCCCTTTTTGCCTAATTTCCAAGACATGGATGATTCCATGTTTGTACGTGGATACTTTACACATATCTTTGGTCACAAAAACGCGCGCCGAGCATATGAGTTGTACAAACAAGAAATTGTACCTCCCATGTCGCCACCATCTGAAGTGACACGATATATGTGCTCAGACGTGATGTGTCGAATCTCTACTCTCTTAACAGCCGAAAACCTGTCGCTTCAGGGCCATAAAGTTTGGCTTTATGAATGGGATTATGAGTCCAACGATGTTCAGAATGTAATCAAGGCAGCCCATATGGTAGATTCTGTCTTTTCTTGGGATAATCTAGCTTACTGGACAGACAATCCATTCTTGGGTCCCGGTGATGAGTATGAAAGAGACCGTATTGCTAAACAGATCTCTTTGGCCATAATTAATTTTGCAAGAAAAGGTGATCCTAACCATGATGGTATTCCCGAATGGCCATTGTATATTCAAGATAAGGACGTACGAGACAGAAATGCAATGGTGTTTGATAGAGAAATTCGTGTAGAACACAATTTGTATGATACTGGGTTACAATTATGGAAGACAGTTTTGAAAGATTATGTAAAATGTACACAATTCCCCATCAAACCTACTCGACGCGTCAGTAGTAAAGAAAGTTTATCTTCACCTGAGGAAGCATTACAGGTAATACAAAGTTTAGATTTTATGCAAATAGTAGTTTAACCCTATTTTTTTTTTTTTTTTTGTAGAACAAGAAGCGTAAATTAGAACATACTGAATAATCTTATTTTTTTTTTTTTGCCCCTCCCTCCTTCTCCGTCTTGTGTAATATGCTCCTAAATATAATTTATTATGATGGACATTATGTAAAAAAAACAAACAAACAAAGCTGCTTTGCAACCAACTCCTCTCTTTTATCATTTATGCACAATAAATTGCTTCTAAAAAAAATGAAACTCTATGCTTTTTTTTTTTTTTAGCTCATATGTCTATTTTTAAGTTGACAAATAACTTTCTAATGTGTCAAATCAATATTTTTTTTTTCATCACAATGCCTGAAAAAACTCATAATACACCGGCTGATGATATACTCAGAACCTACTTCTGAAACCAGTTTCCTAATGGCGCTGTTAAAGAAGTGTCTTATGTTTACAAATCAGACGAGGCAGGCAAATATCTTAATGTTGATTTGAATATTGGTTGGCAACTCAAAATTACCAATTCAAAGCCCCTTAAAAAATAGGATTACTGTGAATCATGTGTACTACAAGGCCTGCCTTGGTTCTGTCTACTGTGGTGAGAAGAATTGTAAGGCATACAATGTGGATAAGAGGACTTGTCGAATGATCTCTATATAAATCTAAAAATACAAACGATAAAGGAGGAAGCACAAATTGTGTATAAGTTTCTGTGTGTATGAGCATATATGATTTTTTGCAGACTTTATCATGATCTGTTTAAATATATGCATTATAATAGATAAAATATAATTTTATAATGGAATAAACATGATGGAAAATCATAGGTAGTTATATTCAACATATACTATTTTGTGAAGTAGCCCATCCGCTGAATGATATCATGTCATCTAAAAAATATTTTATGTGATCAACTACTATAAAGCATAATATATTTTGGACATATAAGTAAAATATTATAAAAGACACTATGATAGTATTAAAGCATGTGAATATTGATCATGAAGACCGTTCAGAATGTTGTGTAATAATCAAAGTCCACTGTTCCTAATATTATGTGAAACATAGTTTGAAAAAAAATATAAACATTCCCTGACTATACCTTTGCGCAGAGGTAACTGTTGGGTGGTTTGTGTAACAGTTGTATTATTATACAAATAACAGTATATTATGAAAGAATACAAAGAATATCTGAAGTTATACTGAATACTCGAAACAAAAAATTGTAAAAAACAAAAAATAAATCCTCTGGATAACTCTTCTAGCTGAGGGTAGTACGATTAATTTTTGTTCCTATCACGTACATAGTTACTATAAATTAAAAAAAAAAAAAAAGTAATACTTTTAAAAGGTCAGGTTTTCTTGCTTCGTCTTCACTAAAGCTAATTGCATCTTTGGAGATGATTAAGCACTTTTCTGCCCATACAGTACTATTCAATGTCTTCCAATACATTGACCTAACTATTGAAGAAGTCTTGTCACTTAGAACAACAAGCAAAGGCTGGAGATCAAAACGATTGATTACCTCCAAGCATTTTTCAAATGATCGCTTCATTAATGCTTCTGTAACATTCAGTTGAATCTCTAAAAGAACAGCATGTGATTGAGAGATAGAAAGAACAAAATAAGCAAGCTAAAGAAACTAATGCTTTGCAAAAAAGTGAAAATGAGCTAATAAATATCAATAAAGACTGAATCCTGTTCTCTATCCCTTCAATTTAGCAAGCTTAAGTATGTACAGGCATGCTTTATGTTCTCTTTATGTAGTTATTTGTCTGATTGTATTCCTTTTATACGTTATCCTAAAGTGTGTTTATTTATGGATGAACCCCATCAAACTTTTCTATTGTGATTTGCCCTGAATCATCCAGACCAAATGTGCTACAGCAACTGTATCCAAAGTACGATCCTTGACCACCACATCAATCTTGACTTGTCTTTGACCATCAGCATCCACTTGGATGTTTTCATTTTCAGGTAAGTTGAAATCAGTCGAAGCAGTCAATAAACCTCTTGCTTTTTTCATAAACTAACAATCAATTCAAGTTTAATCTTGTGCAACACAAAAGGGGGGGGGATTTGTACCTCTAATTCCAAAGAAACAAGTGTGATTTCATCCTTACTGTCTTTCAGTATACTAAGCAAGCCTAATTCACCTACAGATTCAGCAAATGTAGCCAAAGCAGTTGCATGGACACTGAACATGAACATCAGCCCTTCTTTCTTTTATCGATATAACAAACCTTCGAAATGGATTTCTGTTTTTTTGTCTATCCTAAATATACCATGAGTTTGGAGCTTGTTTTGAATAACATACTTACAAGCATAAAGCCAGTACAGAATCCTCGAGAAAATGTCGAAATACGCATATCTAGATATAACATGAACAACTTGTTTTTAACCTGTTTCTTGTTTGTTACCTATCGATTTCGAATAAGGATTGATGTTGCCCATTAAGAAAGCGAAAATCCTGGGTCGAAACACTTTGATCAAGGGTTTATTGAGTTTTTCCCAAATCACTAAGGGACGACGCGAATGACGCAGGGTCCAGACAAGGTAGATAATGGACATCAATGTTGCTGCTATAACACCCACTGCAAACCGAGTAAATACAGTCCATTCTAGCTCAAGTGCTACTTTGACCAGTTGTATGCTTGCTTGTACATGTTGAGCAAAAGCATCAGCCAACAATGCTGTTGATGTTGTATCTGAACCCATTGAGAGAAAAGAAGAGAAAAGAAAGTGGTTTTATTGTTTTGAATCTCAGTTTAAAGAAAAGTTAAAGGGTCATTCAAGTCGACTACAATGCGTTCCATTTCATCTGGATAATGCACCTTGTAGCTTCTGACAGGACTAAAAATATAATGCTTCAGTAGCTTAAGATCATAGACATGGTCGTCTCTATTCACGCCTATGGAGCTACTTGCATAATGATCCCAATTCAGTCTGTTATGTTTTCCTCGATGGGTTGTCTTGATCTTGAGTGACAAATGAAAGAGTTCTCTAGGTATAGTATAGTCCTTCATGACAATGGTAATATGATCATCAAAGTCCATTCTAAATCGACCATGAAAGCACTGCTTCTTATTATAGCCCAACTGTAATTGTTTGACAACATGAGCTGGTTCATCTGTGGTGACATGCTTCAGAATACGACCATCAGGGAAGAACCGTAAATAACGATAATAAGTCACAAAATGAATAGGCTTATTCCATGCTGTCTCTGATGTACCGGGTCGAATATAGTGACAAATAGAGATATAGACACCATCATAACGAATACGTGGACGATCAATAAACATGCGCATCCAATTACCATCAAAGGTATTGACATACTTTAGACACTCTTGGCGGGATTCTTCTAAGGTCATGGAAGGTTGACGAAATACACGTACAGCAGCATATTGCCAAATAGAAGGGTCGCGTGTATACAAAAAGAACTTTTTACATACAGTAGCAAAATAGGATATAGAAGAGACTGAATGCAATGCAAGGATCTTGAGTACATTCAACATAATTTCACCTAAACCTGCTATCAGACATATTTTTATATATATATATATGTTGACTTACTGGGTAGTTTAGCTATCGATACAGGCTTATAATCCAGTCTGGGTATATAAGTCAAATCTTCATTTAGAAACTGTTCAATTAAGTCTGTTAATGGATCTTTGCTTGTAGGAGGAGGAGCCACATATTCTTTATTCAAAGGCATCATATGCTTAAAGTCTTCTGTAGAAGGCTGATCTTGTGTTGCTTGAATCTTGGGTAAGATTTCTTTTTGATAATGCTTTTTGTAGGCATAATCAATATCAGGATCCAATTTAAATGCACGACGATAACTATCCAATGCTGCGGTAGAAAGCGGTTTTTAGTCTACGACCATGCCTACAAAGTACACATTACCTTTCCCTAGCTTGCCTTGTCGTTCATTGTCTACAGCAAGTACATAATGATCCATAGCAGTAATAGGCTCAGGCTGATCAACAGCCAATGATTCAGTTTGTTCAATCAAAGCAGCAATTGAGGCTTCTTCTTGTTGCTGTTGTTGTTGTTCTGGTGCTTCAGCATGTGGATCATGACCCTGTTTGCTTTCCACTTCTTGTCTCCAAGCATTTCGAAATTCTTCAAGTGCTTTTTCTTGTTGTTCATTGCTACCGTAGTTGTTCATTTGGAAAAAAAAAAAGAAAGAAAAAGAGATAAGCGGGAATCGAAACCTAAGGATTGTTATAGGGTTTAAATTTGACACCTTTTTATTACAATGCCTGTAAGCTTAAAACTACAATGCTTTTGAACCCCTCTTATTTTTTTTTAGACTATCCAAGAAGGATACACGCTTTACAAACCAAATGTGTAACAAGACCTTGGGTGAATAAGATAGACGAGAAATACCTACAATCCCCCTAAGAGTATATATTGTCTTTTTTTTTGTAAGTAGAAAAAGCACTATAAATTAGAAGTCTATAGCTGTTGATAGATGAATAATAGGTAGAATAAAATAAGCAACGGTGTGGTTATTTGCGGACAAGTTGATATATATTGACGCCTGAATCTAAGCACATACTTGAAAACTCGTTCAAAGCCCATCCTTCTTTTTGAGAGAGTACATGCGGGTAGTTTGTCATTTGTTCAGAATAGAGTGAAGAGCACAACATCCTTATATGGAATCTTTTAGAACAAATATTAAAAAACGAAAGCTCTTCTTCTAAACTGAGCCCACGTCGCTTATATCCCAGGTAAATATCCACATCACCTTCTGTACTAAGCCAATCCAATGTCTGAACCAACTTCTGAAATGAAGCAGGTTCATAGAGCACATCAGAAGCAATGATGGTGTGAATAGGTCCCTTCATCAAGACCTGTTTTGCGTCTTCATAGTTACCCCATGCTAATGGCATGATATGGGTATAGTCTTCCAGATGGTTATAGGTTCTGTTCTGATGGATCAAATCAAGTGCTTCAGGTAAATCTGTCATGGTAATTTCGGGCATACTGTCAGGTTGATCTCTGTACATGTCCTTTAATAAGGAAGCCAGCAACAGTCCTATACAGCCAGTTCTAAACACACCATCAGACCCTCCATTGTTGTTTCTTTTGATTGGAATTACCCTTACCCTGCACTAAGATCCAGTAAACGACGATCCTTAAAATAAAAAGGATTTTTTTGAATCTTATCACAAAACATGTGGGACAGAACAAGAGCAGAATCCCATAATTTACCTGATGTGCCTAGCTTCCAGTCTTCCTTGACAATCAAGTACGATTGATCAAGCAGACAATAGGCATGGAATATGTTGAATGATAGAGGAGGCTCGTACCATTTCCCATTAGGCGTTGTTGGTATCATGGGTTCTTTGATAGCAAAAGGACCTATCATAAGGGGAAAAGCATGGATGGTCTGTTCTTGTTTGCGCGTTGGAGAGATCTGCAAAAAGTATGTATGTGATTCCTTCAAGGCATCAGGAGAGAGTTCAAGTCCTTCGTCTTTTACTACCACCATGTATTCGAAATTGCCTTCTGTGTCATGTTGAAAGCCTGCAATCTCGGATTGAACTGTGGATTCCCAACCGTCTTTTTGTATAGGTCGACAAAATACTTCATAATCTTGACATGTCTGTATACGATGGTCTTTGTTGACCAGCAAACGACAGTCTATCTCAAGCCAGCATGACATCTTTTGCTTGTTAGTCAATGTCAAGCCAAATTCATTCACAAGCTTGAGGTCAATGCGATTCCATTGGTTAAAGTGTATTTCGCTTGAATAAGGTCGCGACAAAAGTATTCTATACAAAGCAGAATGACGTTGTAACCGATAATAAAAGTCATCTTCTATCTCTTCCATTGCATCCTTCTTTTCCTTCTGAATATGTCCAAATCTCATACAATGGCCAAGCGGAAGTCGTTTAGAGAGAGAGAGAGAGAGAGAGAGAGAGAGAGAGAAAGGGAGAGAAAAAAAGAAAGGGAACTAGCGCGCGATTGACATTTTTTTTTTTTTTCTTGTAGGATTATTTTTATTTTGTCAAGAAGCGTTGAATCCATTGCACTGGATAACGAAGCAAGAATGTATTGAATAGATTTGGTTTCTGTATCAACTGAGAAGAGGATAAAGGCAACCGTTTGTCTTGTTGTATGATAAAGATCTCCTTATCCTCTGTGATTTCACATTCAAGTGTTCTATGCCCTAAATCAATGTAACTGCGATGTGTCTTGGCTGATGCATGTTTATCAGAGAGTCTTCCTGCCATCAATTTAGCATTCTGAATAAACTGATCCATAGCAAGTTTCTCTGTCATGTAATGATCCCATGCTTTAAGATACTCAAGCAAGATAGCTGCTATACATAGAAACAATACCATGCACTGTAATTTATAACGAGAATAGGCATAATAAAAGCCTTTCCAAAAGGGAATCTTGCCTTTGTTTTCAAATAGAATATAATCGTATAATGGCCTTAATGCAGTGGAACGCAGAACAAAAGCAACTTGATTTGTTATCATAAACTTCTCTTGTGCTTCGTCTACTGTTGCTATATCAGGACTAGTAACAGGCATATTAGATTTCAAGTAGGGTATAAGATACATACTGTAATTTCAAGACGAGTTCTCTATGTGCTTTTCCTATTTCTGCAGTAGTTGCTGCTGGCTATAGATGAGGTGTAAGAGATGAAATAGTTAAGCATGATCTGGAATACCTCGACACCTAGCCATTCATAAAAGTTGGTATGATTCTTTGTCATTGCTAATGAAAGTTCAAACATGTTGAACTCATCTAACATATTGAGTATACAAGACAGTCAAATTTGTCTACAAATACCTTCTCCCCAGTGCCATGCTCTAATAACAGGGCGTATCAATAAGCTGAGAACAAAGATAAGAGAGAAGAGCTGAATAGCATGTTTGTTGTCACTAAAGACAGACATTGAGAATAAATCCTTCAAAAAGATGTGCAGCTCACTCAATGCCGCTTCTTAAACACATTTTTTTTTGGGATAGGAAGCAGATGGATTGAGTTAGATTCTATTATTTACTTTTACAGCTGATACAACTCACAGACACTCTGTTTCCCTCAAAGAAAAGCTTCTCTTTTGCTACAGGCTAAATTAGAGCCATTCCATTCTGTTGTTTACGTTGAAGCAAGAAGTAGTAAGATGATTGAGCAGTCTTACATACAAAGGCATTTTGAATCATATTTCTGACTAGCAGGTCTACACTTCATTACCTAGTTCAACACAGTGAGATCGACCACTGCAGTTATGTCATAATTTAGGTCTATTTAAAGCGGAGATACTCGAGTTGTACATCATTTTTTTGCTACTGTTCTCGCTTACACAGCGCTTTTTCTTTTTTCTTTTTCCATATTCTTTTTTTTTTCTGCTGCTATGTCGTCCTCTTGGGAGACAAAATTGAGACCAGAAGAAGTCAATGCATACAAACAAATATTTAAAGCTGCTTGTAAAAGTCAACCCAACTTAGTTACTGGTGTTGAAGCTGTTCAGTTCTTTGCCAAGTCTGGCTTACCTAATGAAGTTCTCTCAGAGGTAAAGAAACACTATGTTTTCCTGTTTATCACTCAATGTCATCTACATAGATTTGGGAAAGTGCAGATGTAAATAACTTGGGATATCTTACAGAGGATACTTTTGCAATAGCATTAAAATTGATTGCATGTGCTCAAAACAATATCAAAGCAATTGAACCCTTGTTTTCAACGGGTAAAGGATAGTTTCACTGCTTCATTGTTACTAACAGCTTTTTAGTTACACCGTTGCCGCAATTCAAAGGAATTCAGCTGACCAATCAAACTTCAAGTATAGTCATGACACCAGAAGAAAAGAACAAGTTCAAAGCTATTTATCAAGCACAGTGTCCTACATCTCAAGGTGTTCCTGCTGAAACAGCAAAGAACTTGTTTCTTAAATCCAAGCTGCCAAATGACAAATTAGCTCAAATTTGGTATATATATATATTGATTTTTTTTTTTTTTTTTTTTTTTTTTTTTTGCTTGACTAATACACTCGTTCAGGAACCTAGCTGATATTCGCAAAAATGGTTACTTGGACCAAACCGAATTCATAATTGCTATGTTTTATATCGCAAAACTCATGGATAAATCAATGACTACACTGCCCTTTATTTTACCTACTGATGTCTATTTAGCAGCCTCAAGCGAAACAACAACACCTCAAGCTTTTATTGCTTCTCCTCAATCTATCCATTCACCTCTTGAACAACCATCCAAGGCCAAAAAAATTGATATTATAGGCACCATGGCATTTTCTTCTACAGCACCTCATGTACCATGGGACATTGCAGCACACGAAAAGGCACAGTACGATAGTTATTTTGCAAAACTAGATAAGCAACATTCAGGTTTTGTACAAGGTGTAGACGCAGTTGGGTTCTTTAAGAACTCTAAACTACCTCAAGCTGAGCTGGCCAAGATTTGGGATTTGGCTGATATCAATGACCGTGGTGCTTTAAATGCAAATGAATTTGCTATTGCTATGCATTTGATTCATAAGCGATTGGCTGGTAAATCTTTGCCTCAAGCCTTGCCCAAGAGTTTATTGCCTCCTCCTACACCTGTCATTCCTCCTCCTACACCTTTGGTGAGCAGTAATGTAAATCCTGTGGCTCCTACAAGCATCTATCAAGGTACTTGAGTGTGTGCATGCATGATTCATGCAATCCCAAAAAAAAAGTATGTCAACTGACATTGAATCTATTCTCTAGATGAAGATTTGCTGGGTGATTTTAGCGATGAACAACTGATTGAAGTCACGAACCAAGTCAACCTGATTCAGAACCAAATTACAGCTGCAACCAAGTCTACTAAAGACATTCAGTTACAACAAAAATCGACTCAACAAGCTTTAAATGCACTTGAACAGAAAAAGGCGGACCTTGAACAACAAGTCGTACAACTGAAAGCTCAACATGATCAACAAAAGACAGTGCTCGACGAACTGAACCAAGCCATTCAACAAGAACAACCTGGTTGGACAACAACTCAATCTGAATTTGATGTGGCTCAAAAACAGTTGGAATCCATTCAGACTGAATTGTCAAAGACAAAACAAGATTATAAAGAGGGTCAGCTAGAGAATGAACGACTGCGTCGTGCTGTTCATAATATTCAGATGGAATCCATGCGATTAAAAAAAGAAATGGATCAATTGCATGAAGAGCATCGTAAGAAGCAAGAAGCTGCTGCTGCTAGACGTGAAGCTCGGCGCAAAGCTGAAGAAGCACGCAAGGCTGAAGAAGCACGCAAGGCTGAAGAAGCACGCAAAGCTGAAGAAGCACGCAAGGCTGAAGAAGCACGTTTAGCAGAAGAAGCACGTTTAGCAGAAGAAGCACGTTTAGCAGAAGAGAAACGCAAGGAGGAAGAAAGACTTGCAGAAGAAGCACATAAGGCTGAAGAAGCACGTTTAGCAGAAGAAGCACGTTTAGCAGAAGAGAAACGCAAGGAGGAAGAAAGACTTGCAGAAGAAGCACATAAGGCTGAAGAAGCACGTTTAGCAGAAGAAGCACGTTTAGCAGAAGAGAAACGCAAGGAGGAAGAAAGACTTGCAGAAGAAGCACATAAGGCTGAAGAAGCACGTTTAGCAGAAGAAGCACGTTTAGCAGAAGAGAAACGCAAGGAGGAAGAAAGACTTGCAGAAGAAGCACATAAGGCTGAAGAAGCACGTTTAGCAGAAGAAGCACGTTTAGCAGAAGAAGCACGTTTAGCAGAAGAAGCACGTTTAGCAGAAGAGAAACGCAAGGAGGAAGAAAGACTTGCAGAAGAAGCACGCAAAGCAGAAGAAAAACGCAAAGAAGAGGAAAGGCTTGCCGAAGAAGCTCTATTGGTCGAAGAGAAGCGCAAAGAAGAACAACGTAAAGAAGAAGAAAGACTTGCTGAAGAAGCTCGTTTAGAAGAAGAGAAGCGTGAAGAGGAAGAAAGAATTGCCGAAGAAAAGCGTAAAGAAGACAAACTTAAGGCTGAGGAAGCTCGTAAAGAAGAAGAAAGACTTAATGAAGAAAAACGCAGAGAAGAAGAGAAGGTTCGATTGGCTGAAGAAGAGAGACTCAAAAATGAACGTAAGGTTGAGGAGGAAAAACGCAAAGCTACTGAAGCCAAGTTAGAAGTACAGCGCAAATCTGAGGAAGAAGCTAGACTAGAAGAAGAACACAAAGAAAACGAAGCCAAGTTGCAGCAACATGCTCGCTCAATTGAAAAAGAATTAGACATTGAAGCAACTCCATTGACTGAGTCAAAAGAAAAGAATGAGTTGCCTCAAGAGACAAGCAAGCAAGAGAATGTTCTTGTTTCTAACGTGCCTGTAGCTTCTCTTGACGAAAAGCCACAAAACATTGAACGGACAGTTGCTGACCAGAATGAATCTTTAATTACTGAAGAAGCAAAAGATTTCGAAGAAAAAGAACAAACAAGTAACGAGGTAGCACGAAATAAGGTATTTTCATGCATGAAAAAGAAACAAGTTTCTCATCAAAAATGGTGTTTTTTAATTTAGCAAAAGGGTACTCATGAAACAACAAACAACCCTTTTGCCAACTTGGGTACCTTGAAAGCAGAGGAAAGTGATGCAGATGACGACTTTTTTGATGCAGTTGATTCTATTTCTAGAAGCGTCCCTACATCAAAGAAGACTGAAACAACGGTAACTCCTTCTGCAGAAGACAATGAATTTGTAATTATTGATCACCCCGCAAGTAAAAATGTCAGTTCGATAACAACGCAACCTAATGTGGCCTCTACAGGCTTCCCTTTGGCAGAGCAAGTTTCGAAAAGTAATGAACACAAGTTCGCGGACATCAGTAATCAACCTGTTTCAGAAGAAAGAACCCCTTCTTTTGATCAACAACATAGACAACACGAAGAAGAAGATCCCGTTTTTATTAGCTCAGTATCTGGTTCTGAAGTATCCGATCGGTTTACTTCTAGCACCAACAGTAGTACGCATCGTGTAGCTCCACCACCTCCACCACAGTCGTACCAAGGTAATCCAGGTAGTACAGGCACAACACAGACACCTAAGGTTTATGCAAAAAAACCACCTGCACCACCACCACAACCTCGAGGTAGTAACACTACATTGGAGAAGCGCGAGCCACAGGACTTTGATGCTATTTTTGGTGATCCAAGCTTAAGGCAACAACAACAACAACAAGATGAAGAAGATTTTGATGCATACTTCTCAGATACTAAATTTTCATCCACCAGCAACGGAGAAAAGCCAAAAGTAGAAAACAATGCGACTGCCAGTGATGTGACACCAACAACATTCGCTGCTGCTACTTCTTCAACTCTATTAGGCCAAACTTCGGGACCTGCTCCTTCTGCCCAATCAGATCTGGATAAAGCGTTTGGTGCTCCTGTACCAAATAATCAAAACAACAAGGTCCCTCAAGGTTTTGAGGACTCATTCAGTCAGTTGCCTATTACGAAGAATGAAGAAGGAGTAAGCAATACAAATAGAGGAGGCGCTGAAGACAATTTTAAACTTTCATCTTCATCTATCATCGCAGCGCCTGCGATCAACAAGAAAGAAGGAGAGAGTGGCATTTCTGAAGATGGTAAAAAGAAGAAAAAGAAGAAGAACATTGTTTCTTGGGCAAAGAACTTTGGCAGTTTCACTAGTCATGAATCAGACAAGAAAAAGAAGAAGGACAAAAAGAAAGATGACAAGAAGAAGAAGAACAATAGCAACGATGAAAGCAATAAGTCGATAAGGGAGGAAACAGCGGCGCCATCATCAGCAGAGACCGTGTCAAGAGCAGAAAGGGATTTTAATGAATTAAACCATCCCTCCTTGGGCTTCGATCTCGACACTATTCAAGGAAGCCATATTGCTGAATTAGTCAATATGGGCTTTGAGCCTCAAGCAGCGCTGGATGCCTTGGATAGATATGATCAAGATATGGAAAAGGCAACCAACTTTTTGTTGGACCAAGCTTACCAATAAAAAAAAATATAATACTTGTTCTCAGATTCTATTTGTATAACAATGCAACTGAGGGGGTATATTTTGACAAAGAAACAGTATGGGCATCACATGTGGAACCAATATTATGATTCTTTACCAAATACGACAAAACACTTAATAGTTAAAGTCCAAGCGCTCAATTTAGACACGTTATCAAAGAGAGAATACAGTCCTTAAGGAGCCATACTATTGATTTGTTGCTGCAACACTGCTCCTTATTCCTTCTATTTCGGTTCAAAAACTCTAATTTATTCATGTATTTATTTTAGCAATTCTTCTCTATATTTCTTTTTTCCTATCTCTTTCTTTCTTTTTTATAAAATGGATTCAAATAATGTATCACAACAAGCGTATACCTCTATGGTCAAGTTTACTATAGATGGTCGACCCTTTCTCAAGGTATGTATGTCAATCTATTTTTTTTTTCTCTTTCTCACTAAATCTAATTTGATAGGATATTCATGATCTCTTTTCTGCACTTATTGTACAGATACCATTAGATACACATCGATACCTGTTTCGAAATTATTATAATACTTTTTCTTCAGAAGATGCTATTCAAGCATTAGGCAACTTACGCTTCTCTCATACTGTCCGTACACCTGATCCAAATGATTCAACGCGCTTTCAACGCACTACTACCACAACCACGTTTAACATGGCTCGAGATATGGCCAAATCACTCTGCCAGCAATTTCAAAACTGTCGACTCATGGAAAATGCTGTTGACCCTCAAAACAGAACATTTCGAGAAAAAGGCATTTGGCATTTGACACCCAAAGGCCTTTGCATTCTCCAAGATTTTTGTGTGAGAACAGAAGCTAGTCTGACTTCGCTTAGAAAGCACTTCAGCCATATGGAAGCTATCCAACTCGTTCGCCTGGATCGTAACTCAGATGATGATCAGCTAGTTTTAAATCGAGTATGTTCTTCTGTAATTTTTCGTGTAATGATGACTACATTGCCTCTTGATGGTGAATTATCAAGCTCAGGCAATGCTAGTTCTATATCTGTTTCTTCTCGTCAACAAATTAGTAGCACACCTTCATCTTCTTCTGCTTCTTCGGCCTCCTCCGCGACATCTTCTTCTATACCCTCATTAAGTGCTCCATTTGCTATGTCTTCTTCTGTCTCCAGCGGTGATTCCCGAATTCAAATGTTGGGAAATTATCTCTTAACACTCTCAAAATCAAGCCGTGTACAACCCAAGACGGTCAAGACAATGCGCACTGTATTTTCATCTCAAATGTGCTGTGATTGGCTTATGGATTACACCACAGTTTCTTGTCGTGAAGAGGCAGAATCCATCGCACAAGAATTCATCAAGTATGGCTGGATTGAATTTCAAGACTCTAAGCATAGCCACTCACCTATCAAAGCATCAAAAGTAATCATGTTTGTTGTGACCGAGAAAGGAAAGCAAGTCGTCTCAGAATCTCCAAAGCAACATGTAAACTCGCCTTCTGTAAGCCAACAATTAGGATCAGATCGATCGAAAGTGGCTCGCTCTCGCAGTAGCACGATCAGCAAAGAAGAAGGTGAAGAAAAAGCTAGTCTACAAGAAATTTTATCCGAAGATCCAGATGCATTACTTATTCGACAATCGACTGTTGTGAATAAAGAAAACGAAGAGGAACCTCCAGCAGCAGATAGCCAAGGCACCCTTACCTCACCATCCAATTCTTCTCGCCCCTCTAGTATCGCAGCAGAAACAAGCCAAGATCCTAAAGAAAGCAATTCTGCTCGACTTAAAATCATTCTTGAAAATGCAAAGCTTCGATCACCCTTCAAGGATTTCCTGAGAGCCAACTTTTGTGAGGAGAACCTCGACTTCTGGATTGATTATAGCACGCTCCGAAGGAAATGTAGAAATCAAAGCCCTGCATTACCTTCACAGAACCAAAAAGATTTGTTGGAAGATGCATATGATATCTGGTCTACTTATTTAGCCCCTGGATCTCCTTCTGAATTAAACGTGGAACATTCTCTCTTGCAAGAAATGGCTCGCATTGTGAATTCTGTGGTGACTGTCTTGCCAGCATATTCAGGACAAGGAAAACCAAGCATTGTCATCACTGCTTCTTCTGCTTCTCAGAGTCTAAGGATGATGCTAAAGTTATTTGACAAGGTGAATGAGCATATCTGTCGATTAATGGCTTCTGATTCAGTTCCCAAATTCGTGAAAACCGAGAAATATCGCAAGATTATTGATTCCATTGAGCGAAGCGAGCGAAAGAAGCAAAAAGAATTGGATGAATTAACTGACTCTTTGCGCAATATGGGATCAACTGAAGATGTATATCATGCAGGCAATGTGGAGACACAAGCCTAGTTTTTTATTTTTTTTCAAATTAAAAGTCCTTTTATTCCATAAAAAAAAAACTTGTTTATCCCCTTGCTCTTACTTAAAATGAATTCAGTAGCAAAGTATTATGCACAAATTTTCGGCTTGGGTTTAGCTTTAGGTGGTAGTATGGAAGTATTGCTTATCAAGAGCAACTATTGTATGTCTTTTTTTATTGTTTTCAAAGACACTGACGATCTATTGAAACTTAGATCAGATGCTTGCTGCTTCAGAAGCAAAACAGAGACTTAAAGAACTTCAACAAGAACAAGAAGACGCTGAACGTTTTAGTCGCTTACAATCACAAAATCAAACTAAATCAGCATAAGACAAGTAAATGCTCCACAATGTAAATAAAGCAAAAGAAAAGAGAAAACGCGTTTGCTCGGCAAAATGTTTAAATAAGGAAACATGTTTAAAGTCATGAATTGAGGAGGGAGAGGAGTTGACAATCGCGATCAAACGCTGTCAAAAACAAAAAGGAAAAAGTGATCGTTTTGTATTAATTGCCCTCAAACTTTATGTGAAAATACCTAAACGCAATTAGGCAGGTTAAGATCAAAATAGTCTCCTTTAAATTATAAATGGTATTCTCTTTATATCGATCGTATTCTTGCTTGTCCTACAAGTACTTTCGATTCTATCATTCAAGATTAACATGCATGATTATAAAGACTTTTATTATTATTATTGTTTTGTTTTGAGGAAACTAGGATAAGTAATGTCACACATGTGAGGATTCTGTCCACTATTTAGAAAAAAAAAAAGAGCTTAAATTCTGCAGACTTGTTTAATAAACATTAAGCACTTACCACCATAAGGGTTGCATTGCTTCTGTTTGAATACCTCGCTTCTGTAATCTATAGCGCCAATCAAATATTCTAGGCATGGCTTCTCCAATGTCTCTCTTGGTTTTATTTTGATCAAAGCGTCCAGACCACAAAACTTCAGCAGCAGCAGAGGATCTTGGCCTATTGGTTGTTAGATACACAAATTAAAGAAATTGCATAAAATTACCAAAGACGAGTATCCAATGTGGTAGAATCGACTTGTTCAGTCCATAATGCAACCTCACCGCCTAAAACATTACTAGCTTCGGCTTCTGTGAGATTATAGGTAAGGTCGTAACTGTAAATTCTTTGCCAAGTCTTGTAGGGGCTAGCATGGTATGTAAATAAACTTTAATTTTCTGTAAAAAAAAACACTTTACCTGCACCAATCACTGCCTCTTCCACCCCAATTATTAGGATTGTAATTAAAGATGGCATCATGTTTGGCGAGCACAGCAGCGACTTCTGAGGGTACTTCAGGCATCGTTTGTTCATCATAACCATTATCGTTTCCTCTATTCAAGAAATAAGCATCTATCCTGCGTGAGTTTGATTCATTTACCCCCATCCACCGTGTCCACAATCAAGATACCAAAAATTAGCGTTCGATGCAATGACCTTGTATCCTTTCTTTACTGCTTCTTTGACAGGATTGAACCAAGACTGCAATACCACATCTTTTCCAATAGGAAGATCAATGTGCGTAACAGGATCTAAATAACAATATAAGAAAGTGCTTGATGTTGGTTTTGTATTACCTTCCCAAATAATGGCTGTCTTGCTAGAATTACGAATCATATCTAATTCCTTTTGTAAAAAGATATCTAGAAGGTCATATCCAGTGGCATTGTATGCTTTCATATAAGCTTGAACATGTTCATCTTGTTCCCAACATCTATAAATAGGTTCATCTCCACCTCCATGGAACCAACTATCTGTGAATAAGGAGGCAGCTTCTGAAATCACTTTTTCGACTATCTCATATGTCTTGACAAGAACAGGATTAAGCTGCCCAGTACCGGGCTCTGCTGCAAACTTCTTTTCCCAAGATCCACTAGGATCAAGATAGAATTCATCAGTGCATGTTCTATTACGTTTAGAAAAAAAAGTCAATATATGTACAGGATGCAGTCAAGTTAAGGAGGCGACTCTCTAATCATATTTACGTGATATCTTTATATGCTTTTCCCCATGAACCCGTATGTGCAGGCTGTAAAATAATTAGTACGCACAGCATAGTCTTTGTAAAAAAAAAAAAAAAAAAAAAAAAAAAAAAAAAAAAAAAAAAAAAAATACCATATCAATTTCAGGAATAACTCGCACACCACGTTCATAAGCATAGTTGACAACATCTCTTACGTCTTGTGTGGTATACACCAATCTTCTCTGGTGCAATATGTAAGCGCCTTGGTTAGCAAGTTCAGGAGAATTATCCAGTCGAAGAGGAAAACTGTGTGAATCAGTAATGTGCCAATGAAAAACCTATTAAAAAAATAAATAAACATTTCGACACTATTTATTCTTACATTCATTTTATTGTAAGCCATGGCGTCAATTGTCCTAAGGATGTCTTTAACAGGAAAGTAGTTTCTTGATGTATCTATGTCGTTTTTTTTTTCAGGTTAATAAAGTTACAGTTGGCGGTCTTAATCTAAATGGGTTACCTAACATCAGTCCACGATGTGGAAAGGCTGGCGAGTCTTCAATTGTGATAGGAGCCTTGGGTATATAAAGTCCTTCAAAAACCAATACCTCATCGCTCTTCAATTCTTGTTCTTCATAGTCCATAATCCGTAAATCACCATTTTCGTCAAGATCTGGGCGTCCTTGAATTAATTGAGAGAATGTCTCTAAACCTCGAATGGCGCCCCACACATTTTTTGATACTAATGTGGCAGCATTTTCTCCTAAAGGTACATGAAGTGCATACGATTCATCAACGTCATACTCCAATGGTGTGTCATTATTTTCTATTGAAATATTCAAGGCTTTCAAAGTTGTGTTTGTTGTGTTTACTAGTAAAGGTGCTCCATGGTCATCAACTACTTGAACCTTAAATACATAAAATAGTGAGCACTTGTTATTAATATTCATAGACATACAGGTATCCATCTTTCTTGATTGATAAGAATAGTATAACGATCAATTGCATTCTGCAAGTAGGTCACATTGGGACCTGATATATAAAAGTTTGCCTGTAATGATGAATTAGACAAACTGAATACAATAGAAGTGTACATACATCAAGTTCTAATTCTGTTTGTCCCCATTCAACATGCTGCGGTACTGGCCAAAGTAATGTTGCCATTGCCATAGAGGGTAAAACAATAGCATAAGCTATACTGGTTGGGATCAGTTTCATTTTGTTCAATAAAGCAAGAGAAGAGAAAGAGTACAAAATGTCCAAAGTGTAAATTTGCACATATATATATATGATGTGCCATGCGTTTGTTTTGATCGTCTAAATTAGAATTTGTTTGTTTTTTTTCTACTTGCTTACTTGTCTCCGTCAAACATGCCCTGAATTATTCTAAAATAAGAGTTTTTGTTATTACTACTCCATGCTCAATGACATAAAATAAACTGTCCGAATAAAGTACAAAGAAGCCTTTGTTGGAAAAAGCCATTGTTTAATTTAATCCACTTGTAGCTTTCAAGAAATAAACAGCCATTTGGGCTTGCTTGGAATCTTGTCAGATTATAATCGTGTTCGAATATTTTCTAGAACTACATATGTTTTTTTTTTTTTTTTTTTTTTTTTTTTTTTTTTTTTTTTTTGCATAACTGTATTATTCTCTTGTCTTGAATATGTTTTGTGCTAGTTTTTTCTGAGATCAAAGACATTCTTTATGTCATTATGTCGTAGGCTATATTTAAATGTGTAGCTTGATTGGCATGCTACTAATTCTGGAATACCTAAACTATGCTGTTTTCTTCTTTCTCGACTGATCAATACACTAAAAAAAAAGAATTGGCTTTTTATCAAACAATACTACTCACGTTTTATTGTTTGCATTGCAAATCATATACAAGAGCATAATTACGGCTGGTAAGTTTCAAACTTGCTCGCTCAGCAGTGCCTGCAGAAATCGTGGAAACTGAGAATAACGAAAGACTGGTAAATTTGCAATATAAAATATTGACCTTTTCTCTCTTTTTTTTTGTTAAATAAACAACCTAAGCTTTTATTCCAAAGGGCTTCTAATGCTTATCCATTGTACTTTAGGGAAATTGTTCAAGGATGAAAAACATGTAATTCCGTATGAATGTATAATCTTTTATTATTTATGAGAAAAGCGTAACAGTGTTGTCCAATGGGAAGCACTCCGTTCACTCCAATGTCCATTCCAAAAAGTGGGCCATTATTGCATAGGTATATTGATTTCGAAAATGCTGTAGCTATGAGCCTTTTATAAAGAAAAAAATAGGTTTGTTATAGTTGCTTTCAGCGTGAAGTATCAGTGATTTCGTTAAATCATACAAAGGATATTATATCTCTTAAAATGGATACACCTCCTCAATTGCAAGGTATACATATAAAGGTGACATAAAACCTTTTGAAGGCCACATGAATGCTCTAAATACCTACAAACCATGTTTTCTAATATTCATGACACCGTTGGACCAAAAAAAGCGACTCGTGAAAAATGATCAAAATATACCTTTTGACCAAAGGGTACTACGCATGAAAATTGTCAGTTTGGAAACCCTCACTTTTCTTTTTGACGCTACATAACAAAAAATAAAGCTATTGACAAGCTTAAATACTCAAAAAGTAAAGATCTACAACTTTTGTCACTACAGCAAAGCCGAATAACTGCATTTTGATACCGATCGTAGCAAAAGCTCGATTTTTTTTAATGATTTTATTTGCCGCACGTATTAGTGGTCTCGAGAGGGACCCACTAAAAGAGGTGCTCGACAATTATTTATTATAAGAGGATTAAAAGAAACAAAAAGGGTACTACAATTTCAAAGAAAAAAACAAAGAAATCAAGAAAAAAAAGAGCAGCTACTGCGAGAAAAGACCTCTCAAGATGAAAGGTCATTTTCAGCAGCTACACGCTTAATTTGATAGCGAGTGCTATGGAGAACAGAGAGATAATGGAATGGTTGGTTCTGCATGGTATGGGTCCAATGGATCTTCCAGATTTCAGAGAGACCGATCAAGGTTACCATGGCTACTGAAAGAGGACAGTTGGTTTGAGACCGAATCCGAGAAAAATTGAAAGATGCAAGTGCATCAGAGACTAGATCCAGAGAGGTGCCTGGCCACAAAAATTCCCTGATCAAGGCATCCCAGAACGAAAATTTTTGGGGGCAGCGAAACAAGAAATGGTACACAGTCTCCTGATCACCACACAAAATGCGGGTAGCAGTAGGGAAGCGAGCAGGAAAAACCTTGAATAGAAGTAAGCGAGTGAGAATCTTGCGAGTCAGAAATCGATACATCACATTTCTCTGCAATGTTGTGATAGGTATGCACCAAAAGTACTTCCAAGCAGCAGAAGAAACTTCTTGCCGGGCAATGATATCAGACAAGGCAGCTTGTGAGATGACCTTACGGAAAGTATAGCCACCATTTTTGAGGGCAATGAAATTTTCATTGTCAAAAGGCAGTTTCAACATACGCACAAAAGAAAAGAAACCAAGAGACCGCTGGATTGCAGAAATATGCACAGGATTATATAATTCTAATGAAGTACGAACAAGGCATTGACCAAAGAATGGTTCCAGTTGACAATGACTTTGATTCACTGCTTGAATATATTTTCTGACACTACGATGGATATCCAGGGGAAAGGAAGAAACTGGTATTGGTGCCAAATAGTGACCCTGTGGATGGTACTCATATAGATAGGAAACTGCTACTGTACGTAGCTTGAGAGGCAAGTCAAAGGTGTCAGATGGCAGAACAATTGAGCGTAATGGCAGTAAAAGGCATTCGATAGGGTTTGGCATGTATGAGTACTGTTTCCTAGGAATAGCATCCATTGTCTGGCAGCACATTGTGACAGTATTACTTGCCAATTGCCTGAGTTGGCCTGGGCGAGAACGAGGAAAGAGCAGACCCAAGAGCAGATGTTCAGTCTGAAGCAAAGCACGGGTATGTGCTGCTAGAAAGTCTTGTATCAGAGAACGTTCAGCTTGAGGACACAAAAAAGGATGAAGCCAATAGTAATACAGTGATTTCTGCTGAGAAAACAAGTCAAGAATGCCAAGGCCACCATGCCACTCTGGTGCAGTCATCGTTTGCCAACTAATGCGAGAAAAGATTTGCCGGTTGACAAAAGAAGTAATGACAGTTCGAATGGTATTAAGGATTGCTTGAGTGGTAGGGATTACCCGCAAAATATACCAGCATTTAAACAATAAAAGCGAACTGGCAACTGTAGCTCTACCAACAACAGAAAGATTGCGTGAGGCATGAATATCCGCCAGTTGAGTCAGTGATCGAGTGAGGGACGAAAAAAAGTGAGTGCGCTGGTCCAAGGATTGGATAAGGGGAAAACCTAAATAGATAATGGGTTCAGCATCTGTACGGCACCATATCTTGGGAATGTCAATGGCTTGTAGAGTAGTCAGCCATTTATCATCTAGATTGTGGCCAGAGAGAGAGATTGCTCGCACTTTATGGTAGTTAATCTTGGCATTGGATGCTTTACTGTAGGCTTGCAAGTGAAACTGCATTCTGCGAAGGTCACGGATATTATGAAGAAAAACTAGAGTGTCATCAGCATAACTAAGCAATTTGATAGCAGGTAAGGTGATAGCTTGACTAAAATCATTATGCTTGAAGCGATAGCCAGAAAATTGAGTGTCATCCAATATCGACTGGAGAAGTGTCTCTAAGGCAAAATTGTATAAAATACAAGAGAGTGGGTCACCTTGTTTGAGGTCTCGACGCTTTGGAACCAACTGCTTAGAGAGCCAACCATTGATGTTGATACAAATGGAATTATCTCTAAACAAGGTATTAGTGCTGGCAACCAGGGTCTTTGGAAAACCAAAGTGTAACAACACTTGCTTGAGATAGTCAAGGTTGACACGATCATAGGCCTTTTCTTGGTCTAAAAGAATGCCAAGATCTTTGTCTGGTCGGCGGCAGTTTGTTGCTGCATTTTCCATGATCATTTGGGTGAGCAATCCATGTTCAGCAATATATCTGCCAGGCATAAAGCCTAGTTGATGTCTGCTGATAAGCGTAGCAGCTACTGTCATAATCCTGTGGTTGATTATCTGAGTGAAGATCTTGTTATCTGTATTCACCAACTGGATAGGACGATAGTTCTCTGCCCGCGTTAAATCACCTTTCTTAGGCAAAAGAGTCATAAGTGATAGCAGCCATGATTTTGGGAATAAAGAATGAGCTAAGGCATTATTGTATACTTGTAGAACCAACTGCCTTAAACAAGGAACATGAAGTAAAATACCTAGAATTTCGTATGGCAAACCATCGCTACCAGGACTACTCTGACGAGGTGAGCGTCTACTTGCTTTCGATATCTCCAGCCAAGTGATAGGACTTTCAAGGGTAGATGCTTGCTCTTTAGTAAGTCGTTGGCTGTTGGTACGTTGTAAAAGCGTATTGACATCAGAGGATTGGATCTTGTCAGGACGATATAGCGCCTTATAAAAGGCAACCATCACCTTTGTTTTCCCTTCTGTATTAGTAACCAATCGTCTAGAATTGGGATCAAAGAGTTTTGGTATTGTTCGCTGTGTAGACCTATCTTGTGCAAGTTTTTTGAGAAGACCAGGAGATCGTTCACCTTTTTCTCGCCAAAATTTGCCTGCTTTGAGATGTTCTATTTCGGCAGATTCATCCTGCAAAATAGTGATCATTTTTTCAACCTTTGGCAAAAGAGATGATAAAATAGATGTATTTTTATGATCTCGTAAGATTATGTTGTGTTTGGATTGAAGCTTTTTTAGAGATTTGGATCGCCAGTTGTTACGCATGATCTGGAAGGATCGAGTAAAAACTTTGACTTGTTCTTTCAATTCATCCCAAATAGTTTGAACTGAAGGGCAATCAGGATCCAAACGGTTGATGTTATCCATGTGTTGCTCAATATGTGTTGTCAAACCATTTCTATATGCAGATAGTCGAGCAAGATTAGGATTACCTTTCCAAGGACCAGGTCCAGCTGGAGTGTGTACCAGTTGATAGTTGATAGAAAGCAAGGCATGGTCAATCCAACTGTAGTTGACAAAATTTTGAGTCATAGAAATTACATTGTCAGCATAAGATTGGGTGCAAAATATATAGTCAATATGTGTGCGACTACCAGTGGTACTAACAAATGTAGGAAGAGGATCACTTTGAAAGCAATCTTGGAATGAAGTAAGAAGTAGATCATTTCAGCACGGATTAATGTTGGGTTTACGGTAAATGTCATAGTTGAAATCGCCAGCAATAATAATAGGCAAAGACGTTGACTGTAAATGTGACATTAATGGTTGATTGGAAGATAACGTGCGAAAGAATGTGGATCGACTACTACGATAAGCAGGAGCATAAATATTGAGGATATACATAAAAGGAATGGAGGGTTCAGAGGCATGAGCGATGGACGCTAAGAGAAAGCGGCCATCGGTAGAATTGATGGTGGGATGTGCTGTAATTTTGTAGTGAGATTTTAAGGAAACAATGCCACAGTGTTCTGTCCAAAGACTGGATTTAGTCTGGAACTTGAGATTGAACTGTTTCTGCATATTAAGTGTAGATGCGTGTGTTTCTTGTAAGCATAGAATGTCATATTTAGTTGAACGTAGAAAGCAGATGAATAAGGACTGTTTGTAAGGATCTGAAGTTTTCGTAAGGCCACGACAATTAAGGGTGGCAATTTGCATAGAGTCTTTAGGCATAGATTATCTTATTGAAAGTCAGGAGAGGTACCTGTTGATCCACCTGTATTATGATTAGGCACCACTCTATGTCTCTCACCGTCATGATTAAATTTGATCTTTTTACGCTCCTGGATAAACCTTTCTAAGTCCAAAGCCTCTTGGGTTGGATTATTGCTTGGAATATTTTGAAGATGTTCATCATCATCCTCTCCATCGGAGTCAATGATTTCTACTTCACTATCTCCTTGCTCTTTCATTTCATGATCCATCAATTCATGCTCGACTACTGTAATATCGTTTGAAAGTGTTTGAATAGTCTCGGTTGCTATTTGACTAAGAGGAGCAGTAGTCAATGCAGCAGGAGAGACAATTTGCTTATGCTTCGCACTTTGTGCCAGTTGCTCATTGGGCAGGTTGGATCCTGATCTACTAGCCTTGTCTTTTGTGATCCCAATACGCTTATTAGGAGGGTGGCCTGATCCATGACCACGACGAGGACAATCACGGCTGATATGACCACGCTCATTGCAGTTATAACAACGACGAGTATTAATGAGTTCCATGCAATCTGCTCGACAATGGTCAGATTTTTGACAAAAACGACAAAATTGGGGCATTTCAGCCCACGTAAGCAGAAGTTCACGATCAAATTTGGGCCAATCCACTACTCGACCAAGTTGCTCAGACTCAGACTTGTGAGGATTGTTCAGGTCAAGAACGACGTAGCCCTGGCCGAAAAATACAGCACCGTCCATATGAAATCCCAGATCTAGGACTTCACCAAAATGGGAAAAACGTTTGGTTATTTGCTCGCGGAGAGTTGAAGGATGAATCAAGGGGAGTCGTTCAACCTTAACTCGAGCAATTTTGGCGTTTTGGGGCAAGCTGCGGTAGTCTTTGATAATCGCATTATCTTCCATCTGCAAACCAGAGTTGATCAACTTATTGTATACTTCTGATTTGATATCCCAGCATGTTTCAATAAAGCGTCTCTGCAAATACTTGCGCTCAACAAGTAGTGCCAAAGAAATAATACTCTTCATTTGTATTGAGTGACCCAAGAAACTGTTTAAGGCCATTAATATCACGAATATTGGTGATATCGATCAATACACTATCTTTCTCTAAACCGACAATATAAGGCGTAATAGTGCGTGCAGAAGAAGCAGTGGCAGCCAATGATGACGACTGGTTAGCAGACACAATAGTTCTAACCGCTACTTGCAACCAAGTTCTGGGTAAATTATTGTTGTTACGACGCCCTTTGGAGGATGTCATGTTGTGGGTTGGCTTGTTAGGCGAAAGAACCATGATGAATTTCGAAGCTCGATTTTTCATGTGGCGGGATGAGAGTTAATTATAGTATTTTAATCCCCACATGAGAGCCATCATGTACATGTTTTGTCCATTTACCCATATTTGCATTATAAAATGCCTATATTTCTGCCTTTCTATGCTCTTTGGCACTCCCGATAGCATAAAATAATTTAGCGGGATCAATTGTTAGCACATTTTATATAATATCTAGAGCAAAAGTACTCAAAATACTGCTTAAATGAGTCGATCTTTGATGGTTCATTGCTCAACAGCTAGACTACTAAAATGACCTCTTTTTTATTTAAAACACGTTATTTTGAACCTATGCGGGAGCCACGAGAGCTCGCGAAGATGAAAAAAAAAAGTTCATCGAGAATTTTTAAAATGACTCAATGTAGGTCTGATTCAACTGAAATGAGGTGAGATCATCTCTAGATACTTCTGATAGAAACAAAACGAATTCTCTAAGACAAAAATGTCGACTTCAAAGTTCATTATACATTGTAATTATATGTATAAAAGATATAACTCAATATTCTAAAGAATATCAGTATTTTGGACTAATTGATACCCATAAAAAATGCAAAAAGATGAAAAAAAGAATTGCTTATCTCTCTGAAATATACATGTATATTCTATAGTGTATGAACAGTAGTTGGTGTTGTTTTAAGCGATCTAAAAAGCTTTTGTATTTCAAACAAACCCAATCTTGCTAATCAAGAAAAGAAATATGAGTTGTTGTCAATGTAGATATCTAACTTACGTATAGGCACTTTCATGGTTAAGACAGTTCGAACACTATCTTCTATCTGTGAAATAGCATCTGTTTGAAAATAAACCAAGATCAACAAAGGTAGTTCTGATATACCAGACTGTAATAGTCCATTCAACACTTTGGCAAGTTCAGTCTATATACACATGAGACATAGTGCTCAATAAAACAAATATGAACTACCTGTTTTCGAAGAAATTGATCTGCAGACAACAAGACCAACACAAGCAATAGACACACAATTCTCTCTACTTGTGTTTGACTAAGTAGTTTAAGGCATAAGCTAATTTCTGAATCTACAAGCTTGATACCAAAAAATCCAATAATACCAGCCAATGCTCGAATATGACTAGACAAACCAACGATATCTTTTTCATGCTTTGAACAAGTAAGTAATAGGCACTTGGTTAAAAGAAAAAAAAAGAGAGAGAGAAAATTTACCAAAGCGTAAGTATCCATTTCTTGAATGATGCGCTGTTTCATCTTCATAAAGTATTGTCCACTGTTGGGAGATTGAGCTAAAAACCAAGTCGATTTGCCTGTAAAGACACCATTTAAAAACTCAACCTAGTTTACTGTTAATAAACACATCTGCGACATACATTACTTGCCGTGTCTTTACAGTAAGTGGCAGTGAGTCGAGTGACAAGATCAGGCAATATCTGCATTTCCACTAATTTGAATCGAACCATAGGTGCATCTTGAGGGTATTTTTCAATTGCTTTATAGATCATTTCACTAATTTGCATAGAATATCTTGTATCCATTCTATGAACACAATGCATTAATTGCTCTATCACCTTGTTTTATACAGTCAATACATTTATACGTGGACATACAAAACTTACGTTGCAATACATGGGTTCATTCTCTGCTACTAAGAGTTTGATTATGTCGCACCGAGTAGATAAATGAACAAGACCTTCTGATATGTGCTTTAATGCCATTGTATTGCCCTGCTCAAATTCGATCTGATCATAGAGTTGAATGACTTCTGCCAGTAAAACACCATGCTCCTTAACAAATGCTTCGTTCCCCAATAATCGAATAAGGGAACGAATCTTTTTATTAGCATGATCAGTAGGTTCATGGTTGACTTGAGACTGGATAAATTCAAGTTCACACAAGACTTCACTAACATGAGATCAGTAAACATGCTCGAAAAGATCAACTCGATTACAATTTCCAATCGTATTGTCCAACTGTTTTGTACTGAACCTAACAAGAGTAAGTTGAGGCAAGAAAGAATTACCGCTTTACCAGTGCTTCTTCAAGTCCAATTTTCAAGCTAGTGCTTTTGAATTCGAGATATTTGTTGATTAATGCATGTTCTATTTGTGGATCCATCTTGAAGAAGACGCGAGGAAAATAAACACAATGAATAAGGACGCGCTTTTATTAAATGCCCGCTTATGCCAGCTTGCCACTTGTGTCTGTCATGCTTACTTTTTTTTTTGTTGATAGTTCTTTCTTTTTTGTTATTATTCTGTGTTGATATATAATGAGTCGATTATTTGATCATTATAACTCAAGTTTATTAATTGATGCACAAAGTCAATCCATAACTGTACCTTTGCGCTCACAGAGTGTGCCTATCCCCTCAAGCAACAGTTCATTGGATCTAGACAACATTTATTCTCAGTCAGCACCAGCCATGCTTCGTACCGATTCTCTATTGTATGAAACAGAACAAGAAGATGATGATCTTTCACTTGTATTATACCAAAAAGATGAGTTTGATGAATGGTCTAGTTTAGCAAATCATCACTATGGTCCTCGACAGGATTCAAACCAAATGTTTGAAAAGTTAAAGCATAATTCATTCTATCACATCTTATTGAAACGCAGCAAGCTTCCTATTAAAGTATCCAACATTTCATCCAACACCATGTATAAGCGAATTCGAGATCATTTCTGTGATATCAATGTCTTGGTAAGTTGAAGTGTGCATAGAAAACTAACACCTTAGTTTATTCGTTATATTCGACCTCTGAAATGTGCCTATGTTGTCTATAAAAGCTATCAAGAAGCATTGAAGGGCTATTATAAGCATCATTTGTCAAGTAAGTAAACAAATCAAATGCTCTCATTCGAACTGTTGTTAGTTATAGATGATCATACGGTGGTTTGTCACATTTGTACAGTAAGTCACTTTATAAAAAAAAACATCCTGTTTTGACAAGACAAGGTTGAGGAAATGGAGAATGACTGCAACGCATTTAACAAGCCAAAAACAACACAAAAGGTCAGAAAGAAACGAACGGACTTGGTCATGTTCATGTCGCCTCAATCTCCTGTCCATTTCATTATACTTAAGCCATTGGAACTAGAAACAGTCAAAGAATCTCAACTCTATGAATATTGGCCAGTATCTCAAAAGAAACAGAGATTCTTAAACCAACTCTATGAAGTAACAAATCTTTTATTTATTTACATGTCGCTTATACCACAAGTCATCCTATCACGTTTATTTCTTGTTTAGTGTGATTGGAAGTAAATCATTTCAAGGCTATGGTACTATGTCGAGTCCAGTCATAGATATGCATACGCTTGCTCCTCATGAAATGTACGGTGTAGTGATCAATCCACAATGGCGCTTCGTATGCAAAATCAATTGGGAATCTACTCAACATACCCCTATCAAGCAAATTGGTGGATGCCTCAATCCTTATGAACAGCACCAACCCATTCGATATTCAAGGGATTTTACTTTGGTTGAACCCACGCTTGGGATGACATTGATTGGTTTGATGAAATAAGTTTTATTGTTTCTTTTTATGTAAAGATGCTGATTTTTTCAATGAACCGACAAGTGGTGAAGATGAGGGTGATAAAGGTGAAATTCCCTAATGTAACTTATAAGCGTGTGTGAGTTTTATAAGTAGATTTACTTACGCTACGCATGGCTTGCATGTCTGAGAGAATATCATCGTCTCTTAATCTAAATAGAAGTGAAGGACGTAAAAAAAAAAGAAAATGGTTAAGGATAAATAGTATGTGTTAGTAATGTCTCTAAACAGTCATAATAAAAAGGATATCATTTAAATGCTTCTTTTTGTTGGCTTTACTGTCTGTATTCTCAGGTCCCCTTTTACGTAAATTACGCTTATGTAATCTGGCTTGCGTATCCATGACTAGATCTATCGCTAAGGAATGAGTCCAAATTGAAGACTTCATTCATGCCCTTACCAATACCATAAGCCAAGTCACAATTATCTTTATCCTCTTTTAATTTTCTTCTCTTTTCTTCCAGCACAGTAAATAGTTTTTCTCTTATCTCCTGCGTTTCAGCCTAAATAGAGAGTAAGTATTGAACGACCAAGACTGTTTCTCTCTCTTTCTCTCTCTCTCTTTATCTCTTTGTCTTACAGTATATTCTTCTTCTGCTTGGTATATTTCTAATCGAAACTGATTATCTGTCACTTGTTTTTGATATTCTCTAAATAGTTGACCATCATCAATCATTTTTTGTCTCATTAATTCCAAGTCTCTTAAACCATCTAGATAATGTGTATGTGTATCTATACATTGTTAACTATTTGTAAAAGTGGACAGTATTACCTTGATGAGCTTCTTTAAGTTCTTTGTTGATTGCATTCAATTTGGACACATACAGTCTAAATAAATCAGTTTTTCACGTCCTTTTTGTATTTCTAAATTACCCTTCTATGTTTTGCAAAAAGTCTTGATTCAATTGTTCCATATAAGCCGACATTTCTTTTCTCTTTTTGGCCTTTTTATTATCACCTGTTTCATACCAGTCCTCTTCTTCCATGTATTTAGGTGGTGAATTCTCTTTTTGAGTTGTGTGGGATGGTGATACACATGCACTAGAGGCCTCATATAGTCATAAGGTTTGTTTAGTTTAGAAGAAGAAGAGCCTTTGTAATAGACAGGATATTCTTCCTGGTGTTTATAATAATCTTCATTTGGATATGCATAGTAGTTAGTATGCTGTATTGGTCTCGTATCAGCATTATTGGATCTTGCTATTGTTTGTTGTGGAAGAGTGGTTTGTGGCAGTTCTGGTGATGTTTGTTGCTGCTGTTGTGGTTGTGGTTGTGGTTGCGGTTGTTGTGTAGTTGGTGGTGGGGGAGGAGGAGGCGGTGTAGTTGAAGGAGGTGGTAGAGGTGGAGGTGTAGTAGAGCCAAACATATAATGATTATTTGTTTCCAGCATACTTTCCATATGAAGAAAAACAAGAGAGAGAGAAAGAGAAAGAGAAAGAGAGAGAGAGAGAGAGAGAAAGGGAGAGAGAGAGAAAGAGAAAGGGAAAAAATAATAGGCAGATTAAGTACACACACACACACACACACACACACGCACAAGTAGAATTTCTCTTTATTTTTGGGGGAAATTTGAATCCATTCCTCTATTACAAGCCACTTGTTTTATTTGATAGGTCTAGAGACAATATAAGCACGCTTCTATATATATATATATATATATATATAATCTGACTTACGTTGCATCAATTTGAACAATGTTGGGTAAAGCAAATTTGATCTTGTTTCGATAAGTAGCCCTGTTATTGAGTTGCATTGGATTGCCTTCCAAATAAACAGTCGTCAATGTCTTGATTTGACCTAATTCTTTTTCAACTTGTTCGTAGCATTCATTATCAAATTGATTTCCATTGGCCCAGAATTCTTCTAAACAAGGCAAATGAGCCAAGTTTTCAATCTTGACAAGGCGATTGCTAGCCACGTCCAATGTGTTTAATTTGAGCTACACAAATGATAAGCTTATGAATCACATTGTGTTGGTGCTTACATTATGCTCTAATCCTTCAATCTTTTCAATGGCATTATGACTCATGTACAACTCTTCCAGATTAGTCAATTCTTCTAGACCTTCAATCTTTGTCAATCGATTGCTTTGAATACTCAATGATTTCAAATTTTTCAGTCCACTCAAATTCTAAAATCTAATGAGCTCATCAATACAAGGAAGAAGCTATTTACTTGTAATTTGGTGATCTTGTTCTTTCCAAGCCATAATTGAGTCAGATTAGCAAGGCAATCCAAGTTTTCAATGGAACGAATACGATTAGCACCTAATTCCAAATTGGTGACATGAATAAGTGTATCTAAATTCTCAATTTTAGATATCTTGTTGCTGACAAAGTACAAGTTTTTGAGGTTTGTGAGGCGATCAATGTTCTTGATATGTTTGATTTTGTTGAATGAGAGATCAAGATTTCTATCAAGGTTCAGTAAGTCTATAGAAAAAGAAACACTTACTCTAATGTAGTGAGATTATTAAGTCCACGCATATGAGAAATTTTGTTATCGTATAAATCAAGTTCTTTTAATTGTTTTAATCCATCCAATCCTTCAATATCAATAATAAAATTTTGACGAAGACAAAGACTCTGATTTATATGATATCAGTCAGTATTTATCACCTTATGTATACTTACCTCTACTTCCTTGAATCTATCCAAGCCAAGGTTAGGAATACTGCTCACTTTCATATGAATACAGTCAATTTCCTATAGGCTTATCAGTCAAAATCAACTTATATATAATATTTTGTACCTTTGCATCATCAGCATATTCATCCAAGAGACCTGTTTATGGCTGTTAAAAAACACGTGAAATAAAGGTATATAACCTGCCTTCTTCTGCTACTATTTCGTGTTCTTCCTCTACTTCAGACTCTTCTGCTTCACTTTCAATATGAGTATTGACAACTACTTCTTTGATAGGTTTATCTTGATCCATTTTTATTAACGAAAAAGAAAGAAAGAAAATGGCGTGTGTATGTGACGATGTATCGATTACAAAATTGTTCTGGGTTTTAACTCTTTACAACTTGTATATATATCCTAAAGAGTTGTACAGAATGATATCATTTCTTTTCTTTTCAATAAAAAAAATAAACGAGGGTCCATTTAGAGTATGAGCATGACGCTTTAATGAAATCTTTAGATAAAATTTTAAAAAGCAGACATGAAGCGAAATCGAAAGTTCGAGTACCAACAGCGGGGATTTTTTAAAATATAAAAAGCAATAAGGCATGAATAATAAGCTATTCTTTGTTTTTATTGGTTAAATAGAGAATAAGGAGTGTGTGTGATACTGAATGACGATGTTATTGAGGGTTATCGAACCAATCAGATAAATGAGTCCCATTCCGCAGCCCACTTTCTCAACAACTATAAATACGTGATCATTTTTCTCTTCTCCTATTTTCTTTTTTTTTCTTTATATTATTTTTCCCTTATAATCATGCAAATCTTCGTCAAGACTCTTACTGGTAAGACCATTACCCTCGAAGTAGAATCCTCCGATTCCATTGAAAACGTCAAGCAAAAGATTCAAGACAAGGAAGGCATTCCCCCAGACCAACAACGTCTTATCTTTGCTGGTAAACAGTTGGAAGATGGTCGCTCTCTTTCCGACTACAACATTCAAAAGGAATCCACTCTCCACTTGGTCTTGCGTCTCCGTGGTGGTATGCAAATCTTTGTCAAGACTCTTACTGGCAAAACTATTACATTGGAAGTAGAATCTTCTGACTCTATTGAAAATGTAAAGCAAAAGATTCAAGACAAGGAAGGCATTCCCCCAGACCAACAACGTCTTATCTTTGCTGGTAAACAGTTGGAAGATGGTCGCTCTCTTTCCGACTACAACATTCAAAAGGAATCCACTCTTCACTTGGTTCTTCGTCTCCGTGGTGGTATGCAAATCTTTGTCAAGACTCTTACTGGCAAAACTATTACATTGGAAGTAGAATCTTCTGACTCTATTGAAAATGTAAAGCAAAAGATTCAAGACAAGGAAGGCATTCCCCCAGACCAACAACGTCTTATCTTTGCTGGTAAACAGTTGGAAGATGGTCGTTCGCTCTCTGACTACAACATCCAGAAAGAGTCTACTCTCCACTTGGTTCTTCGTCTCCGTGGTGGTCAATGAATTCCATTCACTTTTAAAAAAATGATAAACTCATTTTGTTTATAATAACGAGAAGTTTTACATATTCACATTGCATGTACAAATAAAGTATACTTTTCCAGCTTTTCTTAAAAAAAAAACAATGTAACCAAATTTATAAAAGAGGAATATGTTTTAAAGGAGTCCATTTTTATTATTTTTAAAAAGGAGGATCATCACGATGTCTTTTAGCTTGTCTTTGTCTGAATAAATCAAAGTCTGGTGGCCTATTGGGACCTATGCCTATATACAAAAGAATGGGTATCAACAAATAGGACGAATAAAGGTTACCTTTATGAGGCTGATAATCATCATCATAATCATCTCTTCCTCCTCTACGCTTTGCATTTGGTTTGCCAGCACCGGTTGCTCTCATGGGCATTTGGTTAGGTGGTCTTCCTCCCTTGAACCCTTGAGGACGAGCAGGATTGGATGGTGGTGGAGCAGGACGACCAAAATTGCGGGGCATCTCTCTTGGTGGTGGTTTAACAGAAGGTCTTTGTGGCGGTAAGGGTATGATGATGGTACGTAACAATTCTACAATTTCACCTGGTGGAATAATAGGTCCATTGAATGTCTGGGCAGGTGGTAAATTACTCACAAAATAAGCAACAGCATCAGGTAAAGATGTTGTCCATTGTGGCTGTATAGGTACAGTTGGAGCAGGTGGAGATGGTGGTTGAGGGGGTGTATCTACAGGTGGACCAGGCACAATCGTCGTGATCAAAGGAGAAGCATTGGCTGGACGAGCAGCAGGCTTAAAGGGTTGCCATTGACTAAGATCAGGACGAGGATATTTCTCAGGATGAACAGGTTCTAAAAGAGGACGTTTTTGGTGTTCTTTTGAGGTCTGCACAGGTGGTGCAGCAGGCGGTGCTGGTGTGGGTTGTTCTTGGACCGTCTCTTTTGTTTCTGTTTGTTCTTGCTGAAGGCGACGACGAGCAGCATACCCAAGTTCTTGTTCTTCAATCGTACAGATGTCCAAATAACTCTGTCTTTTTAAAAAGGACTCCATAATAGATACATTTGGGTTGGCCATAGCTTCAATGCGTCTCTTTTCTACACTCTGCACTGAGGCTAAATCACCATACTTGTTTTCATAGTCCAGAAACTTAAGCCAAATAGGTCCTGCTTTTTCTGCTGGCATGGTAGCCAATGTTCTTTCAAACAAAGCACGTGTGTTGTTATCATCATTCATTTGAATTAGAAAATCCAAGTATTGACAGACAAAGTCAGGATGATCAGCAAAGGACTTTTGGCCCAGACTAAAGACTTTACCAGCAATAGTGGCATCTTTTGAGTTATGGTATTCCATCAAGGCATCAGCCACATAGACATGGTAAGTACAGTTGGTAGCCTTTCTGGCTTTGGAAAACAAGGCACGCGCACTCTTGATACCGTCTGTGCGACGTGCAAATCGCATATAATTGATCCAAACTAATGAACCAGCACGGGCAATCACTTCTACTTGTTCGTTCAGTTTCTTTTCAACCGCTTCTTGTTCTCGCTTGGCATGTCTTTCTTTTGATCGCAATTGTTCTCTGAGTTCACCATCAATATCGTCTGACAGGTTCATGGCTGCCCTTTCATCTTCTGCTTCTTGATTTAAGCGTGCGATTTCTTGTTCTGATGCTTGTTTGAGTGTCTCTATCTCTTTATCTAAGTGTGTTACGAGTTGATCATAGGCTTCACGTGCATCTTCTAATTGACGGCGTGATTCGCATAATTCTGCATAAGAAAAGTTAAGCAAAAGACTGGTAGGCAAGATTTCAATGCCTTGCTTAAGGATCGACAATGCCTTTTCAGGCTTGTTGAGTTCTTGGTAGTAACTAGCAAAACTATACCAAAGTTCGGGATACAGACGAAGTACAAGAAATGCTTGTTGGTAGGCATAGGCAACACGCTCCATAACCGCATTTTCATCTTCAAGTTGTAAAGGATCACTCTTTTCCCACTCAATATACTTTTTCCACATATCCAGCTGATTGAATTCGGCAGGTGTCCATTGAGGAGGCAAAGGAACAGTAGTTACGTTGATCTGGTCAGTCAATAAGCGCATTTCACGTAAAGCAGTACGTGCTGTCATGTAAGCAGATGATTTCTCACCCAAAAATTTCTTTGCCTAACAAAAATCAATCAATCTTTGCCATAAAAATAAATGCATTATTTACTGTCAAACGATTCAAGTTGTTCTCCCATTGATCATATTCTTTCCAGAGATGTTCAACATTATTTAAAGGAATAGTCACTGCTTTCTGGTAAGCACGACGCATGGAATCCATCTTTCTTTGTTCTTCCCAGGTATTCGTTGTCTAAGAAAGATAAATAACATGCATACAGAATAATTTAAAATACCTCGGCCGATTTCAAGAAATAAATATAGTCAGCCCAAATAGGGCCTGCATCTCTATCTATACCAACATTACTCAAGACATATTCATAAGCTTTTTCAATAATAGCCCTTGCTTCAGGCGTAACAGAAGAACCACTCTCGCCTAAATTAATACGACGAATATATCCCAGATAAAACTTCCAAAGATCGACTGACAAGACTGTCTTGAGACAACGAGTAAACAAGGCTTCGACTTCATTGAAATTAGAGAATTTCAGTTCTGTTTCAAGGTAAGCCAACCAATGCTTTGGCTATACACAACAGATGATTAGAACATGCGTCTATGTTCTTATCTCTCTCTCTTTTTCTCTCTCTCTCTCTCTCTCTTTCTTTCTTTCTCTCCCTTTCTCATACTTACCGAGGTTGGAAACACAGTCAAAAAACGCTCATAGACATCACGTATTACATTTAAATCACCACTTTGTTGTGCATCATTCAATAAGCCTGTCCAGGCCTCAATATCATACTTGGATTCTTTAATACGAGTCTCGAGTCTGGTTTTTTTTAATAAAGACTTTGAACTAGGTTCATTTGGTTTATGTTGATGTTGTTGTTGTTGATGTTGTTGTTGTTGTTGTTGTTGTTGTTGATAGGCAGCTACAGGGATTTGCCATGAAGCAGGTGCACTTAAGAAAGGATCGGCATCCATAGGATCTGTCGATTCTTTTTGCTCTGTGCCTTGTCGTTCTTCCATAGGCTGTTGCTCCGTGAATTTTTGTTCTTGAACAGAGTGCTCTTCTTTAACAGGGTGCTCTTCTTTAACAGGGTGCTCTTCTTGAGCAGATTGTTCTTCTTGACCCGATGGTTGTTCTTTTGATTCTTCTTCCATGGGCTCTTCCTTTGTTTCTTGCTTCATTGACTCTTGCTCTTTTGTATTTTCTACATTGGCTTCTTCCTGCTTTGATTCCGCCTCGTTTTTCTCGTTCTGATCTTGTCCATTAGTCGCGTTTTCTTGTTGTGCTTCGACAGATGCATCTTGATCATTTTCCATTGTCTCGTCTTGATGTTCCAAAGTAGGCTGTTCTTCCATGACAGTGTCTTGCTGATTTGTTTCCTCTACGGGAGGATCCATCACAAAGTCTACGGGTGTATCAGACGCCATGATATATAAAAAAGAAAGTAACGTTAGACACGAAAAATCTTTTTTCCTTCGTTCTCTTTCTTACGTCACGCCAACTACGGGTTTTTAACTTTAGACAGAGACGACTTTGACCCAATGAGATTGATTTGTGGACGAATCAAAATGTCATTTAAGATGTTTGTTCTAAGCAGTTCATTTTATTTATCACATTTTGTTGTTGTTTGCTACAAAAGCATTGCAGAATGAAACTGACATATTTCTAAAGTCTGTTTTATTGGTATTAATGTTCTCGACTGATAAATAGACTTGCTTTCTCTTTTTTCTGCCTCTATCAATTGAGTTTTCAGAAGTATCAAATACTGATCAAAGCAGACTCTTTTTTGTTATCTTGGAAACCCACAGCAATTACGCTCAATAATTTGAGAGGAGTAGCCTTATAAACTCACATAACTGCAATCTATATTCGTCTCTAATACGCAGCATAACCACATCTGTATGTATACAGTCTTGTGTATTCTTATCTTCGATTTAAACAATACATCAATGGTATGAATTCAGTTCGAGAGGCATAATGTCTTTTTTGATGGAATCAAAATACACACATTTTAGCACTACTTTTACTTGAATTCATGTCTTGTATATTCCAATCGAAGTTGCTTGATATATTTCTGAACTTGAGAAGGCTTCTTATATTATATTGTACGAGAAACTTGCAATATGCTTTGTTTACTCTTTAGATATACGCTTGAGTAGTGTTACACCACACAAAATTTCTAGATAAGAGAGCTAACAAAGAATGTCAATAGACAAAGGATTTGTTTAAATACATAACCAAACCAATTGTTATCTATTGACTACCTCTGGACATTTTTTTTATTGAGCCCTAGACGAAATGTAATTCATAGCTGATCATCTTCAAGAAAACAAGAGGGTCTTTGTATTGTTTTATGCAGAAGAAAAACATACTTCAATACTTTCCAGCACAAAGTACTTTTAAAGTAATGATTTTAGTCATCTTTCGTTGCACCAGCTAGTTTTTATGTACAAATAGAGGAATTTTGTTACGTAAATTTTCCCTATCAATTTCAGCTTATTGTTTATGCATAGATTCAAATAACGATTATTTTGTCAATATATGATAGTATGTAGATATAAAAAGATATACACTCTTGTCTTTTTTCTTCTTCTTTTGCCCTGAATTTATAAAGATGGTAGACCGGGATAGTATTACAGTAAATACCGTCTATAACAATTAAATTCAACAAGTGACTTTATTGATAGACAAAGAAATCAAAACTTCCTGACATACAGCATGTAGAAACAAACGAGTTTGATTGTGATGCTCAAAGACTTAGAGATTTGGGCTACAAACAAGAATTCAAGCGAGAAATTAATCTGTTGGCTCAAATTGGTTTCTGCTTTACTACAATGGGTGTCTTGCCAAATTGGATGGTAGGCTTTGGCCCTATCATCGGCTCTGGTGGCCCGTCTTCTTTGTTCTGGGGCATGATTGTTGTAGCCCCTTTTGTGATGTGTATTGCTCTTTCTATGGCCGAAGTTGTTTCTGCCTATCCGCTGGCAGGTGGTATTTACTCTTGGTGTTTTCTATTGAGCAACAAAGAATGGGGACCATGTAAGCATCAAAGCTGCACGTTGTAATATACTAATTGATCTAGTCATGGCATGGATTGGTGGGTACTTGTACTTGATTGGCTTAGTCACGGCCAATATTACACTCTCCTGGTCTGTCTCTGAATTCGTTATTGGTATTGCAAATACAGTAAATGAGACACAGATCGAATCTCAAGGCGTTTATGTGGGATTGTACTGTTGTGTGTTTTTCTTGGCCACTGCATATAATTTTCTCGGCATAAGATTCAGTGCTTACTTGAACAAGTTTCTTTTGTTCTGGGTAGGCGTTGGCACTATCGTTATTATTTGTACTGTGCCTGCCATGGCCCCTAAGCATAATTCCGCTAAATGGGTGTTTACTGAATTCACAAATACTACAGGCTACACAAATCAAGGTCTTGTCTTTTTGCTTGGTTTATTGGTAATCAATCAGCTTTGGAATGCGCTATTACTGACCCTTTTTCTAAAAAGCAAGCAGGTTGGACACTGATTGGATACGAATGTGGTGTCCAGATTGTTGAAGGCACAAAAAAAGCTGATATTACAGCACCTCGTGGCATTATTGTCTGTGTGATAAGTGCCATTGTTCAAGGTTTCGCTATTATTTTGATCACATTGTTTTCAATTCAAGACGTAGAGGCTTTGTTCGAGTCTAGTATGCCGGTTGCTACTTTCTTTTTGCAAGCTACTAATGCTAGATTGACCACATTTTTCTTGGCGATCATGGTTCTTGCTCAGTTTGGCTCTCTTTGTAACTCCATTTTAGCCACAGTGCATATCATCTGGGCTCTTTCTCGAGATGGCTGTCTTCCTTTCTCCAAGACCTTTTATCAGTTAAATGAAAAGACCAAGGTGCCTGGTCGTGCCTTGATTTTTCAGCTTATTATTTCCATTGCCATCATTATGCCTGTAAGTATTATGCAAGGCATGAATATACATATATATACTAAACTTTTTTCTTTTAAATCATAGTCGTTTGGCTCAGGTGTTTATTGGCAAGCCATTATGAGTACATCCGTTATTTCAATTAATGCATCTTACGGTCTACCATTGTTAAGCCGCCTTTTGTGGGTTCGGAATGACATGCCTAAAGGTCCTTTTAGCCTTGGTAAATGCAGCTTGCCATTGAATATCATCAGTATTATTTGGATTTCATTTTTTAGCGTTATACTCTGCATTCCTTCAGTATCGCCTGTTACGCCCGGAACCATGAATTGGGCCTCTGTCATGATTGTAGGTGTGCTAAATCTTTCCATCTTGTTTTGGCTTGTCTCTGGTCGCAAAAACTACAAAGGACCTGTTGAGAACTCGGACGAATAATATTGCTTTATAATATACATTATCCGTTATTTGTAAACGACCAATACTAAATTCTACTACTATCACTAATAAACAGCACTTTTCTTTGTAAACCATAGCATCTCTTAGTCAAGAAAAGCAGGAGATACATATTAGTAACAATCTGATACAATATTACGCGATCGTCTGCGAACAATAAAGAGATTTTAGCCTTACACCGATGCCTTAATCTACACCTATAGACTGATCAGCTTCAATCAAGTACTCAATCTATTGATCATCAAATATAGTTTAGCCGAAACACGAAAATTATACATCTAGTTTGTCGCAGTAAGAGTTAAAATCCAAACTTTATACTAACGAGAAGCTATCTTGAAAGAATTTTACGTTAATATATACTCCTAGAAGGCTGAATAAAGATGGTAGATATGATTAATGTCGATGAATTCTCACATAAACATATCAATCTGGAATGACAGTGAATTCAAGTAATTCAACAAGCTTTGAAGTACGCCAATTCTTTTTATTTTGTTCTACTGATGAACAATTCATAAAACACAGGTTTTTTTTTGTGTGATGATTAACAATAAAATGTGATCAAAATCAATAAATTTACGCTTTTTAAAGAATATTTTCTTTATATGAGAGATCAAAGAATTGATAAAGAAGATCTGTCACTTAAAGGCAGACTTGGAATTATGTCTTTCAATATGCTACAGAAATTCGAATCATTGATATTTTTAGAAAAATGTGCATTGAAATATGTCATGTACTCCAGAAAAAGGTACAAAAGACCATGATTACTATATGAAAAAGCACGAAGAAGTCAATGTTGTCTCTGCTGTGCAGGACATTTTCTTGCCAACAGAGCGATCAGAACTTGAAGGCTTTGAAAGTATTTTAATAGCACTTTACAGTTTGAAGGTAAAACACATGAAATTTGGACCTGATGAACTGATCATAATATTAGGCTTTCATGGTCTAAAGCAAGATACGTTTAATGATGCAGAAGCGTAGTGCATTATAGTCCATTTTTTTTTTTCGTTTATCCACTTTGTTGTTTATTGTTGCTTTAAGACTTGAGATAACAAGAGCACTGCATCTTGTTTATTTTCTTTGTAGAAAAAGTAAAATCTTCCCTTGCAAAAGTCTTTTCTTTATTCTTCTTTGGTCTTGAGCATGAGTAAATTTAAAAATAGTTTGTCTTTTACTTATACCTCTTCGTTTCCTGGTTGTTGAGCAAAGATTATAGCCATTTGAAAATGCTTAGTATTATCTTTTATCATAAATTCCAAAGATAGAGATGAGAGTTACAATGGCATTAATTAACCATAATATATATTGTTTGATAGCTTTTATCTAGAAAATAAGGTTTGTATGTGAGAAAAGATTACTGCTATAAGTTTTTTATTTCTCTTCTAGTGTGATAATATTTTAACTCTCTTATATTGATCATTCTCTTTCTCTCTTAGACACCATATATGGAGTTTCTGTTCTATGGTTTCCTCATATATAAAATTTGTTTCTTTTTAAGATAATGACTTACCGTGATTCTCGTGTAGAGTTGCACGCATTATCACCGGTATTCAAAAACACCATACTAAGTTTGAGAATAAAAATATTCACAGGTGTGTTCTTTAAACAACAAGATTATTTGTCATCATGCGTTATACGAAATGACAGAACTAGGAAAAAGATAGGCACATGACCTTAGATCAGTTCAGTCTTATCAGAGAACAAAGTTCGGTTGATAGTTTCCCTTGTACGTCAATCATGCAGAGCTGTTAGTATAAATATCAATGCACAATTTGCACTTTTTATTTCTTTTTCGTTTCTTTATAAGCAATGAGCGATGTTAGTTTGATAGAGTCTGTTTAAGCGAATAGCAATTAACATGATTCAATTAGGTATCTGTAAAGAAACTCGAGATTCAGCATGTAGAATCAAACAATCTTGATGCTGACGCGCAACGATTACAAGATCTGGGATATAAACAAGAATTCAAACGTGAGATCAGTCTGTTTGTACAATCTGGATTTGCATTCTCAACCATGGCTGTCTTACCAAGTTGGTTAGTCTCATTTGGACCGTGTCTAAGTGCAGGCGGACCTTCTTCTCTCTTTTATGCTTGGCTTGTTGTTTCTCCTCTTGTGTGGTGTATCGCACTCTCAATGTCTGAAGTTATTTCAGCCTATCCTCTGGCTGGTGGTGTATATAGTTGGTCACTGATGTTAAGTAGTAAAGAATGGGGACCCTGTAAGTTACCAAATCATGAAGACTGTTGCTAAAATACCTTACAGTCATGGCATGGATCACAGGCTATGCATACCTCACTGGCCTTATTGCTGTCGTAATCACTTTAGCTTGGACAGGAGCTGAGTTTATTTATGGCATGGCCAATGTGTTGAATGTGACCCAAATTGATTCACAAGGTCCTTCTGTCGGTCTTTACATTGGTTTAATTGTTGCAGGAACTTTGTACAACATGTTGGGTCTTCGATACAGTGCTTATTTAAACAAGTTCATGGGTAAGTACTGAAACGCAAGTCAATAAAAAACACTCACCCAGTTATAGTTGTTTGGGTACTTATTGGATCTATCGTTGTGATTGTTGCAGTTCCAGCCATGGCACCTACTCATAAAAGTGCTCGTTGGGTATTCACAGAGTTTCAAAACACGACAGGATACGAAAATAACAGCATGGCATTTTTGATCGGCCTTCTTTCGGCTGGTTGGGCTCAGGTAAACAAAACGAAAAAATAGAGCAAGAAGTCTTTACTCATGTCAACAGATTGGTTATGAATGTGGTGCACAAATTGTAGAAGGCACTCAAAATGCTGCTACCACTGCTCCTCGAGGTATTATTATATGTGTAATTAGCGCTTTTGTTCAAGGCCTGGTCTTGATTGTTTCCACATTATTCTCAATTCAAGATGTTGATGAATTACTAGCTTCAGATATGCCTATTGCTACCTTCTTTTTGCATGCAACAAATAATCCCTCAGTGACAGCTTTCTTTTTGTTTATTCTGTTTGTGGCTCAAATGGGCTCACTCTGCAACTCCATACTTGCTGCTGCTACTTTTGCCTGGAGTCTAGCGCGTGATGGCATTTTACCTTGCTCTAGATTTCTGTACAAGATTTCAGGTGATCGTAATATTCCAGTCAATTGTTTAATTGTTCAACTTGTTATTTGTGTTCTTGTCATTCTTCCGTCATTTGGATCCACTGTATATTGGCAAGCCATTATGAGTGCAGCTGTCATTTCTGTTAATGTATCCTATGGTCTCCCATTGTTGTGCCGTTTGATCTGGGTGCGTAACGATATGCCTAAGGGCCCTTTTCATTTGGGTAAATTAGGTCTCCCTTTAAATTTCATTAGCGTTGTTTGGGTCGTCTTTTTTGGCGTCATTCTCTGTATTCCTTCTACTTACCCTGTTACACCTGAGACTATGAATTGGGCTTCAGTTATGATTGGTGGTGTTATGTTGTTTTCTATCTTTTTCTGGATGATATCTGGGCGTCATACTTTCAAAGGCATTACAGAAACTGTTGTATATAACTAAATTACTTTGTATTTATCAATAAAGAACTCAAATCAAGATAAGATGCAATTGTTTAAAAAAATTTAAACCACGCCTCAATCGCAGGTTAAAAGACTGTAATTAAATAAACCTTTATTCCCTTTTTTTTCTTTTTTCTTTATCTTTCTCTTTATTACAACCAAAAAAAAAAATATGGTTAGCAACCGAGGTTATGAACAGGTATGATAAAGGCTAAGATATAACTTGTTCTAACCATGACAAGGTTCCTCTCGATAATCATGAGGAGCAACTTGATAGACCACCAAGCACTCAACGCCGAACTGATTTGGAAGACACCTTTGACATTTCAGAAGACGAGCAGGATAATATCCAGCCACAAACAGAATATCATCAATTACTTCCGCATAATGCAGAACAACGTTCTTCTACTTCTACAGTTCAACAGCATTCTACAGACGGTGTGTTTTCAAACATGGCAGCCAAACCTGAATCTGATACGAAATTAGAAGAAATACCGCCCGTAAGCATGTCACATTACTCATCGATTAGCGTATTCATTTTTCTTTTAGTCTTACGAAGAAGCTTCAGCTGACGCAACACCACCTTATTGGCAGACAACTGTTATAGCACCTGTTGGTATGGGTGACATAATTTTGGTAGAAGGATTGCCAGTAGGAAGCATATTCAGTTTTATGTGGAATCTAATGGGTAAGACTATATGTCTTAATAACGATCTTTAACATTGCATAGTTTCGGCCAGTTTTCAATTAGTGGGGTTTATGCTCACTTATTTATTGCATACAACACATGCAGCCAAGGTAAGAATAGTCTATGTTGTTTTGATATACTGATAAATTTGTTTAGGATGGTGCTCGTGCAGGATTGGGCATCTCATTGATCCAATATGGATTTTATGTTCGCAGCAGTAAGTCTCTTGATTTAACAAGTGACATGTATTGACTTATTACAGGAGGAACATTAGATGAAGATTTTGATTACGATGGAGAAGGCCATGAGACTGTAGGCCAAGATGCTACTCAAGCCAAGATCATCGCATACATTATGATGTTTATTGGCTGGTTTATTATACTTCGAGCACTATCTGATTTTAATAAGGCTCGCAAGATGGAAAAAATCATTACTTCCGAACCCACAGCCATTAACCCAGAAAACATTGTATAAACCCCTTTTTCTTGTATTTGTATCATACTCTCCCAATACCCTCTTGTTTACACACTCTCATACATACAATTGTAATAGACAATCCCAATGGAATAAAGATAAAAAGAAACAAGTTTACTGTATGATTAGAAGATGTGTGTATATGTTGATTGTGTATATGTATAAATAATGAATGGTTTCGCAGCAAGTAGAAAAAAAGTTGCAAGCAACTTATTTACCAGCATTCTTTCTTGCTTCCTTTTCGAGGTTTTCTCTGAATGCCTTCATAAAGTCACCACCAGTCTTGGTACCTAATAAAAAGGTTTAATGATCGGCTATTGTCTTCATGGATTATACTTTACCTTTTTCAGTGATAGTAGAGACATGTTGGTGTGTCTTTGCAGCCATGCGGTTGAACAATGGGCTTGCCAAGAGACGTTCAGTAATGAAGCTAGAGAACCAGAAGTTGACAATCTTTTGAAACATATTACAAGTAAAAGAAAAGAAAAGAAAAAGAGAAACTTTTTTTTCCAGGGCTTTCTACTTGGTGCTTGACAAAGTCACTTTAAATGAGCGATAACCAATCAATATGTACTAATCCTGTGACACTGAATAATGCAAATCAAGTCTACTTGAAAAAATGATCATTTATTACTTGTGTATGTATATATATATATATATAAAGAGGGAGAAATAACAACAATAAAGTTTTTTGTTTTACATATTAATTTAAATAATAATTAAAAAAAGGTCTTCATTGGGAGAGATGAAAACCGATTTTTAAAGTATTTAGAAGCGAGAGTTAAGTTTGCGCAAGATTTCTGCACGAGCATCTTGACTCAAGTTTTCTAATAATTCGCTGAAACCTTCAATGACAGCTTCTTGGTCAACAGCACCGAGAGAAGTGACTTGTTGCTTGAGAGAGTCGCTCTTGATCTTAGTGATACGTTGTTCAATTACACTAGCACGCTTATCGAACCATTCGGCAACAATTTCATCAGCATCATCAAAGTCAACAGATTCGTTATCGTTAGTGAACCATTGCTTGACAAGAGTAACCATTTGTTCACGGCTCATAGTAGAGTTAGTGGCAGTGGTAATCTTGCGGAAAGTGTATTCTTCACAGAGACGACGACGGACACGCCAGTAGAAGTATTGACGAGCACGACGCCAGTCAAGAGCCTTACGAATAACACCCTTAGCCTTCATACGACCAGAACGATCATGGAGATCAGCGAATTGGATAGAGATTTGTTGGTATACAGGCAAGAGTTCTTGTTCACGAGCTTCAAGTTGAGTCTTGAGAGTAGCTTTTTCTTCTTCAGTCTTGCCTTCTTCAGCCAATTGCTTCTTCAATGAAGCATAGGTTTCATCAAGACGCTCCATAGTAGCAAGCAAAGCAGGCTTACGGTACTTGATTTCAACAATACCTTCAGGTTCCAAGACACCACCACGAGCATGAGTATCGGCGTACATTTCCATCATATCCTTGTTGATGGTAGGATCAACAACGACCCAGGCACCACCACGAAGTTCACCATTAGGAATAATGTAAACAAAAACGGGTTGCTTGTAGTTGCTCAAAGCATCGACAATCTTGGCACCATACTTGAGAACTTCGTTGTACATGTCACGTTGACCACCAGAGAAACCACGCCAGTTGGCAAAGATCATCAAAGGCAATTGTTCACCCTTGTTGAAATCATTAATAGCTTGAGCAGTCTTGTAGGCAGAGTTGGGGAACCAGACACCACCAGCTTCCATGAAAACTTGTTCAGTAGAATCAGAGTTGGCAGGATCAGCAGGTACAATGTTTTCAACAGTACGAGTTTCGACGGAGACAACACCCATAGGAATACCACCCAAACGAGCACGACCAACAACAACAGTACGAGCCCAACCACTCAAGGTTTCAATAAATGAGTCTTGATCGAAGAAACCACTCAACCACTTGCCGTTTTCGTCATTCTTACCAGCCAAGAAGAAACGAGGATCAGAAGGACCCTTAGGAGGCATGTATTCAATGTCACGATCGACGGGATCAACACCCATACGCATAGTGACAGGGCCGTTACGGACTTCAGGAACAAAAGAAAGCCATTGAATGATCTTACCAATACCTTCAAAGTCATTTTCGGCAGTCAAGTGAGAGACACCGTTCTTGTACATGATTTGAGTACCACCCAATTGCAAGTTGGAAGTGTAGACTTCACGACCAAGTACCTTGTTCAAGGCAGGAGCACCAGTCAAGATGATAGGTTGACCTTCGTTTTGAACAGTACGTTGACCAAGGCGGACAAGATAAGCACCAATACCAACGGAACGACAAGTGACAAGGGTGATGGTGAAGATGTCATCGTAAGCACGAGAAGTAGCTCCGGCAATGAGACCAGAACCCTTCAAGTTTTCAACACCAAGACCATCAGTGTGACCAATCACATCAGTGATACGGAGACGAGTTTCACCTTCATCTTGGATCTCTTCAACAAGAACACTCTTGGCATCACCTTGTTGAACAAGAGCATCGTAGTCAGCAGGAGTCAAGTAGAGGTAGTTGAAACCAGCAGTAGGGTCAGCAGGGTTCTTCCAAGCAGCCTTGAATTGACCGATGAGTTCTTCAGCAAGGCCAATACGAGCACCAGAGTTGGCAGACAAGTAGACACGAGGAATACCGAGAGAACGAGCAAGCTCAGAGGCCTTGTAGAAGACTTGGTCTTCAGCAACACCGAAGGAACCAATCTTGAAAGTGATGTCGTTAGCAATAGCAATGATACGACGACCACTAGGATATTCGGGAGTACGAATAGTCATGAGCCAAGCAACCATACCAACAGTGTTGGTACCAGGAGCACGGTCAATCTTTTGAAGGACATCGTCTTCATCAAGGACTAATTCCTTGGCTTCAACTAAATGGCTAGGTTGTTTCAAGGAAGAATCGTGCTTGATAGCTTGGTTCCATTGGTTCTGAACAGCTTGACGGAAGAGTTCGGGGAAATCGTAGACATAGGTAGTACCCATCAAATGAGCCTTGTAACGACGAGGTTGAAGCCATTCCTTGGTAGGATAAGGAGTAGACAAAGGTTGCATGTGCATAGCACCAGGAATCTTGTTGACAGACTTAAGAACCCATCCGTTCTTTTCGGTCTTGACTTCTTGATAAACCTCGACCTTCAAGATAAAACCAGAAACGTTGTCAACAGTGAAACGCATAGGAATAATAGGAGCATCAGGTCTCTTGGATTGGACATTGAAACGGATTTCAGCACCAGTGACACGAAGCTTCCAAAGACGCTTACCGTGACGGTCAACAAAGTCCTTCAAAGCATGCTCAACATCTTCAGCTTCAATAGCAAAAGTAGGAATGAAATTGATGAACAAGTGGTTACAGTCAGAGTTCTTGTATTCGTGGCTGACAATTTCAAGAGTATCAAGAATATCAGTCAAAAGACGATCACTTTCAGAGATCAAGTAATCAGCAGTACGCATAGAACTCTTGACACGACCAGGACGAACCAAGGCACGAATGAAGAAGCGGCAGTCAGAGGGGTTTTCCTTGGCAACAGCATAGTAGACATGCATTTGTCTGTTTTCAATGAAACAAGGCTTGATGTCAAAGTTAGAAAGACGAGCCAATTCAAGTTGGTATGCCATAGCAGGTTCAATGTGACGGATGGTTTGATCTTCTTGGTAGTTTTCACGTTCACGGAAAGTGTAGTAATCGGGCCATTGGTTGTCACGGCAGACAACAACAGAGATACGACGAAGATGAGCTTGACGGAAAGCATCAGCATGAGAAGCGATTACATCAGAGATCTTGGTTCTGAAAGCAGCATCATCCAAAGTGTCATCAGCACGGATAGCAATGTTGAGAATGTTTTCCATACGAGTTTCCTTAGGAGGAGCATTGCGTTGCAACATAGGAGGAAGGGGTTCTTCTTCGAAAGCAGTCAAGATACGAGGCAATTCAGCTTCAAGATCTTCCAAAGAGTTACAGGCAGTCATGGCACCAGTACGAACAGGCTCTTCTTCAGTCTTGTTGAGCAAGAAAGTAAGATCGGAGTAAGAAGCAATACGCTTGTTAGGATCAATGCTAGTAGCAGCAGTTTGGAGCAAGAACTTCCAGGCAACAACATAAGGCTTGTGTTCGAGGTTGTAGGCAACATCCAAGATCTTGTAAGCATGGTAAGAACGACGGCAGTAGACTTCAATAGCAGCCAAAGCAATATAAGGATCAGCATCATAGAAGAAGTGAGGCAGGACATCGAAGACATTGAATTTGGTATCAATGAGGTCCTTGAAAGCATCGTAGCTAGGAGTACGGTATTCAGTACCACCACCATAGACAGATTCGGTAACAGAGCTCTTAAGGATTTGATACATTTGAGCTTGACGTTCTTCATAAGAAGGCAATTGACAAAGAATTAAAAGTTCACGAGCTTTGAGGGTAACATTTTGAGTACCACGGCTTTCAATTTCAGACAAACGCTTCAAAATGGGAGTGAAGTACTTATCAAGAGCATTACCGGTAGCAACAGGGTTAATAATTTCAAGCAACATGAGAATAAGGTTGTTCTTGATGTTGACCTTGGCGTGAGACAAAACAACTTCCAAAACCTTATCCAAATTATCCTTGTTTTGATCTCTGAGAGACAAAATGACTTCTTCATCACGTTGTTGACTGAACATGATTTCGACATCGTAGTATTGTTCCATCAATTGAACGTAGTTGCTGTAAGCGTGTTCCTTCAAACCATTTCTGTAACGTTCGAAAATGCTGACCAAGGGAGCAACAGCATTCTTCAAGGCAGTAGCTTCAGATTGAAGAGTAACGTTTTCACGAGCAAAGTCTTCAATCAACTTGAGGAATTCAACAGCAGGGAATTCACGTTGAGCAGCCTTGGATTCATCAAACAACTTGTGGATGGAAGCTTCCAGACGTTGAGGAATACGACCAGACAAGACAGACAAAACGGCACTCAATTCAGAGTAAGGCAATTCAGGGTCGTTCAAGATATCAGCAAAGTCCTTAACAACAGTTTGAACAAGAGCTTGGTTATCATAACCTTGGAGAATATGTTCAAGAGTGTGCTTAGTGGCATTGTAGCGTTGAGCAGGCTTGTCACCAATGATGTGAGGAGGACCAAAAGCAGGGACAGTACCGCTGAAGGGAAGGGCATGCTTGACACGGCTAGGATCATCAAGAGACAAAATACCGATGATATCACCAGCTTCAAGAGTAGCACCAGCTTGCTTGATGAATTGAACATGACCATCTTCAGTAGCAACCAAAGGCATGTACATTTTCATGACCTAAACATAACTCTCTTTTAATACTCTGTTGATTTTTTTTTTTTTACTTTACCTCAATTTCAGCATAAGCATCACCAGCCTTCAAGTGATCACCATTTTCAACAAGCAAGTTAACAAGTTTACCAGGAGAAGGACTTCTCAATTGAGTGGGATCGCTTTCCTTTTCCAAAAGACAGGTCTTACCGTCAATCATCAAACGAGTAGCTTGAACTTCATCACGAGAGTAGGTAGTGTGAGATTTGCCATCAATAGAGATCAAAAGACCACCGTCAGACAAATCACGAATACCAACTTGAGTCTTGCTACCGTTGAGGTACAAGGTGTACAAACCAGGAGCAGAAAGAGTGACAGTGAAGTTGTAACGGACTTCTTCATAGATGAAATCAACAGTGAAGACAGTCTTGAGAGTACCCTTACTGGGCACTTGACCCTTTTCAAGAGATTGCTTGTATTGTTGGAAGCATTCTAAAGCAGCAGCATGAGCCTTAGTAGCAGCACCACAGAAAACAGCCAACATAGTGTCGGGACGTTCAGCAGTCAACTTCTTGGAGATCAACATATCCAACCAACCAGTGTTGATGGTGTTTTCTTCGAAATCGGGAGTTTCGAGCAAACGAATGATGTATTCAACAGTAGTACGGAAATCACCACGGATAGAAAGTTCCTTAAGTGCAATAACCATGTTCTTACGGGCAGCTTGACGGTTTTCACCATAAGCAAAAATGTGACCGAATTGAGAATCAGCATATTCGTGCAAACCACCAGCAGAGACAACAGAGAAATAACCCCAGACGTTTGTGCTGGATCTGAAGTTAAGTTCTTGCATGATACCAGAAGAAGGCTTGAAACCAGCATCAGGGTTTTCAGCAGTGATACGACAAGCAATGACGTGACCCTTGGGAGTAGGACGACGATGGCTGGTAAGAGAAGTAGGGTGTTCAAAGTTGAAATCGATTTCAGAAGCACTGTTGTGTTCAACGCCATAGAGAACACGAATGTCACGGATACGGTGAAGAGGAATACCCATAGCAATTTGAAGTTGGGCAGCAGGCAAGTTAACACCAGAGACCATTTCAGTAGTAGGATGCTCGACTTGAAGTCTAGGGTTAAGTTCCAAGAAGTAAAATTGATCATCGTGGTGACTGTAAAGATATTCGACAGTACCAGCAGAAACATAGCCGACCAATTTACCAAGTCTGACAGCAGCCTTTTCCATTTGTTCAAAGATATCGGGCTTGGCGATAGTAACAGGAGCTTCTTCAATAATCTTTTGGTGACGACGTTGAACGGAACAATCACGACCAAACAAACTGATGGCATTACCGTATTGATCGGCCAACAATTGGACTTCCAAGTGACGAGCGTTACCAGCGAGCTTCATGATGAAGATGGGAGAACCAGGAATTTCACCTTGGACTTGAGCAAAGAGTTGAGTGAAGTTGGTGCTATCCTTAACCATACGGATACCCTTACCACCACCACCTTCGGAGGCCTTGATCATGACAGGAAAACCAATCTTTTCGGCAGCAGCAAGACCTTCCTCAGCAGTCTTGACACAAGCCTTAGCATAAGCTTCATCAGGAACAGTGACATGACCTGAAGCATCAGCAACAACATCAGTAATGTTGTCACCACTCCAACCCATAGTAGGGACTTGAGCATGTTGTGCAACAATGGTAGATGAAATTTTGTCACCCAAAGATCTCATAGCAGAAGCAGGAGGACCAATAAACAAACACTTGTGCTTGGATTTGGCAAGCATTTCAGGCAAACGAGGGTTTTCAGAAGCATGACCCTAATATAGAATTTAGAATCCAAAATATTTATTTTTTTCTTTGTTACTTACCAGCCAGCCCAAACGGCGTGAACACCAGTTCTTTCAGCAACATCGACAATAAGTTCAACGTTAGCATAGTTGTTGTTGTTGGTTCCACCGGGAACTTCAACGTAGTTGTCAGCCATACGGATGTATTCAGCATTGGCCTTCAAATCTTCAGGTGTAGCCATGACTGTAAATTCGATGGCGCGCTCGTTACCAAAGGTTTCATAGGCCCACTTTCTAACTGAACGGATTTCCTTCATAGCGGCCATACCGTTGTTAGCAATCAAAACCTTTGAAATGACTGTATGACCTTCATGTGCTTCAACAAATTCCTTGACAGGACTTTGAGTAGCAGTTTCGACAGAATTGCCACCTTACATGTTGTCAGCCTTAATCCTCCCCTTTATTTGTATGTATGTACATTACCTAAAAAGTGACTTGGCAAACTCTTGTGATCAACCATTGTTTTGTATATATACAAGCGTTAAATTAAGTTTAAAATAGTAGTTTCTCCCAAAAAAAAATAAATATAGGTATCCGTCGACTTCTTTCTTTGCTTGTTAGTGTATATGTTTAATTTTTCTCTCTCTATGTACAATAAATAACTTTAGTCCGTCTCCCACAGATTAAAGAATTATGTATAACAATTAAAAAAAGAAGAAGAAAAATAGAGACAAATTAGAAAAAAAAAGAAAAAAAACTTGATCAAAGACAATTTTGTTTCTTTGACTTTCCCTTTCCCCACCTTTCCAAGCTATTCAAAAAAGCCATTTTGGCGCTTTCCTATGGATGCTGGGTTTCAAGTGACTGCCAATCAGTATATCGGAAACACAGCCAGTACCCCAACAAGAGGGTAGGATATGAAGGAAGTTTTGTGTTTAGGGTTTAATTCTTTCTCAATCTTCTCATTGATTTTGGGGATTGATGTCTTTTGGGGTTGCCTATAACTGTTGAGCTACCCCCGTGCATTAAGCTAACTTGTGTGTCTCTCTTTTGCTTTTCTTTTTTGATATCATGTGGAAGAAAAAAGAAAGAAGCAAATATGTATTAATCAAAGAATAAATATATTGCTACCAATTCAAGTCTTTGGTTTTTTCTACCCATTGATTGGCAGAACAATTACTCTACATCTTTATCTTTTTGTATAACAAATATTTATTTTGCCAGAAATGAAATCGTAAAATGCCACAATAATATCTCGGGTAATCATTTGACACATACTACATTCTCTTTCCCGCCTTGTCAAGCCACTTGATCCAGTTTTTTAATGGGGATTATTCAAGCATAATTGTGACCTTGAATTTTGCCCCCAATTTTATATTGTCGCCCCTTCTCCCCCTGACTTTTTTTTTTGACAGTAAAATACCGCTTCACATTATTTTTTTCGCAGATCAATAGATAAACAAATGTTTTTTTTTTCTCCCTTTTCCTATTGCTTTGATAAAACAAAGAAAACCCAACAAAATCAAATACGCAAATGAATGCGGTAATTAAATCGGTTTTGGGCGTATCTCCCCCATCCTAAAAATTGGATGGCCGTCTCGGGAAGGATTTTGTGATTAATATCTTTTTTTTTTTGGGCATCTCAACATGAAAAAAAATTAATAAAGTATTTAAGTGATAGATATGGTTTGCTTTTTGATTAAATAACGCTTGGACCAACTTTTTTTCATTTAAACTATTTGACAATTTTATGCGATCAGAGCCAGTCACGTGACATATGTCAGGCTGTTGCTTTTCCCTCTTTCACTCTCACTTTCTCTCTCTTTCATCATTTTGTTGTACAAATAAATGACAAGTACGGAAGATTTGACCTACGAAGGAGATACGGCAAAAAGTTTGCCAATTTAGAAATCCAAGAAAGAAAAGGCTTTTTTAATGTAACTTTATTTTTTTTCTGTGCATCATTAAAGGTACTCGAGTAAGCGGCATATTCTTGTTCATATCTATTGTGACGACTGTATAAAAAAAGAAGGAAGAATGAGAGAGTTTTTTTATGCAGTAAAACAATGGGTTACTTGGTATCTCCGCAACAAAAGATAATTAATTAATTAATCGCCTTGTGTACAACTCATTAACTTTAAATTACATTTTTCATTCAAAATGACGACAATAAGCCCTTAAATTTTTTTTAGTCTGTGTTTGTAAAATGTCAAAGAATACCCGAGAGAATATTCTCTCTTGTTACCTAATCTTAATTTTTCCTTTTATTTGAACCTCTATTGGTTTGTGTTATTCAAGAAAAGGAGATGACAAAAGAGGCGGAAGAGACGAAGATACAAGGATTAAGTTTAATGTCGTACCTGTTATTTATCGAAAAATTAGAGTCTAAACACCTTGAATTAACACGTGGATCCTGCAAATGAAAAAAGAAAACTGCGTGCATTATTTTATAAGTTTTATTACGAAGACCATATAGTTGTGTTTTCTATTTAAAAAAAAAAAGAGGGGAGATTATGTACAATAAGTTCATTAAAATTAAAATCATAGAATCATTATTTAAGCGCAGAGAGGAAAGAGGAAAAAAAATTCGGATTAGTATCCAGAAGGCATAAAATGAGTAGAAGGAGGAGGGTAACTTGGACGGTGCATCCAATGTGTGTTAGTAGGGTAAGTTTGTTGTTGATGCATAAAAGATGAGCCGGAAGAAGGAGGGGGAGGAAGCATATAATCAGAGTTTGAATGATTCAAAATATCATCATTAGAGTCTACGGGCGTAGAATCAGTCAAGGGAGGTGTCTTGAGTGAATTGAAACGTTGTTTGTTATCTCTTTTCTGCTTTCTCCACATCTTGCGCAACTCTTTGAATTCTGAAGGTTGTCTTTTAGGGCCCTATAAATCAACAATTAATATAAGATATTCAAAAGTGGGGTTTGTCACATACATGTCTTTGCATCGATACATGAGCGTTCAAATGGTTAAGAGTACCATATGCTTTTGTACAGTCTTGAAAATTACATTGATACAATCTTTCGACTTCATGAAACTTTCTTCTAGGCCTCTTTTTTTGATTCAATCCAGGCAAAGGTACAAACGAAAACACTTTTTGACTATGATGTGTCATATTATGATGATGATGCATCATATTTTGTTGCTGTTGTTGCTGTTGTTGCTGTTGTTGCTGTTGTTGCTGTTGTTGCTGTTCATTTGTCACAAGGACTCCATCAATGACAGAAGTAGGAGGTGAAGGCAAATGATGATAAATAGAGCCTCGATGATACGAAGGAGGATAATTAGATAAATCAGTAGAGGATACAATATGAGTAGAGGAAGAATTAGGGGGAAGAGAAGGAGGTGGATAATGAGTCACAGTATGGGTAGGAGGAGGATATACAAAATAACCAATGTTTTGTGGAGAAACAAAGCTTCTTCTATGACTTTCTGGTGCATGTTGTTCAGAATGGTACACAGCTCTATAATCACTATTCCTTCTATAGTTTACTTGAGGTTGAGGAGGCACGACTGTTGCCATTTGAGAAGACATGTAGTTTTCACTGGGATTTTCGGGACGCTTTTCAAGAGGATGCTTAGGTGATGTTGTTGTTGTTGTTGTTGTCGTTGTTGTATTATTAGGCAGTAGATCCGATAAGGGAGGTAATGAATGACCAGCAGCAGCGGCAGCGGCAGCAGCAGCAGCAGCTACAACAGCAGAAGACATATCCGATGAAGGAGAAGATTGTTGCAAATGATATGCTGAATAATAAGTAGTATTGTTTGTGGTATTAGCTGTGGTATTAGTGTTGTTACTTGTTGGATCATAATAATTCATATTTGTAGAGGGAACTTCAGGAGCAGTTGCTATTGTTGTATTAGGATTCATTTATGAAAAAAAAAAAAAAGAGCGTATGTGTTATAAAAAAGCAGAATTCATAAAACCAAATTATTCTTTTTATGTTGAATGTGGAGTTGTAAAATAAAATAATATAAATTTTTTTCATGTTAGCCTTAAAAGGATTGGAATTGATCTTGTCACATTACACTTAATAAACCGAATGATCCAATAAAATACTGTTCTTGATCTCTCTCTTTTCGCGCAGATCATTAAAAAACCTTAAATGAATTTTGGTGTGACATTCTGGTTTATTCTTTTTAAATACCATTTTTTTAGCTTGTGAAAAAAAACGAAAAAAGAGAGAAAAATCAAGCTAAAATCATGTCGATCTCTAAATTAATACTTTAAAAGTCTTAGTGTACTATATTACAGATAAACATGTGTGTGTATCTTTATGAAACTACTTATCAGAAACGTTTAGTAATACTAAATATATATGTACAAAAAATTTTTTTATATTCTCGTCTTTTTTATATATTATTACAATAGTATTATTCTTCGGGTGGTGTAATAGGTGGTGTAAACAATTGGGTTGGGGTTAATAATAGCGCACGTTCACCCTGGTTGGATAAAGGAGGAGACATTATAGCCAATGGGGGAGGAGGGGGAGGGGAAACTTCATTTTGTATAACAGGATGGTGTAGTAGTTGATTGTCATGGGTATCATCTATAAGTAATGTAGGCGGTGAAGAAGAGGCAGCTAAGCTTTCAGCAAGAATTTCTTCGTTGACATTAAGCAAAGTTTGTAAGTAATCATGTGAAGGTTCAGCAGTCGAGGATTGAATCAAGTGAAATAGGGGTGTTGGTAATGCACTGGAAAAACTCTTGTTCTGATTCGTGCTAGTTGCCACTATATTAGATGCTGCCATGGTGGAGTTTGAATTCAAGGTCAAATTGCCCATCCACCCAATACCAGCTCCACTGTAAATAAGAAAGAATGGTAAGTTTTGGAGTCTACAGTTTTTCTTTAGTGCATACCTTTCTTCCCATTCAGCACCCATTTTTCGCATAACAAGTTCAAGACTTTCTCTTTGTTTTTCTAATGCTTCCAGACTCTCTTCATATCGTGTTAGAGTATCATCCATTTCTTTTTTTCTTTTTAATAAATTTGTGTAGTTTTATTTGTTGCAAAACAGTAAACAGAAATAAACGGAAAAGTAAGCAAAAAGAAAGAAAAGGATAAAAAAAAAAGAAAGAAATAAGAAAAAGATAGAAGGGATGAGAAGAAAAATTTTATTTTATTCGATTCGATTGACTTTTTTAAGAAGGAAATAAAACAAAAAGAGGGATGTTTGGTTTAAATGTGTGGTACATTCAGCATGTATGAAAAAAAATTTTTTTTTCTTTCTATTTCCAAAAGACAAAATGAACCAATCTTACATGATTGTCATGTAAAAAAGAAAAAAAAGTGTTCCAGACTTGCCACTAGAAATGATTTTTAAGCTTACATAGGTTGATGTACACAAATTGTTTAATCGAGATTCACCCTATTAAGAATTCTTTACCCATTTATTGGTTCAATTTTAACAAATTAGACAAGTTGCATTGGAATAGAACAAGATGGAACGAAAAAGTTTAAATCGAGGAAAAATTTTTTTATTTGTTTGTTTATGCATCTGGAGCACCAAGAATTGTCTTGAGAAAGTCACAGCGACGTTCCAACATACCAAGAAAACCATGCATTTGAGTACGGTCCATCTGAAGTAAAAGAGAAACAAAGCGGGTATCTTCATCCTCTAAGCCTGCCATGGGCTTGTCTTGTTCGGGTTCAATATCTTCGTGTTCTTCAGCATTCCAATCACGACGACGTCTTTGGATGGTTGTCTTTCTCATCTCAGCAGGACGGTCACGATGGTGAAGTTTGGCATAAAGACCACAGGCATTGCAGACAGGTTCACCACGTTCATTCTTGCGCCAGAGAGGAGTTTGTGTTTGATGGCAGTTAGCACATTCTTGACCAGACTCAACGGACTGTTGTTCAGAAGGTGCTTCAGTAGTAACTGTAGCAGGTAAAATACTTGTCGTTGTAGTAGTGGTAGTCATAGTTGTGGTAGGAGTAGGTTCAGTCTTGTGAATGGTCATGGGAAGAACACGTTCGCAGGCATAAGGATGAGCACGAATAGTATGAGTCTTGTTTCTAATATGAAGAGGACGGTGTGCATTGTATTGCTTATAATAAAGGCCACAGGCATTACAGAGTGAGTGTTGACGATCAGGTGTTCTACGCCAAAGAGGAGTTTTGGTTACTTTGCAGTTGAAACATTCCAGCTTGCGTGCAGGACGTTGAGATTTATGTGTAGTAATCTTGATAGACATAGTAGATTGACCTTGAAGGTGGTTCTTCTTGGATGGGCGAGGCTTTAAGCCTTGCTCTTCAATTTCATCCTTGGCTTTCATGACAAGAGAGGATTGTTGAGGAACAGGAGTCATTGCAGGAGAAGAGGAAGCAATAGATGAAACATCTTGCACCAATTGATCGAATTGACAGGCCATATCCATAGAAGTAAAATCAGAAGTAGGAGAGTTCAAGAAATCACCGAGAAAACCATCTTGCAAAAGAGCAGTAGGGGGACTATCGAGAGTTTCAGAGGCAGAGGATCCAGGAGAGGATACAGGAGAGGATTGTTGGTAAGCAGAGCTAAATAATTGGTCTACAATAGAGTTGGGATCTTTAAAAAGATCATTAAAGAGAGCAACAGAATTGTCTTCAGAAAATGGCTGAATCTGTTGCTGATTTTGTTGCTGTTGCTGATGGAAGAGCAAAGGGTCTTCCAAAGTGGGGAAGAATAATGTTTGTTCAAGAGAGTTCATTGTTGTTGATGATGTTGTTGATTCAGTGTTGATCATTAAATTGTTTGTTTGTGACTTGATAATATTGATATAAATTGTATGTGATATTGTTTCTAGTTCAATCTACGTCGTTTCCTACGTGCTTTCCATTAAACATATAAAAGTAGGCCATTTTAACTTTTTTTCTTATAAAATAATTTAACTTTTTTTAACTTTTTTTTTTTTAACTTAAAAAAGGGCTGAAAAGTGGGAAGTAATTAAAATCTGGTAGCGTACATTTTATCTTTCAAAATGTACACTTTACAACAAATATAAATAGAGGGGAGGTTTCAAGGGTTTCAGGAATTTAAAATTAAAGAGATAATAATTAAATAAAGAGAGTGATAGAGCGAGGGGATGCGTATACACACAAAAATAAAGGGTAGGGTAGCAATAATAACTTTTGAAAAAAAAAGTAAAGAAAAGAAGAAAAAAGATGAAAATTTTTTGGCAAACTAAATAATAAATGGAACCAGTTAACCTTATCGAATGACTCATTATAAGATAATTGGGTACTTCGGACTTTTAATTCTAGTTACATTTCAAACTTTATAATTAATACACATCACATTGACCAAGGAAAACTGCTGTAAACATATCAAGAGATAATCAACATAGTTATGCCATGTGCTCAAGATCAATGACATGACAACAAAGTAGTAGAAAAAAAGCTTATTTTTGTATACAATCTTTTTTGGTTCACATGTTCTATCTCACTAGTTTTTGTTCTTGCCATTTTTAGACAAGAGAAAATTCGCAACATCAGTCGTGCCTTATCGAACCAATCCAATCCTGTTTCGGACTTGAGAGTTTTGATTTTGATAATCTATTTTTTATTGCTGTATAAAGAAGAACAATGTGTCACTGCCAAATAAAGAAATGGCCATCAAGCTTTCTTCAACAGAAAATCAAACAAAAAGGTCATGATATTTATATTAAAAAACTGAATTTTAGGTTTTCCCAAACAAAGGCATAAGAATGTGATGATGATAATCGCAAAAAAAAAAAGATGATAATCAAAACAAAATGCCTAAAACAGTATTTATTATGCTCTTCTTAGTTCAACATTCCTGCTTAAAACCTGCATTTCTATACAAGAGCTGCATTATATTGTTACCAATTCAAAATTGCGATACCAGAAGCAACTCGCTAATTTGCCTCTGACTCTGTCTCGAATCAAATTTAAGCTTCTATTGAATGCTCTTTCTCTTTCCTTTCTCTCTGAAGACAGTGTGGGTTTCTATCATATATTTCTTTTTCATTGCGGGTTTAATATCATCCCAAAACTGCCTTTGACCTCCAAAGTCGCTCTAAATGTACTATACATCTTGCCGAGTAGTGCGCAAGCATATTTTACTCATTATTTGATGTTAAAATCAATTACTTGCAAAATGACCATTTTCTAGCATTTGGCCAAGGGTGTTGCTTTTTAAACATCTTTAAAACCTCAACAAAATCATCTTTTTCGACTTTGCACCCTCAAAACTTAAGTTACCGACATGTTCGAATACTTAAAATGAGCGCAGACAATGCAGCTTACGAAGAAAAACTTTTGCAAAGAACTTACTAGGGATAAATAATTTGATATGGACTAAAAATGCCGTAAACTAAGCTCTAGTCTCATTCGGAACTTTACTATCAAACATGCCATATTCTTTACACCAGGAGATAGCCAGAAAAAAATCTACATCTTTCGTTATGGCAAAAAGGACGAATAAGCTCGCTTTTAGACGCTAGGAACATGAAAATTGATCTTTGGTTTTGTTTCAGTCATTTTGAACCAACTTTGACCAATTGGTTTCGATTTCCAAAAATAAGCTCTTTTTTTTTGCATCATGTCAATGTTCAAAATGGTCTTACTGTACAGTGAAAACGGTAAATTTTGTCACTTTGAGAAAACTAAATGTCACTTTCCAAAAAATTAATGGTACTAAGCCAAAAATGATTGTCCATTTGAAATAAAAGAAATGTCACAATAAGTTAAATCAAACCAAATAAGACGAACTGTTTCTTTTAGAGACACTTTTTTCTAGACACTTTTAGCTTCTTATACGCAGATAATCATAAAGTCTCTTATTTTAGACTAAAAAACTGTAGCAGTTCAAACTCAACCGGCTTTCTTCCCTCGATTGGCTTGTTCTTTATTTTCTTGAACATGATAGTTGTTACTGGAGAACAAGCAATATGCATGTTTTTCTGCGAGGAATACAACGGAGATAATGTCGAAAAACTAACTAAAGAAGTTGATGATTTTGTAAATAGTAAAATCTGCTATACAGAAGATCCAACAAAACCGATCATTTTAAGCAAAAGAACTATCAGCCAAAACCCATTTTTATACCACAAGTATCCTTCCAGAGAATCAGTAGCCAACGACATTACAATTGAGGAACAAAAACTACAACTCATAAGTAAATAACAAATTATTTGTATATATCAGATATTTCATTAAACGTCAATTTTTTTAGACAGTCATGCAAGACTTTTGCTATATTTGATAGGAACGACCTACAAAAGATACAACAATTCAAGTGCAGAACGGGTTTTGAACAAAGGTCAAAATAGGGCAATTTCTCAACACTGTGTTATAAAGATCATAGTCAGTAGTCAAAATGATGTAGTTACTCTTATATACCAAAATAAAGATATTGCTTAAGCTAGTTTCCTTAATAGCAAGTAAAAAGCTTTATTTAAATGTTTTTTAAAAAAGTTAGATGTCAGGTAATTGAAAGTCTAATCTAAATCGAAAGGAGAAATATTCAAAATCTATGATAACCTTCATTCTTTCGAAGATTCTGCGCGCTACTCTTTGTCGGTTATTGTTGCAGGGTACTGATAATAATTTGAATTAGCCTTCAAGGTTTTGGGGGAGCATATGATCGGTTTTGTTGGATCTTCTGTATAGCAGATTTTACTATTTACAAAATCATCAACTTCTTTAGTTAGTTTTTCGACATTATCTCCGTTGTATTCCTCGCAGAAAAACATGCATATTGCTTGTTCTCCAGTAACAACTATCATGTTCAAGAAAATAAAGAACAAGCCAATCGAGGGAAGAAAGCCGGTTGAGTTTGAACTGCTACAGTTTTTTAGTCTAAAATAAGAGACTTTATGATTATCTGCGTATAAGAAGCTAAAAGTGTCTAGAAAAAAGTGTCTCTAAAAGAAACAGTTCGTCTTATTTGGTTTGATTTAACTTATTGTGACATTTCTTTTATTTCAAATGGACAATCATTTTTGGCTTAGTACCATTAATTTTTTGGAAAGTGACATTTAGTTTTATGGCCATTAGTAGCATTTCTACGCAGAACAAACATATTTTATTTACACATTTTATTTTAGTCAGAATCACTTTCATTCTAGTCAGAATCACTTTCATTCTCTATTGTTTCTAGTCCTTCAATAAATCCATTGTCTTCTATATCACTTGCTTTTTCTTCATTATTCTCTTCCATACGCTTATGCTTCTTGTGAAGCTTTTCTAATATTTTCTTGGCTGTGTTAAACACGCCTTGTGTGGGAGCACCACAAGCAAAACATTTGGGCGATTCCTTGTAGTTTCGAATAGCACATGCTTCACAGAAATAATGATTACAACGCGTCACTACAGGATTCACGAATTCTTCTCGACAAATTAAGCAGGCAAAAGGCAATTCTTCGTCTGAATCGTCTTCTGAGATAGCATATTGGTTTGGATCGGATGCACCAAAGCGAGTCTTGTTCTTTTGTGCTTCTTCCCATTCTTGTTCCAGCTGCCAACCTGTCTTGTAATCACCACGATCATGCAAGAAAATACATGTATCACCATAACCACAAAAACCAGTTTCCTTATAATCTTTACAAACATCTGGTTGATAATCAAAGCGTTGAGTAACTCTAAGGTTAGCAGGAGCACGTTGAGGGCCTACAGACATTTTTGAATTGAGTACATTCTTTTTGGGTTCAGGCTTCTTTTTGTCTAGTTCTTTCTTTTCAAGCTCCCATTCGGTATCGTATCGTGTGGCATCATTCTTTTTGAGTGCTGTTGATCGATCAGCAGCATATTGAACACCTATGATGTCTTCATCATCCTCTTCATCGTCTGAATCTCCCTTTTTGACTCTTCTTTTACGTGTACTTTGTACAAAGGGATTAGCACCTGTTTTGCGATTCTTTGTTACTACTTCTGAAACTACATCATCGTCTTCAGAATCATCGTCGTCTGAATCACTCTTTGCCTTGGCAGGTGTTTTACGCTTGCGAATATTCTTGTTGGTCGATCTTTTCTTGAAAAAAGTTACATTGTCGTCCTTTGAACCGAGAGGTACGATATCTTCAGTATTGCTTGACATGATTAAAGAAACAAAAAAAAAGGACTACGTGAAGGTTTGTAATAACAAAAGAAACCAGTAGAATGTGTTCGACCAATCAATGCTGCGTATGCCAATACATTCGTGGCAAAAAGCTGTCCGGGGCCGAGGGAGGCAGTCCTCAAAGTCCGGACTTCATGTAACAAATCTGTATCACGCGTTGTTTTGGTAGGCATGGATACTTTTGGTTTTTTTTTATAGTGTTGCAGTAAGCGATTTCCTGATCTGTGATTATCAATTGACTCGAGTACAAGGTCTGCTGGCTTCTTTTGTTTTTTTATCAAAAGTGTTCATTGTATGTGAATATGGACATTCGAGTCCCGATCAATGCACATTGCTAATGCATGAAACAAGGTATTTGCTTCTATTAACTCAATAACGCGTAAAAAAAAGTGTGTCTTTCCTGTTTGAACATTTTAAATACTGACTTTAGTGTTTTGACTAGAGTGTTATTGATACTTTCTTAAAAATAAGTTGCATTGACAATCTTGTCTACCTTAAATTTATGATAAATTTGCATAATAACTGGGCTTATATACTGGACCCCTCTTTCCTGGTTTCTTTTTTGTTGGTTTATACGTTAATGCCGATAGTTTACCCAAAAAGGACACAAAAAAAATTCATAATTGTTTTTCCCAGGCGGCTGTTTGACTTGTGAATGCAAAATACGTGTTTTTTCCTGGTTATTTTCTTTATGCGTATGTAAGTCTATTCTCTATGTAAAGAAGACTATTTTCTTAACATACAGACGCATACACAGTCCATCAATGAAATAGTGTATAATCATACCAAGCTTAGATTCAACATTTTTGATTCGTCAGCACAATCATTGACATGTGAATCTCAGATTCACATGGAGCCAATAGTCACAGCCATACAATGTTGCTTACTCCACATTAATTATTAAGCTTATATATATTTTAACACTCATTTTTCTTCTTTTTTCTTCTTTTTCTTTTTCACTTTATTCTTCAAAACCATGGCTTCTCGTCTTCAACAAGTTTCTGCTCATTTGGCTCCCAGTGACGGCGTCGCAAACAAGATTGGTGTCAAGTCACCTGAAGACGTTGTTATCGTTTCTGCTCTTCGTTCTGCTATCACCAGAGCTCGTAAGGGTGGTTTCAAGGATACTTTGGTAAGCATAAATGTTTCAATGTGCCTCCATATTGATCATGTTATTAGCCTGAAGAAATTTTGGCTGGTGTCTTCAAGGCCATGATTCAACAAACCAAGATTGATCCTGCCATCGTCAATGATATTTGTGTTGGTGGTGTGTTGCCTCCTGGTGGTGGAGCAACCAACAGTCGGTATGTGATCCTATTGTTTGTACAAAAGATACTTATGCATCATCTAGTATGGCTGCTCTTTATGCTGGTTTTCCCGAATCTGCTGCTATCAACACTGTCAACCGTCAATGTTCTTCTGGTCTTCAAGCCGTTGTTCAAATCGCCACTGCTATTCAAGCTGGTTTGATTGAAGTTGGTATTGGTGCTGGTGTTGAATCCATGACCAAGAACTACGGTGCTGCTTCTCTTTCTGCTACCTCTGAAAAGATTGCTGATGCTTGTCCTGCTGCTGCTGACTGTCTTATTCCCATGGGGTAAAGTAAATTTTTTCTTAAAAAAAATATGAATCTGACCTGTCGTAGTATCACTTCTGAAAACGTAGCTGCTGAATTCAAGGTCACTCGTGCCAAGCAAGATGCCTTTGCCGCTTCTTCTCATGCCAAGGCCGCTGCCGCTCAAAAGAACGGTTGGTTTAATGCTGAAATTGTCCCTCTTGAAGCCACCGTGCTCGACAAGGACGGTAACGAAAAGAAGGTCGTTGTTGACCGTGACGATGGCGTTCGTCCTGGTACTACACCTGAAACCTTGGCCAAGTTAAAGCCTGCTTTTAATGAAAATGGTTCCACCACTGCCGGTAATGCCTCTCAAGTATCTGATGGTGCTGCTGCTGTCTTGTTGATGAAGCGTAAGACTGCTGAAAAGTACGGTCTTCCTATCCTTGGTAAATACATCACATCTGCTGTTGTTGGTGTGCCTCCCAAAATCATGGGTGTTGGTCCTGCTTATGCTATCCCTGTCGCTGTTGAACGTGCTGGTATCAAGCTTTCTGATGTTGATATTTATGAAATCAATGAAGCTTTTGCTTCTCAAGCTGTTTACTCTGTTGAAAAGCTTCAAATTCCTTTTGAAAAGGTTAACCCTAAAGGTGGTGCCATTGCCTTCGGTCACCCCTTAGGCTGTACTGGTGCTCGTCAAATTGCTACTCTCTTCCCTGAATTAAAGCGTCAAAACAAGAAGATTGGTGTCACTTCTATGTGTATCGGTACTGGTATGGGTATGGCTGCCGTCTTTGAAAACGAATAAATCCTTGTATAAAATGTGTGCATATTCCCCCCCCCCTTAATTTTAATCTAGCTAAAAACAAAATGTTTTTGTGCAATCAATAAATAAATCAACCAGAAATTTCTTTATTTTTTATTTTTTATTTTTTTAGAAAAGAGAATTTACATAAAAGGTATACAAGAATAATTAAATAGTTAGACAACCACACGGGAAATCTTTTGAGTGCGTTTTTCACGTCTTCTTCTTTGGGTCGTATTTGTAATCAAGTCATCTTTCATCCCATCCAATAAAGCAGTTGAACCAGACCCAAATTGACGAAGAGACATGAGTTGGCCCTTGATAACAGTCGAACGCAATACTTGAACATCAATCTGCAGGTAAGAATCGCACTGCTCTTGCGTGACCGTTTGGTTGTAGGGTGAAATAAGTGAAATGGTAGGCAATTGAAACTCATTGTCTTTTGTGGTCAAGGGTGAATGGAGTGAGGCCAATTGAGAGAACTCTTTAGAGTAAAGATAGACATGGTCTGTTGATTCTTTTTGGTCTTCTTTGTGAACAGGCCAACTGATCAATCGATTGTTGTTCATCTTTACATCTAATTTTTGATTGATCCACGTTTGAAGATCACGTGGTCGTACAGAGTCAATAAGGACCAAGTCAGTTGTATTTGTTTGCTGTAACTGTTGTTGACATTCATAACCACCACCTTGACAATAATCATCACTATTTTTTTTAAAAAAAAAAGTATGATTAATTCACACATACACACATACACACACACGTAATTTTTGTTGCTTTACCTGATAGAAGAACCAATCAGAGGAAGTTGTTTCTTTAAAGCATGACCTTCACCACCACCTACAGTCAAACGACTTGCTGTTCTTGAGGGCAAAGTAAATAACGCAAATGAAAATAAAATAATCTATATATATACCATTAAATTACTTGCATATTTTAAAACTCATAGTTACCATAAACACAACGCCTGTTGCTGCTTTTGACTTTGGTTGATGATGATGAATGGGGGATCGTTTTGGGCTATCCATGGAAATGATTGTACTTTCTTGTTGGTATTGACTTAATTGTTCTTTTAGTTTTGAATTCTCTTGTTCTAATGATTGAACTTTGGTTTCTAATGATTCGACTTTTTGATTCAATTGTTCGTTTTGTGTCAACAAAGATTGCTTTTCTTCTTCTAATAATGTTAAATGTTCGCGCTTTCTCTTACGAGACAATAATGCGGCTGCACGATTCTTGATCAAACGTTCTTGTCGTTTTTGAATCTGAGCTTGTTTTAAAGCTTCTTGTGATTGCTGTTGGTCTATGTTTTCTGGTGTTGTTGGGCCAGCCAACAAGGGTGATGGGTCCAATATAACAGGTTCTGATTTAATCTTGATTTCTTCCATGGGTTGCTGAGGACGAGGCGCTAATGGCTTAGGTGCCAACAAAGAAGGCTGAAGAGGAGACACGGTCTGGTTGACAGGCTCGCGCTTCTTTCTGCCTCTCTTTTTCTTGGGCTGCTCTTCCACTGTAGAGGAAGGAACAATAGGTACAGCGAATGGCTGAATAAAAGAAGGATCGGTAGGGGCAGCAGTCGGTAAAAAGAAGGGAAAACTGCCAAGATCTGCAGTCTGATGTTGTTGTGGCAAACAAGGATTAAATAACTGAGGATGATAAGCAGGCTGATCTTCCATCACAGCTGAAAATAAATCGGTAGGGTTGATATCCAACATAAAGTCATCCACACTATGTTTTTCAGGTGAGCCTGTGGATAAAGAAGAATCAGAAGAAGGGGGAGATAGGGGCGTTTCTGTGGCCAGATAGTCTGCATTCAAGTAAGACATGATAAAGTCTTCTTGATCTTCTTGTTGATGCTGTTCAGGATCTGGTTTAATATAGGTCATGATAGTATAGAAAGTAAAAGAAAGAAAGAAAGAAAAGGAAAGGAAAATGCTCAATGGTTATAAAAAGGGTCACTTGGCGGTATTTGAACCGTTTAAATTTAGAGACTACTTTGTTTCAATTTGGATTGTCTGGGCTCCCTTTGCGTGTTACTCATGTCTCTATTTACAAAGTTTAATTAGGCCTGAGATAGTCATACCTTGCACATAGATATATATGCTCTTGTGCTATCGTATAATAAACATAACGTAATTCACATGCAGAGAGATGCATAAAATCATAAAAAAAAAAATACTATCTTCTATTTTCTTTTTTTTCACTCGGCGACATCATGGAAGAAAGCTATATAATCGACATGCATGCCTCCTTTTTCTTTAAAAGTCCTGTGTTCTTTATTGTAAGAGTCGACTAAGCTTGGACAGACTCGATTAAAAGAAAGAAAGAAGAAAAAAGAACAAGAAAAAGAGAGAGAGAGAGAGAGAGAGAGAGAGCGGCAGCATGTACTGTTTGATTCAAATCATAGCCAAGATGCTATTAACATTTGCGGAGCAATTTTCCAGTCGGAACACTTCCTGACATGCAATATACCAAAAGTAATTTGACATCTTAGTAAAGATATCAAGTATTATGTATATAATTGATGACCAATTTCTTGTTTTACAAGGAATGATAACTAGAGTAATGTATCAAATGCTGTAAGAGAAACTTCTCTCAGTTGTTTATTTTATAGAAAGCAATGGCTTATTGAATTGATTAATATAATAGTTTATTTGTATGCCGTGTATTTGAATGGCGTGTTGATTAACTTTTCTATTGCTTAGTAAACTCTATTTTTGGAAAATAAAACGATGCAGAAAGGGCTTAAAAATTCGGAGCAAAGAATAAAATTTCTTCCTAAGCAATCTTCAATTTATTAAAAGACAGAAGTCCTTACATGTCATATGCTTATCCATAAACCTATAGCAATTTCTTTCCTAATGTTGGTTGAGTTAACTAATGATGCTTTGAGCAACTTTAGCTTTGTGTTGACTATATCGTACAAGATACTATTGGTACTTTTTGTTCAAAAATTACATGAATGGAAAAGTCAAATCACCAATTATTCCATAATCAGGTACTATATACGATTTCCTATGCTTCAATTGCTTTTTTTTTTTTTTTTTTCAAACAAGATATTTAGGCAGGAACAAAGCCAAAATGAACTCAGAGAGTCTAGCTTTAAAATGAAAGCATTTCGCTTACAATTGAAAACAAATAAAAAAATAGCCGTTTATTTTAGCACTATTATCTTCACTGTTTATAATGTACTACTTTGACTATTCTTACTCTCAGCACAAATAAGATTTATACTAGGTCCAGAAAAAAAAGCATTGTCTCATTTTAGTCCCTTTTGCCTTCATTGTTTAATCTTTGAATACAATTCATCACTTGAATAAAATGTAACAGCAAGCGAATTGCATTTTACCGGAACTGAAAAACAAAGTTCATCTCAGTGAACACATTTTAAATGAAGTGCGTACAATCGATTCAAGCGATCACGTTTGTCAAACTTGGGAGTTTAAATGAAGTCAATGTCTTGACAATTCTAGTTTTCAAGTTCTATGTATTCTTTTGACTATACTATATTTCAACCATTTAAACAGTATGAAAACCGCTTCTTTGATTGACATCGAGTTATATGCTAGACCATAGGGCTTTATGTTTAATAGTAGCTCAAACTAGAGTAGTTCTTTGAGCAATTGTTGAAGGAAAGACGAGACATACTCTGCTAAGGAATACGGAGAATTTGGAAACCAAAATTGTGAAAGTATGTAATCAAGTCCTCCAACTACCCTTTGAATACTTTATGCAATATACTATCAATGTACATGAAGATCGCATAAATGAACATACGCAAATAAAGACATTGGTTTACAGATCAACACAAAGTTTTCAAATGCACAACACAGTTCGATCAATTGGCCTTTGATGAAGTTATAGTCGACATACTGTATACAGGTGAAACAGCTTAAAAAGTAAAATAACGAATTTCTGTATTGTGTGGAAAGCTATTACAAAGCTATTGCTTTTTGTGTGCCGGTCTAGAAAAGGAAATCTTTGATCAAAAGAGCAATTCAGTCAGAAAAAAAAATTTAACTCGCTGTCAATTATTTTTTTATTTCATTTTTTCGCAATGGAGTTTCCAGAGGCACAAGATTTCGAAGCGTCCAAGTTGGGCACAAAGACATAGTAACACGCTTAAAGAGAATGATAGGTTACTAAGAAACTATAGCTGGGACACAGTTTATGACCGAGAAAACAACAATTTCGACGAGTTGGGTGATATTGGTGAAGTTTGGTTTGGTGAAGAAAGTGTAGAGCGTATGGTCGAGTGGGTGACTGAACATGTCCAAGATCCCAACAGCCGTATGGTTGATCTCGGTTGTGGTAATGGTCACTTACTTTTAGAACTCGCTCAAGAGGGATACAAGCAATTGCATGGTATTGACTATTCTGAATCAGCCATCACACTAGCTAAAGCAGTAGCTCAGCAACGTGAGCGCGAATGGATTCAATACGATGCTGTTGACTTTATTTCTAATCCAGAATGGTTTCTCCCTAATGAACAGTATGATGTTGTGTTGGATAAAGGCACATTTGATGCTATTTCATTGCACCCAGATCAATCACAAGCCAAGAAAGAAGGCGTTGCTGGTCCAAGAGAGAAATATGTAACTTCTGTTCATCGCATGTTGAAGCCAAATGGACTGTTTTTGATTACAAGCTGTAATTGGACAAAGGAAGAATTGATTGAACATTTCAAACAAGGCAAGTAAGTTGTAGACTTATTTACAAACTAACTTTTTTTTTTTTTTTAGATTTTGAATATCATTCTCATGTTAAATATCCTGTATTTGAGTTTGGTGGACAAAGTGGATCCAAGATTTGTACTGTTGCTTTTTCACCTAAACAATAAACACTAGAATTCAAGAACAAAACATGGGGGTTTTTTTTTATTCTCGAGAAAAAAAAAGGAGGCTTATTAACGTTGTTCCCAACCTTGATTCTTATTGAGCATTTGAGGTGGTATACCTAATCAATTTAATACAATAGATACAAGAATCACTTTACATACCATTAGCCATAAGATGAGGTAACATAGGAGGAACCATGTCTCTTTGTTGTTGTTGTTGTTGTTGTTGTTGTTGTTGTACTGGAAATCGTTGCATATGCAAAGACATTTGTTGATTGAATTGAGGTGGTGTCATCATAGGTCTTTGTCCTGGCGGTAAAGGAGGAGGAGGGACCATCATCATATGAGGAGGTAAAAACTCGCCATTACTATTGCTACCATTGCCATTTCGCATCAAACGAGGATCATACTGCATTAATTGCTCAAAACCACGGTGATCCATCATAGGATGACCTGGTGAATAAGGTCCATTTTGTTGAAGAGCAAAGAACTGTTGTGGAGGCATAGGAAGTGGGGGCATCGTAGGTGGTGGAGGTGGTGGTGGATGCAAGATAGGCTTGGGTGAATAACGTATAGGAGGCGTAGATTTAGGTGACTTGTCTTGATTGGATCGTGCACTCATTTGGCGCAAGACAGAAGTAGGCAAATTGTTACCGAATCGCATAGGCTTTGTATCAGTTAATAATGGTGAACCTGTCACCATGGGAGATCCTTTGTTCAATTTAGGTGATTGTTGTGGTTGCTGTTGTGGCTGTGGTTGCTCTTGTTCATGTGATATATCTTCAGTTAAAGTAGGTTTGGGTTGAGAAAGGATTTGAAGAACACGGTTAAAGCCCATAGCACTACCATCTTCAGTTATGTCTTTTTTAGCACCTAAAGACTTGAGTATGTCTTCCTCAGAATATATACGAACATTTTCTTGTTGTTGTTGTTGTTGTTGTTGTTGTTCTGGTTCATTCAACATGGCTGGTTGTTGGAATAAATCGTTCAGACTAATTGAACGAGATTGTACAGCAGGTGGTGGTGGTGCTGGGGAAGATAATGCCTGAGTAGGTTCACTGGGCTCTTCTCGTTTAGCAAAGAACCGAGCAAAACGAGATCCACCTTTTTGTTCACGACGAGGTTCATTATTGACTATATCTTCAAAGAATGACAAGGGATCTTGTACCTCCAAAGACAATGAAGCGAGTGATGTCTCCACAACAGGTTCCTCAACACCATCTCTCTTTTTCATATTGGATTTCCAAGTCTCCAAGTCATTCGAGAACTGAACTCCTTCTTCTTCTTGTTCTTTTTCCTTGACTTCAATTTGATCTTCTGGCGTATAATCCATCCATTCGGGTACTCTTTCTGAACCTTCTGATTCTTGCTGATAATGGTTGTGATGATGATGACTATGATTTTGTTGATGCTGCTGATGATGACCATTGGTATGTCTATTGTTGCGGTTATTGTATGCTGGGTTATCTAAATCATGTCAGTATAAAATACACTTGAGACGACAACTTACGTCTTCCACTGCCCTTGTCATTTATTCGGTCCGTATTGAAGTTACGTTTATTGTTGTGAGGTGGTGAGCTCATGAACTTTCTGTTGTCTGTCTTGTCTGTTTTTGAAAAACCTTTGTCTCCTATAAATGAACCGCGAGGAGAACGATATTCTCTTATGCTTGTTGTGTTTGATCTTTCGTCCAACTAGAACTCTGTGTCAATACAAGTATATATATATATATTTAATTTACCTGTCTATATCTTGTATTGGGTAACTGTTGTACTTTTGCAGTAGGATCATTTTGTTTTAATCCGCCATATAAGGAAGAAGCAAAATTGGTCTTGGTAGGACCGAGGACGATGCTTTTGTCTATAGATAGATACGTGATCAGCATATATAGAAAACATCAACCATACCTACCATTTAGAGTCCGAGTAATTACATAACCATTTAAAATACTTTTTGATGCTGGGGAATCAGAGTCCTCACTAATAATCCTTAGTAAATACATATCTTCTTTTAAAGACTTACCCAAACCAAGCTAATAAAGAAGGCATATGTTCGGGTTTTTGCACAAGTGGACTATCATGAAGTGCTATCATGGTTTCTTTTGTATAGCGAATAACTGGCGTCGTTGTATCTGACATGACTTTTGTGTGTGTGTGTGTGTGTGTGTGTTTTATTTTTTAAGCTATTTTTTTTTTATAGTAGAGATGAGAAAATAAAAAAGAGATGAGTATAAAAGAAACGCGCGTTCAGTGAATAAGAAAAGAAAAGGATGATTACAAGATGAGTCAAATATGTTTGTGAGTTTGTTTGATTTACTAATAACTTGTATTTATAACAGTGATAGTAAAGAAAGTGAGTAAGAGAGAGAGAGAGAGAGAGAGAGAGAGAGAAGAGAGAAAAAATGGCTGGGAAAAATCCTATATTCATTTCGTTACTTCTCAGTCTTAAAATGTGACGTTTTCCTTAAGCACCATGAAATTATGCTATACTGTTATTAAGGAAAGATAATGGGGTGACATTTCTCTCCTATGATTATACAGTGAATTACTCTTTGAAATGTATAAAACTTGGTTGTGCCTGAAATCTTAATGAGTCATGAAAAAAATAGGCATTTGTACAACTTGCTTATCTCTTCTTTTAGGCCATGAACTGCAAGAAAAAGGCTGGTTCCCACTATTTGGAAAAATACGATAAACTGCTCCAATTATCGAGACACGTAACTTGATGAAACTGACACTAAAAATGCTGGTCTTGACGAGAAAGTGAAAAAAGTAAAAAAAAAAGCTCATACTACTGAACATATTTACAACCACTATGATCAAAAAGATACTTTCCTAAAAGTATAAAGCTGCAATAACAAAACTAAAAAGAAAGCAGTTAAACTGAGTGCGTCTGAAGTTTGAAAGAGTAAAAGATGTCACAGATCTCTACTGTTTGCCAGTGTATGTTCACTATTGCATCTTTTTCGCTCAAAATGAAGACTCTGGGCGCACTTAAATGACCTGCCCTCTATAAAATATGTGTATAACCCCAGATAATGAAGATTTATCATGTAGATGATAAAAGAGAAAAGCATATACATTAACTTCTGTTGAAAAAGCTGTAGAAATCTTTAAACATGAGGCTTAATTGCGTCAAATTCCAGTAGTTATCATTCTTTCTTCTTGTTTTTTCAACGACACAGTGTGCTTCGTAAAGGCTTGCGATGTCATACAATGCATTGATTTGTGAACTGAAGTTCACAGGCATTTTTGTCTCCTACTTCAACCACAAATTTTGGTTGGCAGGTTTTCAATGCAGCGTATGGGAACAAGATTTTATTGAAACTGAACAATAAGTATTAGGTTATATCAAAAGATAGTTGAGATCACTTACTTACCTATGTGGTTCATGCATTTCTGCGATCTTGAAGATATTTGAAATGGCAGAAATTATACCAAACTACAATCTCACCTGATCAACTGTCTTCTTTGGCGCTGTCGTGTGATTTATTCTACACTGCCAAAGAAAAACAAGATCAATCAAACACGGGAAGCACTCTGTTCACTACGATGTTCCCTCCAAAAGCAACCACTTTGGCATGAATATCCAGTATTGGAATGGAAAAAGCAATTGTGGCCATTTTACAAAAAAAAAAAAAAAAAAAAAAAAAAAAACTCTATCAATTGAACAAGAAACAGGTTTGTTTATCACACAAAGAAATCAGTACTTTATCAAATACATGTGAATTAAAGGTAAACGATGTTGAGCCTATTTTTTAGTAACTTAAGATCATCATTGTCACGATAATTATGTGTTGATAATGATCAGTGACATCTTACGATACTAATGCATCTTCCGCCTCATTTTTCAATGTTTTAGGCGTTCGTTTCATATTACTATACAACTCCAATTTCTTCTCACATGTAAAGGTCACAAATCCGGGATCAGCTTGGTTGCCGAGCTTTAAAATGCCCTGAATAGCACTAAAGAAATGACTAATACAAAAACTTGTTCAAGTCAGAGACGATTGATCTTTGCACTCCAGTTTGCTTCAGATCATTGATAGCAGAGGTGCGAAAAGAGTTGAACTTCTTCAATACTTCATCATCACTATATTTGGCTAAATTGATCTCCAAACTTCAAAAGATAGATATCCTTTATATGATTTGTTCAGCCTAATCTTCTTGGTACTTTAGCTTTTTGGGTGATAGGACAAGTTGATGATATTTTGATCTATGGGTGGAATCGATTTCTTGAAGAATCAGGTCAGATAGTGTTGGGATATCTTTAGGTAAAAACTATCGGAGATGTCCATGGTTGCACGCCTTGACTGATTAGAGTTAACAAACAAATCCATTTAATTGCTCTCTTTTTCTTTCATTTCTTTATCATGGCTGTTATCTATAATATCACAAATAAGCGACAATTAAATCGACTTTTGAGCAGGCCAGAAACATTTAATGTCCTCTTTTTCTGGACAGAACTAGAGCCAAAGTTTAAGGAGTTGGCAAGCCAATATCCATCCTTGGTTTTCATTCAAGTAATAAATATCACCTTTTTTTTTTCTTTTCTCAGCTAAAAAAAAACCCCATAGATTGAAACTAAAGAGTTTCAAGATATTGCATCCCAACTGAATGTTCAGTCTGTACCGAGATGGTTGATTATCAAGGTAGTATCAATATTGTTATCAGGATAGATAACCGTTTGATTTAGGCAAATCAAGTCTTACACCAACTACAAGACATTGATCAACTCGCTGATATAGTGACAAAATATAATACTCCAACAGTATCCTCTGAAGATAATACATTTCGTTTTCGTCTATTAGACCTTATCAGGACAGATCGTATCATGGTCTTTATGAAGGGCAGTCCTAAATCACCTCGCTGTGGGTTTTCTCGACAAGTAATTCAGTTATTGACAGAACAAGATGTAAAGTACAGTACATTTGATATTCTCTCAGATGAAACAGTGCGCCAAGGTCTCAAGACATTTTCAAACTGGCCAACTTATCCACAAATTTATGTTGAAAGTGAATTGATAGGAGGATTAGATGTACTTAAAGAAATGATAGCCTCTGGTGAATTCCAAGCCATGTTGAAATGATAAATAAAGAAAAGAGGGGGGATATCGTTTATTGTGATTCAGATCCTGGAGGTCGATTGATACGTACTTGTTCCCATTCATCTTCTGTCTTTGCTTGTAAACGCTGCATAAAATAAGTATGCATTATATTATATTGGATTTACTTACAAAGTATTCTTCCTGTAAACTTAATTTTCTTCTATTCCTGTCCATGCCCAATGCTTCTTCTTTAGCAACCTATGTTTTATGATTTAATTATTGGCTTCTTTTTTCTCTTTTGTACCATTTTATGCTTTCTATCACGGTGGTCAAACTTTGTCTGTGTAAGTTGTGCTAATCCAAACGAGCCCACCACCATAATAGATAAGAAAGGCAAACCAAAGAACAAAAAAGGCTTTTGTTTTGCTTTGGCTATTAAAGGGTCAAGTGCACTCTTTTGACCATAAGGTTTACTATCAAATTTGACCATGAAGAAAAAAAATGTATACCCTAGAAAAAAGCAAGCCACACCTTTAAAAATAGAATAATTGACCCGTTTTTCCTTCTATATTTGTACAAAATGTTCAAAACAAGCATTAATTTAAAGTGAAGCTTGGCAAAAGAATCACAGGCTAAAATGGATCATCCAAAAAAAAAAAAATAAGTTCAATTTAAATAGGCTCTGTAGATCCCCTTACTTTTCTTTTTCTTTTTTTTCCGCCTTTATCTTACATCATGTATCCTTATCCTAAAAAATACCTACTATTTGTCCTATGTTGTTTGTTTGCTTTCTTTTTGCTGTATTCAATACCTGACAGGTTCAGACATGAAACACCGTTACTTGTCCCTACCAAATACACGTATCCTGCCATGGTCAAATATAGCTACCAATGGCCCGCTTCTTCCTCTGAAAAAACATTAAATAAACAAGACAGATTCAAGGAAATCGATAGAGCCTTTTGCGGACAAGATCGTTGCCGATTTATTTTGCCCATTGCTATTACAGAACAAGGTACATAGACACGATTGACTTGAGTCATTTTTTAATCGTATTCTCGAATAGAATCTAAAGCTCAAATTCATTTCAGACAACTCGCATTCCTTGCTGGTCAACTTAACCGAACGATCGTCTTGCCTAACGTATTTAATTCACATATGGGTTCTTGTTTACCTTATCCATTTGATTTCTACTATGACAAAAAGTGGCTCGATAACAACAGCCAATATTTCAAGTATATCACAATGTCTGACTTTAAGGCCTGGATTATTGCTCGACACCAGGCAAATGCTGTTCCAACAGGTCAAGAAGTCTATATTCAAGGCTCACAAAAATCAAGACTGTTAAAGAAGATCAAGAACTGTTTCCGAGACTCGTTTGATTTCTCTCAAAGACCCATTGTGAACTACCAGTTTCTCGACCATCAAAAGGTCAACTTGAATCTCAAGGATATTATGTTAAGTCTATTAAGTGACCAAGCTAGACAGCATGAATATCTTTTAGAAGACAATATGCCTGTAGATGTAATTCACTTGTATTTTGATCGAAGGTAATCCTATTCTCTCTTTTTGTTTTTTTTTTATATTTATGTTTTAGATATAAGTTTTATTCTACCTCACGAACCGAGGTCCCTCTGGCATACAATGAGCGTTGGGTGAAAGCTGCCAATCAGATTGCTTCACAATTAAAGCCATTTATGGCGATTCATTGGCGCATGGAAAGGCTAGAACCTGTTTCAAATTTGGCACCTTGTGCTCAAGACTTGATTGACAAGGTTCATGCTATTGATAGCTATACAAACCATACTCACCCCAATGTGTTTCTGTTGACGGACTATCCTCATTTGTTGACTACTCCAGGTGCTAAACCCGAGTCAAGTTCATTCCATCCCTCTCAGTTGAGACCAGAACATCATCAAGCTATTCAATACTTGTATGAACATTTAAACATCACACTGACGACCATTCAGGATACCAAAACGCTTCCTCAAGACATGCCTCTTAACTGGCATATATTACCGATCAATGTTACTTTGTCTAATTTACCTGTTGACAAGAGCGTGTTGGGTATTGTAGATAAATTAGTAGCCATGAAAGCACAATGGTTTTTGGCAGGCAAACCTAATGTGTGTGCTAAATCAAGTAGTTTTACTCAGCGTATTAGCCGTAGTCGAAACAATGCTTTTAAACATCACAATCAAGATATAGTGGTGCCTATTCAATTGTTTGACATGCCATATTGACATGTGTGACCACTATAAATATTTAAAGATAGAATTTTTTTTTTTTTAATGTATCATAAAATAACAAATAATTATGCATAAGCATATAAATAAAAACGACTCTCTTTTCTCTGTCTCTTTTGAGGGCGTCCATATGGCTCTCTTATGAAACTATTCCGTTTAAATAGCCTGTAACCAATCACAAGTATTTCTTTCTTCGGTCCTACTTTTTATGGCAACCAAATCTTTTTTTTTTTTTTATCGCAGCTGTGTGGATAATAGCATTTGTGCTCAGACGTTTAATTTAAATGAATTGACAATATGGCTATTTATATTGGTAAGTGTACTATCTATAGGAAATGAAAAGAGAACTCGTTTATGCCGGCAAGTAAGACATGATGTTGAATGAAACAGCCATTTATATGTCTATCAATAAAAAGTGATACTTTATATACAGAAGATACGATACATGTATCATGTATGACATAGCATGGCATGTAACAACCTCATGGTTTATTGACAAAAACAAAGAGTAAAGGCAATCATAGGCGGAGTTAAGGGACCACTTGCCTTTCTCTATGCTTGTGTAATTCAAATAGTTGGACAAAGAAAGAACGAGAGAGAAAGAAAAAAAAAGAAAAAGAGAAAGAAAGGGGAATAAGTACATATAATCTATATATATATATATATACACACATATCCCTTAAATGTTCTGAACCTCCTCTTCTTCTTTCTTGTTACTCCTGCCTTTCCTCCTTTTTAAAATTAGAATCACACTAATTTAGAATTCCGCAGTGCGAAGTGTGAGTCTGAAAGAGTGCATGTATAGCCTTGTGTTAGTACGGGGCGAATAAATCAAGAACGTGTTTTTTTTATATATTCATACAAGTTTCTCCTTTTTTTTTGTCTTCTTCTTCTTCTTCTTTTCTTTTACAACATATACCCAAAGCCTCTTTCTTCTTACTTTATAATTTAGATAAATACCCCCCAATATGAGAGAAATTATTCACGTTCAAGCTGGTAAGTGAGAGAACTAAATAAAAAAGTGTTTACTCATTTTATCTTTTCTGTATTTAGGTCAATGTGGTAATCAGGTAAGAAGCGAGAGAGAAAAGAGAAAAAAAAATACGCGTGTAGACATATATATGTGTATATGTATTGATTGTTTGTTTTGTTAGATTGGTCAAAAATTCTGGGAAACTATCAGTCAAGAACACGGCATTGACGCCACTGGTGCCTATGCCGGTGATAATGACTTGCAACTTGAACGTATCAATGTCTACTATAACGAAGGATCTACTGGCAAATACGTTCCTAGAGCCGTTTTGGTTGATTTGGAACCTGCCACCATGGATGCCATTCGTGGTAGCGAATATGGTAAATTGTATCGTCCCGACAATTTCATCTTTGGTCAATCTGGTGCCGGTAACTCTTGGGCCAAGGGTTACTACACAGAAGGTGCTGAACTTGTCGAAGGTGTCTTGGACATCATTCGTAAGGAAGCTGAACACACTGATTGTCTTCAAGGTTTCCAACTCTGTCACTCTCTCGGTGGTGGTACTGGTTCCGGTCTTGGTTCTCTTTTGCTCTCCAAAATTCGTGAAGAATACCCTGACCGTATGTTGTGTACTTACTCTGTTGTTCCTTCTCCCAAGGTCTCTGATACTGTTGTTGAACCTTACAATGCTGTCTTGACTGTTCACCAATTGGTTGAAAACTGTGATGCTACTTTCTGTATCGATAACGAAGCCCTTTACGATATCTGTTTCCGTACTCTCAAATTGACTAACCCTGGTTACGGTGACTTGAACCAATTGGTTTCCGCTGTCATGTCTGGTGTCTCTACCAGTTTGCGTTTCCCTGGTCAACTTAACAGTGATTTGCGTAAGTTGTTTGTCAACATGGTTCCCTTCCCTCGTCTTCACTTCTTCATGGTTGGTTTTGCTCCCTTGACTGCCTTCAACTCTCAACAATACCGTAACTTGAGTGTGCCTGAATTGACTGCTCAAATGTTCGATGCCCGTAACATGATGGCTGCTTCTGATCCTCGTCACGGTCGTTACTTGACTGTGGCTACCATCTTCCGTGGTCGTTTGTCTACTAAGGAAGTCGAAAACCAAATGTTGGCTGTTCAACAAAAGAACTCTTCTTACTTTGTTGAATGGATTCCCAACAGTGTCAAGACTTCTCTCTGTGACATTCCCCCTGTGGGCCTCAAGATGTCTGGTACTTTTATTGGTAACTCTACTGCCATTCAAGAATTATTCAAGCGTGTGAATGAACAATTCACAGCCATGTTCAGAAGAAAGGCTTTCATGCATTGGTACACTGGTGAAGGTATGGATGAAATGGAATTCACTGAAGCCGAATCCAACATGAACGATTTGGTCTCTGAATACCAACAATACCAAGAAGCCACTGCCGATGAAGAACTCTTGGATGATGATGAATATCTTGAGGAAGATGAAATTCTTGATGAAGATGATCACCTTGAAGAAGAATAAACATACATCAGCCTATATACACATCTCACATTCCCCCCCCCCCTGCCCTCTTTTTATTTTTCTCTATGCAACAATAAACAGTTTATGATAATGTTACATTTCTCTTTTTAGGTTTATTTTAAGAAAATGGTCTAAATAACATTTGCCAAAATCCACCACTACTCTGCTGAGTGTCTTCATTAGATTGATCTTGTTCATAACCTAATATCTTCTCTCTTTGATCTTCAGATAAAGACATGTCTTCAAAATCATTAATAGCATCAAAGAAGACAGAAGGCGAACATGGATTGCTTTCTTCATCGTCCAAAGTCAA